GTGAACAAACAACAACAAACATTTACCTTTGTATGAATCTCTTCTTTTTCCTCCTACAGGAACTAAGATCCCTGGCTCAGCTGTGCTGGTGTTTGATGTCCACATTATTGATTTCCATAACCCATCTGATACAGTTGTGATCACCAGTGTGAAGCCAGAGAACTGCACCTACAATGCAAAAAGTGGTGATTTTGTCAAATACCACTACAACGCCACTCTCATGGATGGCACCAACATCAGCTCCACGTGCGTTGCAATTATACATTTTGCATAGCATTTTGTTTTTTGAAGTTGACATTACAAGCATTTATTTTATTAATGTTTTTATCTAAACTGATGTTTTCCTCTGTGTCTGTGTGTTAATGCAGGCACACCTTTGGCAAGACATATAATGTGGTTCTGGGGTCCGGACAGGTGGTTTTAGGCATGGAACAAGGGCTAACGGGAATGTGTGTTGGAGAGAAGCGCAACCTAGTCATTCCACCTCACCTTGCCTATGGAGAGAGGGGAGTTGGTAAGACACACATTTATATTATTATTATTTCCACTAAGGTCATTCTGAGTTCTGAATTCATTCAGTGAAGAACTTGACCGACTGATACCGTTACTAGTAGATTTGTGAAGCTTTTTGAACGATTCATTAAAAGAGCCGACTCATAAGAGTCATTTCTTGTGAATCGGACTACAAGTAGGTACTTATTTTGCTAAAAAGTATGTTCTATATAGTATGAATCTGTGTAATGAATGTAATCTGTACGTACTATATTTATCATGTATGTTGTTATTATCATGTGACCTACCAGCGTCAGTGGCGTCTCTTCACTGTCATTCACAAATCCTCTCCCGTGGCCTCATGGGATAGTAAAGTGTCCATCATAATATGCACACCTCAGAATCTCGCAGGAAGTCGGTCATCCGGGTACTCTTTTATGAGTACTGTGAATTCAAACATACTTCTTTTGTCACATACTGTTTTTTGTCTACAATATAGTAGGGAAGTATGTGATTTTGGATGCAGCCACTGTTTGAGCTGAATGTATTTTATTCACTAAAAAGAACCGACTCTTAAGAATCATTTATTTAAAGCTGCTGTCCGTAGCTTTTTTTGGGTTAAAAATTATCCAAAATACATATTTGATAAAATACATAACCAGCCAGTGTTCAAAACTATCTGCTTGCCTTAGCTCGATGCAAAACGGTAAGCTTGTAATAATGTTTTTAATTTTAGTGGTACTGGTGGATTTCCGCGGGAGATTCGAGCATGTCTTTGCGTCATTACGTCACATCTGTACACATAAAGAAGACTCTCGGCTAGTATAAGCTATATTGCGTGTGAGGATGTTGGAGGTAGAGATTTATAGCCTTTTCTCACAGCACTTGATATAATTAAACTTATCAATTTGATGGCGGATCCAGAAAGGTTCAAACGACGATCATCATCAGTGACAACTAGAGACTCACCCGCTGTAACATGCAAAAGACTTCGTTCGGACTTCGGAGTGGCTACAGAAAAAAAGAGACTGCAACCGGACCCATGCGAAAACAAGGATAATATCGGAAGGACATTACATGATGTAGTCACGCAATGCTTGCTGACGTTGTTAACATTAACAATTAGAGAACATAGTATAGCTACTTTGCACGGTTTTGCGTGAAATGATAACTTATAAGCAATTGTTAGATTTAATCAGCGCGATTTACTGCAATGTCAGAACCAGAACAAAAGTGAATGTTTCTTACTAGTTCAGATGACATTTCCCGGTGAAAATTATTATGTTGGTCATACTTCCAAAAAGAATAATCTGTGATTCTGAATGACAATATCCACATCGGCGCGGTGACTGACAGCTGCACACTCTCCTCAAACACTGTGTTCATCCGCGCTGTGCCGTCTCGAGGGTGTTGAACTACAACCCACGTAAAGTTGATAATTCCGCGAATGACTGCAATTGCAGATTTCGAACAGAGATGGCGACAAAGAGGAAAAATGACGGACTGCAGCTTTAAGAATCGGTCGGATAATGCTTAGCTGTAGCTTTTGGCTTTGTGATTTTTTTTATTGCAATGTGTGATGGACCCACCAGAGGGAGCCAACAGACACCAGCAAAGGAAATTATTCTTACAAACTTACTCAGCTAAAAAAAACGATTTATGAGCTAATATCAAAAAAGAATTAGCCGTCATTTAGTGAGTCAACTAATGTTGTTTTAATGTTTTAATTATTTAATGATGAGAGGGATGGTCCACATGGTCCCTTAAAACTGCAACTCTATACCAACGTGTAGAAACACAGTTCAAACCTGTATATTTCCCAGAATGTTAAATATAGAATTTTAAAGATGGTGTGAAATGGAAAATGCGTTAGTCTTTTCTTCCCCATTGTGATCCAAGTGAAGAAAAAATGTAGGGCGGGACTTGATTTTGTCAATGGGGAATTGATTGGATGGTCGTGGGTTGCTATTGGTCGATCTCATGTGAGTGACAGGTTGCCCTCCAATCGCTCCAGTAAACGCATCATCAGAGTAGAGATGCTGCAAGAGGAAGAGGAAGGGGAAGTTATTTCGATTAAAGATTATGAGCACACTTGAAATAAAATAATGATGTGCACGGATAAATCACTGCAATATTCCATAAAAAAACAAGAATTGTCCATTCTGATTTCATAGTGACTTTAAGTACCATTTGTTTGCTCAGATGGAGAGGTCCCTGGCAGTGCTGTGCTGGTGTTTGATGTTGAGATGGTGGACATGGAGGAGGGTCTTCCTGACGGCTACATGTTTGTGTGGAACAACGATGTCTCTCCTGATCTTTTCAGTGAGATGGACAAGAACAAAGACGCACAAGTGGACTCCACTGAGGTATACAGCTTTTGACTGTGTGTTTGGCTGTGTATCACCAATACATCTGCAAAATGTTTATTAAGTTAATTTTATTATTGTCTGTCCCTTCCATACAGTTTTCAGATTACATCCTCCTGCAGGTAGAAGAGGGCAAAGGTCGTCTTGCGCCAGGTTTTGAAACGAAACGCATCATAGAGAACATGTACGATAACCAGGACCGCAACAAGGATGGACGAATCACAGAGGATGAGTTTAAACTCAAGGCAGATGAAGTCACTCATGATGAGCTATGAGGCTGGACTCAGGGATACAGGGTTGTGATTGGTTGTGTGGTTTAATATTATAATAAGTGGGAGGGGTATAAAGATACTGGATTTGCCAGTGAAGTGTCACTGTTGATGACTTTAGATGTTTGTTTGAGAGGTGTGTGCTTGTATGAGTGTGCATAATTGTGTTTATATATGATTTTTGTACATGTATTTGAATGTTTGTAAGAGTCTTGAGTGATACAAATGTGCAAAACATTGCTTTGTAAAAAAAAATCCCTTTAATAAACACATTCCAACCCCCAAAATGTTACTTAAATTACTATTTTATTACAGCTTGAGAAATATTGCTTTTCATAAGTGACCAGCAGAAGTTAGGTAAAAGGTGAGCAGCTTCAACATAACATTTGTTACATAATTTAGGGTTTTAGCTTGTGGACTGACATGTTAAAATGCAATATGTGTGTTATCCGAGGCATAATATTTGCAAGCTTTTTGAACTTTGAATGTTTTCTTCATGATTGATCATGTCCATTCTGATTATGTTCCTGATAATGTTCTTTCAGCCTTAGCAAATAGGAATAGCACTAAAACAGTCGCTACACGACTCAATGAACAATGCCTGAGAATAACATGAGCGTCTAAGTGTCTGTGTCTGCCCGGTGTTTTTGTAATCCTCTGAACGTGTGTCAGTGTGTGTTTAGTAGGTGTGAGGAGATAGAGACTCCAAACCGGAACTGACAGTAACAGACATGAGTACAACGTGAAAACAAACGGACCTTTTCTGTCCCCAAGAATAAAAAAAAAAAGGAAAAAGCATTACTAAATTGTTCGGACACTTGGAAAACAAAACAAAAATTGAATTGAAATCATTACCATCATGTCAAGCATTTATAAAACCCTCCTTGCTAAGCTTTCTTCAAAAATGAACCATTTCTTGATATTTTTATAAGCTTAAAGTTAATTAACTGATAGCTATAACTTGATGTGTTAAAAAGTCCAGTCGTGTATGGATTTTTCTCCAAAAAGTGAGAAATGTCATTACCATCACATCATTATTCTCACATAAAATCCACACATTATACAAAAGTATATTTGAACTTTGATTTCAAGTTGTCCAATGTGCCCCAAATCACTTCCATAAATATCAGACAAAAGTCATTACAGCCAGGCTTTTTACTACTATAATGACCAGTGTTGGGGTAACGCATTACAACAAGTAATGCAAGGTATGTAATCAGATTACTTTCCTCAATGATTTCCGGTCAATTCCGGATCAAAACACAAGCGAAAAAGAAGCAGACGACGAGTTGCTAAAAGCATTGCTTGTGGACATTTAAAATAAAGTGATCATCAAACAGTAAACAGTATATAAACCAAAATCTATGGTTTGATGATCGTTCTGAATCCATTCATAACATTAAAAATGTTTCTTTTTTTTTTTAAATTAAACTTACCCATATTCATGCATGAATCGAGAATTAAATAGTCGAGAACTCTTCTTTCTTTTGATATTTTGCAGATATTCAGATATTCATGCAACAAAAATATACAGAGAGAGAGAGAGAAGAGAGAGAGAGAGAGAGAGAGAGAGAGAGAGAGAGAGAGAGAGAGAGAGAGAGAGAGAGAGAGAGAGAGAGAGAGAGAGAGAGAGAGAGAGAGAGAGAGAGAGAGAGAGAGAGAGAGAGAGATTATATATATATAAAATATATATATTTTTTATTTGTATATTTTGTATATGCTTTGGCAACATTGTTTAAAAAACTTTCATACCCCTTTGAATTGAATTGAGAGAGAGACATATGCTGTGTGAACGTGAAGTGATTAGTAAAATAAGTGCATACTCGGTGATGTGTGAGAATCCGGTTCGTATTTTGCTCTGTGCCCTAGGGCGGGTGTGTGTGTGTGAGTGCCAGTCCTGCCAAACCAGACACAAACGAGTGTGTGTTTAGAAACTACCGACAGCTAAACTTGACAAAGAAAAACCCGCGACAATGAAATACCCAGAGGACATTAGATGAGGTAAAGATATTACATTTTGTTGTTGAAGTAAACATTAGTTGCTTCTTCTCGTTCTTTTTCACCTTTGAGTTGGGTGCAAGTGGGAGAGTTTGACAGGTGCGACTCCATCTGTTAATTTATCCTCGTTTGTTAAACATTTAACTAACCGAAAGTCTTTAGCAGCTTGATCTAAAGTGCATTATACTAGTTTATGCTTGTGTTATATGGAAGTAGATAAGCACTTGGTCTCAGTGCAGTGGTAAGCAATTTGTTTACTTTTGGCTTGTTTGTCGCTGTTTGTTTTGCGCCTGCGCGATTCAAGCATCGCTTTGTATTAAATACTTTGGAAATGAGACCGTTTCATTTCCTGCTGCTGGATTTTAATCTCTTTATTTGTCAGTATAGTTTGGGACAATACAGGGAAATGCAGAATTCTTTGTATATCAGTTACAGTCAAATTCAAATATGAATGAAATATTATATTATACACATTTAACTCTTGTTGCATAGGAGTTTAATATGTACACTTGTGAATTTAGTGGTGTGGAAAGCAAGTTTTTATTTGGTTTACCATTGATTACCACTGATTGCTACAGAAGGATTTAGGGGGTTATAGTATAGGCTAATAATATTTAAGTAAACGTATCAAGAAAAGATGACATTTGGGCTGTAAAAATGATTCAATTTATTAAATAAAGTTAAAAAAAACCATACAAACAAAAAGCATTAAATCATTATCTGAGAAAGTTGATGTTATTATTATAACTGTGTACATATCCTTGTGGCATTACAAACAATAAAAGCAACGTATCAAAGAGCATTAGTGGGCTATTCACATGCCTACCATATGAATTGAAGTCCCTTTATTGCATCTGGAGGACATGAATAGACATTAACGCAGGTTGGAGCTTGAAAATTAATTTTAATTTGATTGAATTTTTTTATTAATTTTAAAGTGTCTTGCAATTGAAAATTGCTTTTCTGATACAAGATCCTTTATTGTTTTTTTTTTAATTGTTTTCTTTAATATGTATTCTCTCATTTGTGCATTCATTCAACTCGTTCAGTTCCCACATTTCCATCTGCAACTCTTAGATGTGGTTTCTCATAAATCTAATCTAAATCATCTTAATAAGCAGGTGTGAAGAACACTGTGAAGTGTGCCTGAAATGGAAGGGGAAGCTAAACTAGATCTATGTCACCTGACTGAGGTGGAGCAAACTGTAATCCTCAATGTTCTGCTGAGAGATGCTGAACTACGCAGCAAAGAGGAAGGGAGAGTACGGTCAGTCTGTGTACAATACTGGACTTATTTGGTTCATGTAAGTCATTGGAGCAATAAGATATTTGTGTTTATTAAGATATTTAAATAAAGATATTTGTGTTTTCAGTAAGCTTCAGCAGACGGTGTCAGACCCTGTCCATCTGCGCTCTCTCTCGGGTGAGTGGTTTCATGAAGAGCGCGCTAAGAGATATCAGAAGGGAGGAGCTGATGTTGTGCATGCCTCCATACGCCGTAAGCGACGTGAAAAAGGTCACATGATCTCCTACTCATCCCTGTAGAGTAATATTTATTTTGTGTGCATATACATGTTGACAATAATCCTTTTTTTAAAGTAGATACACCGGCTTTGACGCATATATTTGATGAAGAAAAAGGTAATAACTCTTCTCAATTACATGAGCAGCGAGAGGAAGAAAAGAGTACAGAGAGAGAATTGCAGGAACATATAAGTGTAAGAGAGGATGACAAGGGCCAGGAAGAGAAGGAAAGAGAAAAAGATGGAGAAAGGTTGGTGCAACTTTTGGTGTCATCTCTCTTGCTTAACTTTGGACTGAGTAAAATGAATGCATCTAAACAGTCTGTATATTAAAGAGGCCATATTATGTCATTTTACAAAGTCATTATTTTGTTTTAAGCTCTATTCAATAGGTTTTCTTGCTTTAAAAAAATGTATATTAAAAAAAAAAATCTGAATGTGCATGTGAACCCCGTCAGCGTTAATCACAGGTTTGCGTTTAAAGTCTGATCATTTTGACGGAGGTGAATTAATCTAAAATTAACTTTAGCTGGAAATAACATTATTCAAGAACCGCTATAAAACCAAAACAATCTCTGTCATCTTAAATTATATGTTTATCTCTGTAAAGCTGCTTTGAAACAATCCATTGTTAAAAGCGCTATATAAATGAAGATGACTTGACTTGACTAAAATATAAAAAAAAACATTATTTTTCACATATTCTCCACTGTTGCAGCTCCTCTCTTCCCAGTCTGTCAGTAACGCTCCGTTTAGTTCCTGTCTCTATGAAGCCCCTCCTTCTGAAAAGCACAATGAGCTCTGATTGGTCGGCTGGATCAGTGTGCTGTGATTGGTCAACCGCTTCGAGCATGTTTGGGAAATGTCCCGCCCCTTACCATAACCACCAGTTTCAACACACTACTAACTAACTCAACCAGTCCCCGCCCCTTTATTTAGAGTATGCCTTGGCCGGGAATTATTTAAATGAGGAATATCGTGACGTGTTTGTTCCCGGAAGAAAACTCAAGACTACACTGGAGGCGTTTCAGGGAGTTCAGAAACAGTGACACTGATATATAGAGAATAACTCTCTTTGGAGTGACTTTGAAACTTTGCAGACCTTTTTCATGCTTAAACAGCAACATTACACACTAAAGAATATGAGAATACAGTGTATTTGGTCATATCTTATTGGGCCTTATTCGCTAGCTTCACTTAGCCTGCGTATGAACATGTTAAAGGTGCAGCTCTTAAAGGTGCAGTGTGTAACATTTTTTAGTATTTATTAACAGAAATGCAATATGACATCCATAACTATGTGTTCAGTGGTGTATAAAGAACTTACTTAATAAACCATAATGTTTTTATTACCTTAGAATGAGGCATTTATATCTACATAGGCGCAGGAATCCCCTTCTATGAAGGTCGCCATATTGTGACGTCATGTTTCTACCGTAGCCCACAGCGAACAAACAACGCTACAGAGCGCGTTTCGTCACTACCTTGAAAGAGAAGCCGCAGGAAGCTAGTCATAAACACCATGAGTAGTGACTTTTCCCTTGTCAGTGGTGTAAATATGTAGTTGGATTGTTTCATGTAACTTAAGTCTTCTCCCTCGCTGTGTTATGGCTTTGCTATGTGGGGATAAATGTGCTGGTTAAGTTCGTGAGACAGCTGATTAGTAGGCTACTCTTGTCATTGACCGTAAAACAGTTACAGGAATCACCAACCCGTCGATCTTGGAAGCATTTTAAGTCGATCGAGTTTCCAAAATCAGAGAAAAAAAGCCTATTGTGTGTGTAGTAAGTGTGTCTAGGGGATGCGGAGGCGCGCGCGCTGTTACAATCACGTCATTTTTGCCGTACGCACCTTTGGGCTCATGCGGACGCGTCGAGTTTAAACAAGGCGCTTTAACCAGCTCAGCCACAGTAACAGCTCATATTAGCCAGCTAAACTTTTACTACCCTGTTAGAAAAAATATATAGTTGCATAGTTTCATGTGGTTCTTCTCCCTCGCTGTATTATGGGTTTGCTATGTGGGGAGAAATGTGCTGGTTACGTTCGTGAGACAATCAGCTGATTACTATTATTATTATATTATGTATTAAGACCCTTGATCCTCACCTGAAACTTTATCCATGATGTGGTTTATAATGGACTGTGATAGTGATACAGAAACTTGGTTTACGCTGGCTATTCTCTGCTGTCTCAGACGACGATGTTTGTCCCGTTTTAGCCACCGTAGCTTCTTCGAAAGGGAGGGGTGAGCGGTGGGCTGAGCCCTTAGTGTAAACTCGCAACCGAACCGCTAGATGTTGCTAAAAATCACACACTGGACCTTTAAAGGAACACTCCGACTTTTTGGGACTTTAGCCTATTCACCTTATCCCCCAGAGTTAGATAAGTCCATACATACCTTTTTCATCTCCGTGCGTGCTATAAGTCTGTTTGACGCACCCACCGCTAGCCTAGCTTAGCACAAAGACTGGATGTAAATGGTTGCTACTTGGGCGGAGTGATAACCGCAGCACCTGAGACGCGCTGTGGTGAGGAGAGAGCGCGTCTCAGGTGCTGCGGTTATCACTCCGCCCAAGTAGCAGTGCTTCGCCTTCAGAGAATATAGTTCCCAGTATTTATGGTTAAATTATGTCTGTGTCTCATGTGACTTTGTTTTTTGTACACTCTGTGACTATACAAATCACAACATGTAAATAGGAAAATCTTTGCGTTATTTTGTCACTTATTTGGATTAGTATGCTAGCTGCAACCATTTACATCCAGTCTTTGTGCTAAGCTAGGCTAGCGGCGGGTGCGTCAAACAGACTTATAGCACGCACGGAGATGAAAAAGGTATGGACTTATCTAACTCTGGGGGATAAGGTGAATAGGCTAAAGTCCCAAAAAGTCGGAGTGTTCCTTTAAAGGGGCCATACCTTATTTCCACTCGTTACAGCGTCCATCCTACTGAACAGGTACCGGTGTACAGGGGGAGGGGATCCGGCCGTGAGTGCGAGCCATCTCTGCGTGAGTGCTATTCACCACAGTACAAGTGCTCCACAGCGACTCTAGGGGTCGCTGTTTGACAAAAACGGAATTCCTACTTAGTGCTGCTGATGAATGATGCAAATGATGAATCAATAATATGTTTAAAATCAGAAATATTGAATGGGAATATTTTCTGTGCAGATAAGATCACTTGTATTTAAGACAAGTCATCTTTATTTATATAGCGCTTTATACAACAGATTGTTTCAGTTTACAGTAATAAACAGGAAAATAACTTTTAATGATGCAAACTTCATCAAATATAAGACAAATTCAAATTCTGCTGTAAAGCAGCTTTTAAAAAGACAATAATGTCATTCTGTTCAGTTCAGTAATGATTCAATTAAAAGTGTCAATGTTGCAAAATTCGTCAATTATGAAACTAAGTCGAATCAGCTATAAAGCAGCTCTGCATAAAACATCTGTGTCATTACTATTACTGAATATTACTGAATATTAAATGTTTTAAACTCGAACTAAGCCAACCAAAGGCTACAGATGCAAGGGTGTGAGCTATAATCCACTGTCTTATATTGTACACTCTTTTTAGTCTCATTCCTGAGGTAACACCTGAACCACAATCCAGGACAAGACACATCACCAAGGTCATTTTACATTTAACATTATATTAACTATGCGTGTGTGAAATATGAGAGATTTCACATAATGCTCTTGCTTTGAACAGAAGAGTGCAGCTGTAGGAAATGGTCTTGAAGGTAAAATTCACTGTACTGACAGTCAAATCATAAGATGCATTTATAAATGCCTCAGCGCTCCACTCTGCTCACCTTCTCTTTCCCTCGTGCCTCAGGAAGTTTTGGAGACCCAGCAGACAAAGAGAGGAGAGTTTTGCCAAGTGCACCACCATATCTGCAGGTCTGTTCAGAGAGGCCTGTTGTACAGATGCACACATGTGTGAGAACCTGTTGTATTATATGTATCCGTGTGTGTGTCTGTAGATGGACTCAGAGGGGGACATTGACTCTGGCAGCACTGAACTAGACTACACTAGGTTTGGCTCAGTTAGCAGCTTGACCTCTCATCATATGGTAAGACACACACTCTCAAGCACAACACATGATGGTCTGCAGCAGAAGCTTTGGAGGTGTAAACAGTGCAGTTTGTGTGTGTGTAGATGAATGGCAGTTTGATGAGCCTGTACAGTGTGGGGGATTTCGGGGATGTTGTAGTATCAGGGCGGATCCAGTTCTCGTTGCAGTATGACATCACGAAGGAGGAGCTTCACGTGCACATTATATGCTGCCAAGACCTTGCATCGGCCCGCAAAAATCGATCGGACCCGTAAGTCTACAATGGCCATGGTCATTTTCATTCAGTCATAACTATTAACTATTTATAAAATGGGAAAGTAGTCATGCTATATGTCTCCCCGATTTCATACTTTCAGTATTTATTTATTTTAATATTTTTGTCTCTTATGCTCACCGGGGTTGATCAAAAATACAGCAGAAACAGTAATATTGTGAAATATTATTATGATATTAAAAGGCTGTTTTCTATTAGAATATATTGTAAAATGTAATTTATTTCTTTGATCAAAGCTGAATTTTCAGCATCATTACTCTTCAGTGTCACATGATCCTTCAGAAATCACTCTTATGCTGATTTGCTGCTCAAGAAACATTTCTGATTATTATCAATGTTGTAAACAGTGGAAACTGTGATGCGTTTTTTCAGGATTCTTTGATGAACAGAAAAGTCAAAAGAAAAGTGTTTATTTGAAACATTAATTATGTCTTTACTGCCAATTCAATGCATTGTTGCTGAATAAAAGTATTAACGGTAACATTTTTTACTTAAAGCTTTTATATATAATGCATTATAAAAGTATTATTAGTGCATTAATTATGCCTTGTAATGCACCTTATAATGCATCGTATGGTCTCAGGAATAATTTTAATGTGTATAATACTTATCTATTTATTGTTACAAAGTATAATGCATTAAAACACAGGACAAACAACCAATTTCAGATTTAACAAGGAATCTACCAATATTATAATGCATTTTAACTTTGGTTAAAATTATTTATGAAAAGATTTAATGCATTATACATAAAGGCTTTAAGTAAATGTTACCATATTAATTTATTTTAAAAAAATCTTACTGACCCCAAACTTTTGAACGTATATATATATATAATGTATGTTTCCATCTTTCTCTCACACACACAGATACGTTAAAGTTTACCTTCTCCCCGACAACACATCCCGCAGTAAGAAAAAAACTGCAACGAAGAGAAAAACATTAAATCCAGTCTATGATGAAACCATGAAAGTCAGTTCTCTTTATTATTTTTACAAATTACTCCTGTGAATTTAAAATACATTACTGAACTTACAGTACTATTCTTTCCCCACTCAACTATATAATGTTGCCTGTACCAGTACAAAGTGCGCAGACTGGACCTCCAGGCTCGTGTGTTGAGTATGTCAGTCTGGCACTTGGAGAGATTGAGGAGAAACCTGTTCCTGGGGGAGGTGGAGGTGAGGCTGGGTCTGTGGGACTGGAGCCAGAGCCAACCAACCTGGCACAACCTGCAGCCAAGAGTGAGCCCAATTCAGAGATAGGCTGATATGTGTAATGAAATAAACCTGTGATGGTCATCTGGAGACTCTTTCTCTTGATGTAGGTTCAGTTAAGTCCAGATGCCATCATCAGCAGAGGAACCATTCTGTTCTCAATTAAGTTTGTACCTCCGGGTTCAGAGGGTGAGTCTGAGCAGATGCTTCATATTTAAAACCTTTATATCCACATTTATATGCAGGGCCATTACTAAATGTCATGTGGCCCATTACCAGCTTTTATGGGTGGGCCCACTATCCCTTCAGTAAACGGCTATACTGTAGAGCAGGGATTCCCAAACTTTTTGGGTCAGCCGAATCCATTTGATATAAAATATTTTCTTGAAGTACACCCTGAGTACACCCTTTATGTTCATTTTTCAATTACTTAACAAGACTCTCTGACATTGGATAATGGTCACATGTCATAGGTTAACAAATAAAATATTTTAATTATACATTTTTTAATTTCGTCAGAAACTTATTTTGTGATTATTATTTATATCATATTTTTTACATGATTATTGTTATTACTTTTAACTTTAATTATACACAATGAAGCCAGAAATATATTACCAATTCAATTGCACTTTAAATAAAAAAAATTTATTTGATCATTAAAAAATAATTTAATTTTACACTCCAATACTAATTATTCCAACCCTCAAGCTTTTATTTTGGAGTAAAATCGGTTTTGCTGTTTAGTTGACAACAGGTTTATAACCACTAAATTGTAAATTATAACCAGCTTTCCAGCTATATGTATATATATATATATATATATATTTTACTATTACTTGTGCAGCCCTATTTCTTTATTTTAAATGTTATGATTGTATTCTTAGCTTTTCATCCAATCACAAACCCCTTGTTTGGTAAACTGCTGAAGAGGACCTTATTGGGTCCCTCTGGTCTCATTACTGATTGGTCCTGGGACAGTGTTGCCCCCCTGTGGTCTGTTCAGGTACAGTGTGTTTAAAACCCCTTCATGTCAATATCTTGTTTTGTGTGTTCTGTGAGTGACTGCAGGAAATGGTCATCCACTGACTGGTGAGCTCCATATATGGTTGAGAGAGATTGTTGGTCTACTTCCCACAAAACGTGGTGCACCCAACACATTTGTGAAAAGGTGTGTGTGTGCACATTCATGACAGAGTGGTTTGTTTAATTTGTTTATTATGTATGAGTGCATGAGTATGGTCTGTGTTTGTACAGTGTGGTGTTACCAGATGAAAGCGGCATCAGTGGCCAGCGGACTCGACTGGTGCGAGCTTCTGTCAGCCCGGTGTTCAACCACACCATGGTTTATGACGGGTTTCAGTCCAGTGACCTCATTCAGGCATGTACAGAAATAACGGTCTGGAATCCACATCACTCCGACTGTCTGGGTGGAGTCCGACTCAGCACAGGCTCTGGTAATACAGATTTGAACATACTTGACAATAAAAATAAAAACAGCTAAGAGATAGAGAGGACCTATTATGCCCTTTTACAAAGTCTTGATTTTGTTTTTGGGCTCTACTAGAATAGTTTTTCCTGTTGAATGTTCAAAAAACACCTTATCTTACATATTTGACATTGGTGCAGCTCCTCTCTTCCCAGTCTGTCAGTAACACTCTGGGGTGCGTTTCCCATGATGTTACTCTCTACTTAACTACCATAGTACGATGCATCGTTGAAGAAATCAACTAGCTAGTCACGATTGTTTCCCAAAACCGTATTGTCGCAAATTGGTCATTCAACCACGTTGGTTTATGACGTCACACACGTCACGTGGTGGAGTAATAACTTTCTGTAATGAATCTGTTTGAGATCGAATTAATGCTAGATATTTTGCTATAAATGACAGACATGGCATCTGAGGACTATTTCTCATTTTTCTCAGTTATTTCGCTTTATTTCCAGATTCAATCATAGGCTCGTTCTTACATCGTAGAGCACGTTCGCACATGCGCACTCTTCAAAAACGGCGCTGTAAATCTCTTGACAAACTCAAAGACGTAAATTACATTTGTATGTATTCTAAATAAAAGATACAGATTGTAATGAATGTCAGCTTGCTTATTTTGCTCAAGACAAGGATTTATTAAGCCCACATGTCATGCAAACAAGAAACTCTGCTTCTAACCACAGCTCGAGAGCTGTCGTTCCAAACTTTGCGATGCTATTTGCGAAAGTTCGTTAGAATGATGCTTTTGGGAAACACCAACTCATTTAACTATGCTAATAACGACGGAACTTGCGACCATAGTTGGCTAACGATGCTTTTGGGAAACACACCCCTGTTTAGTTCCTGTTTCTATGAAGCTCCTCCTTCTGAAAAGCACAATGTGCTCTGATTGGTCAGCTGGATCAGTGTGTTGTGATTGGTCAACTGCTTTGAGCGTGTTTAGGAAATGCCACTCTCCTTACCATAACCGCCAGTTTCAACCAACCAACCAACCACCCTCTTATAACTCTTTGAGTGACTGTGCTTTGTAGACATTTCATGCTCAAACAGCAACATTACACACTAAAAACAATATGCTGAAAATGTAAAAAGGCATAATAGTTCCTCTGTGTGTTTATGTGTTGCAGGAGTGAGTTACGGTCAGTCAGTTTGCTGGATGGATTCTACTGAAGATGAGATCAGTGTGTGGTCAAGAGTGATGCAGAGCTCCAGCAGCTGGGTGGACACTAGTCTACCAATCAGGACCAACTTACAGCTCTGCTCTGACTGAACTTTGTTCAACTTATGCATATTCACCATGTGACATTGGTTGCGAAACAGTTTGAGTAAAGACTGGAATACACTGCACTGCAATACTACTGATTTTTGACCTGATTTCAGTCTGGACAAGTTGACACGGCCAGTCCGCAGATTTTAAGCACTCAGAATTGACAAATTTCATTGTGTAGTGTACACAACAGACTCACAGATTTTTAGCTTCAGACTAGGATTTCATCCAGTTGGAGGATATCAAACATGTTTCATGTTTTAAACAGTGCCTACCCTTATCTTACCATTTCACCTCCAAATACTGTAGCAATCTGTACAGGACAGAAATCAGATCAACCTCCTCTACATGAAGTTCTAGAAAGGGAATGGAAACAATCATATTTTGCATAAGTAGTGGATTTTTTTTACAAAACAGTCCTCACACATTTCTTTGAGTATGTTGCCAACATATATGATAGTGTTTTTGCAAGAGTTTGTCATGCAGATCTGAGGGAGAAAAATGAGAATTCATAACAAACTAACTTAAACTGCTCTCTTAGGAGAATAGTGGCATTTTCATCTTTTCTTGTATCTAGATATTTAGCTAAATGTATAATTTTCAATTAACACCTTTTTCTTTAAATGTACATTAATCAGTTTTCAAAAAATGACTATAATCCTGTTCTAATATTGTATGTACTTTTTTTTGTCAGATTATTCAATAATAATTTTTGCTTACATTAGGATGAATTAAAAAATAAAATGACAGCCATTGTATAGTTGTAATATAGGCGTATTATGTAAAATTGTATACATTTGTGTGCTTCTTTATTAAACATGGTCTAACTTTTTCCACAGTGGCAGTAGCTCATCTCATGTTTTAAGCATTTCTGCAAAGTTTCTTTTTCCCATCTCTCTTTTCACTCGTGATTTCACAGATGATTCTTGCGGTCTCAGTCATTTCTGGGTGTGTCCGTAAAACATGGCGGAGGAGAGAACGACTGAGGGTTGAGTTTGTCTATGAGTTTATTTCGTTTTACCCACGTCATTTACATTCTTCTTACAGCCATGCATATTCACATAGCCTAAATTACCATCCGATTCTTGTTGTATGCATTTTATACAGCGAAAACAGCTTTTATTCGACGGAAATCCGGAACGGTTGTCAACAAATGGGACGCTGCATTTTATTCAAAGTCATATGGATATTACTAAATATGAGTTATTATTACGACCTCCGAAGTGGGAAGTAGGACATTTCCGATAAATGCAGCAATACACATCACGACGATAATATTTTTATCCATCTACAAATTTGAAGAACTAGGTTCTATTTAGGCTACTATGTACGTTATTTGTCAGCTAATTATTTGGGATATTGATCTCGAGAATCATATCGAGAATTGTCATAGTTCGATAAATATTTGTCTGCCCCCAAATGGACCCTCATGACATAACGTTATACAGTATGGGAGTTGATCTCGTGATTTAATTTCCTATAGCAACATGCCAAGTATGCTATAAAATAAGTTTCGTTTCTATTCTTAGTTATAGAAAAGTTAATAATACATTTTGTGATCTCTCTCTGTTTCTTCCCCAGATGCCACTCCAGTTGGTGTCAGGACAGCTCCTGATTTTGGAAAGATGTATCATGTCAAAGGTGCATTTCTGCCTAATTACCCAGTACAACCCAGTACAGTACACTTCTTTTTCAGTATGTTACATGTACCTCTTTTATGTAGGTATGCTGTCTTTGCCTTATTCTGGTGATTCTAAGCTAAAGGAACCGTTTGAAGTTTGGTACGACCTTGAGGGGAACAGAAGTCGCATCGACTATCGTAATAGTCAGTGATTCTCATGATAAAGTCACATAGTGTTAAAATCAAAATAGATTATGTATGCAGTTTCTCTTCATTGGTGCTCTCTATACAGGTACAGTGCGCACTTTTCTGATTGGAAACGACTTGGATTATGGTGCCATTTACCAGATCACACCAGTTACCACTGAGACTGAAATCCAAGCTATTAAATATTTCCAGCTTAATGGTACAAAGGAGGATCCAATACGTCCACAGACAGCACTGCCTGATCTGCAGGGCTTTGAAGTATGTACTTCTTAAAGGGACAGTTCACCCAAAATTGAAAAATTCTATCATCATTTACTGATCCTCATGTCTTTCAAACCTGAATGACTTTCTTCTTTAGAGCAAACCAATGCAACAATGAGGCTGAAATGTGTATAAAATGTTGTTTTGTTTTGTGCAGTTTGAGAAGATGGAGGATTACGCAGGCGTTCAGCGTGAGGTCTGGAAAAAGGTCACACAGGCCGGTCATAAGAAGAACACATATCGTCTGTGGGTCACACGTCCAGAGGGAAATGATTCCCCAGCCGTCCCGTACCACTTTGAGATGATGGGCTTCAACACTCTCTTGGAGTCTCACAATGACAAATACATGATTGACTACAGTGACTTCAGTCCCCAAACTGAGTCGGACATTTTCACTCCCCCTGGAGGTAACTGGAGAACACACATTCAGTGACATCCCTGTGTCCGTCTCTTTTACTCTTACAGACCATCTAATCAAATGCTCACTGAGGTTTTATGTGTTTAGAAATGGCGTATGAGGAGTTTCCGGATCCTCCTGAGGAGCATCAAATATTGGCCAACCCCCTTCAAGACTATGTCCACACCTCTCCTGTTAGCCACGCCCACCGTTTGTTTGGCCCCTTTAAGGAGAAGTTTAAACGTCAGTATGCAAGTGAGAAGGAGCACGAGGAGCGCGAGAGCTACTTTGTACATACTCTTCGGTGAGGAAAAACAAAAAACAGTTGATATTTAGTGATGTAAAATTACATTATAAAAATAGACACCAATTTTATTATTTACATAATCGATTAAATAAGCAATACTGTATGAGAGTCTTGTGAATATAGTCATGGCTAAAAACATTTGGAAGGACAATGGTAATCCCTCATGTATGTCTATCAGCAGGTCAGTTATAGTAATTAATATACATAATTATAGCTGCTTCTATCACTGTATGTGTGCTGATCTGCTGACAAAGATATTTCAACTAAAATAACAACCAAAAAGAAGTCGTCTTAAACAAAAATGTTCATAGTTATGAACATAACTCATTAATATAAATGCCTTATTCATTCAGTCATTAATTCATAGTTGTCGCAACAATAAGCCGCTTTTCCACCGTCGGGCCAAACGGTTTTAAGAATGATGAGTAACGGTTCAGTTATATTTCCACGTGAGCTTGGTTCGCCACGGCACGATTACAAACTGCTCTCGGCCCTGAACGCTGGGCCGGATCAGCATTGAATCGTTAAGCAAAGAGAACGGTTTAGTCTGACGTTGGAAAAGCAGTGGAATTTTTAGGGCCTTTTTAATATTTTTTTTTATACAAGTAGTACTAGTAAGCAGTCTTTGACCTTGCCTTATTTAAGATACTTATGCTTTCTTTTTTACATCCTCTTCCTCCTCAGGCTTGTGCACTCTTCAAACAGAGCCGGTCTTACATTCAGCCTCGGTATCAATGACTCCGCCGATTGGTCAAAGGCGGAGCTGGCCAGAAGGAGAGGACGTTTACGTGTTGCGGAATAGAGAAAGGTTGTTAAACAGCCCTCACACTTTTCTTTGAGTATGTTCCCAATGTGTGTATTAACAAGTAGCTCAACTAACTTAAACTGTCCTCTGATGAGAAAAGTGTTTTCATCTTTTCTGGGCTGCAAAAATGAATCGATAATGTTAAAGCTCCAGTCCGCGGTTTTTCCTCTTTGTCGCCATCTCTGTTCGAAATCTGCAATTGCAGTAATTCGCGGAATTATCAACTTTACGTGGGTTGTGCCTCGACACCCTCGACACGGCACAGCACGGATGAACACAATGTTTGAGGAGAGTGTGCGGCTGTCAGTCGCCGCGCTGGTGTGGATACTGGCATTCAGAATCACAGATTATTCTTTTTGGAAGTATGACCAACATATTAATTTTCACCGGAAAATGTCTGAACAAGTGAGTAACATCCACTTTTGTTCTGGTTCTGACATTGCAGTAAATCGCGCTGATTAAATCTAACAATAGCTTATCATATCACGTAAAACCGTGCAAATTATACTTTGTTCTCAAATTGTTAATGTTAACAACGTCAGCATTGCGTGACTACATGTCCTTTCGATATTTATCCTTGTAATTTGCATGGGCCGGCTGCTTTTTATGTAGCCACTCCGAAGTCCGAACGAAGTCTTTTGCATTTTACAGCGGGTGAATCTCTAGTTGTCACTGGTGATTGTCGTTTGAACCTTTCTGGATCCGCCATCAAATTGATAAGTTTAATTATATCAAGTGCTGTGAGAAAAGGCTATAAATCTCTACCTCCAACATCCTCACACACAACATAGCTTATACTAGCCGAGACTCTTCTTTATGTGTACAGATGTGTGTGTACAGATGTGACGTAATGACGCAAAGACATGCTCGAATCTCCCGTGGAAATCCACCAGTACCACTGAAATTAAAAACATTATTACAAGCTTACCGCTTTGAATCGAGCTAAGGCAAGCAGATAGTTTTGAACACTGGCTGGTTATGTATTTTCTCAAATATGTATTTTGGATAATTTTTAACCCAAAAAAGCTACGGACTGCAGCTTTAATAAGCGGTGACAGATCGATTAGCTGCACGGAAAGCATCCTCCAGTCATGTCCCTTTGCAGAAGTGAATAATGCATTTCAATGAACAATACATATCATAAACATCAACAACACAGAATTAGCTGCTGTGGGAAAAGAGCACATCCCGTGTGGTCATAAACATAATGCACTGTTAAAAACATAATTAAGTGCTTTAAAGAAGTGCATAAGCATGAGGTTTACCGCAGCTCGCTCTGTCAGGCGCCTCGACAGATCCATGTGTTGATTCAAGTGTTTTCTCCTGCGCATGACTTGCATTTTGTTTATATCATTATCTGTAAATGTTCGAAAGCCAGGGAGTATTTTCGTTTTGCATAAAGGCTTGTCATGACAGCAAGCGGTAGTTAAACTTCACAGACTTTACTGAAGGAGCGTCAAACGACAGCCATTAGAATGGAAGTGCAATAATTCTGATGAAAATATACATGTTGCTGCATTAAATGTGCATTATGTTGGGTGTTAAATGAATGTTTGAAATATTACATGTAACACGACTAACTTTTTTTTCTGAGAGCATTATCTGTAAAGAGACTGTAGTGTTGGCCTACTATATAGCATTACCTACGTTATAGATATATAATTTATTAAATTTGCATTCATAGCCTTCAATTTATTGTTTTGAGGACAACATTGGGCAAACTTTTTTTAATTAAAATGCCTTTTTTATCCAATTATTTGAAGACACAATAAACGGATTAATCAATTATCAAAATAATTGTTAAATGCTGCCCTACATCTTTTGCTAAATCATCTTTTGAATAAGTGCATTTGTTTAAATGGAGTATCTTCATTTTCAACTTATTTTGCAAAATGTATCCATTTCAATGTATGGCTTGAAGTCTGTTTGCTTGACATTTTTGGTCAACCCGAAATGTAATAAAATACTAACTAAACAACACTATAAATAAGTTCTGATATTGATAACCTTTTGTGTCATTTTTACTTGCATTAGGATTAATGAAACAATTAGACACCCTTATAATTGTAATATTATTTTAAATTTTATTACATTTATTTTCTTTTTTTAGCTACACTTGATCTAAATTTTTTCCACTGTGCCAGTAGCTCATCTCATGTTTCAAGTTAATATCTTTTTCACATTGCTGATGCCAAAGTAGTTCAATTTCTTCCTCTAAATGGTTCCTTAATCCTGCCTAATCCCCCCCCCCCCCCCCCCCCAATACATATTCTTTCTTGTTTTATGACTCCATCTACCATTTAATTGCCTTTAATATCCCAGCATGTAGCCATACCCACAAAAAGTAACATCATATTTAGAATTATAAAGTGTATGTACTATTAACATTTTTCCAAAATAATGGTCTTGCAGTGAACTCTTTTTCTTATACAGGTGAAGTCTGAGCAAATAACCTCTACCCATTCTAATGCCTATGAAATAGCTAATATTTCAGATGCAAACAGAAAGACCATCATTTAATCACTGAGGTGAGAAATAAACATGATCCATCTATATACATTTAAACATGTTGAACATTTTTTTTACGGTGATGACATTTATTTATTTATTTATTTATTTATTTAAAAGGGACAATGCATATTAATGAACATCTTTTCAGAGATGTAAATATGCCAGAATTAGCCCCAGGGCTACTTTACATCTGCAGTCCCCCGTCAGGTCATCACAATAACAAACAACAATGCTAACATTTAAATTTACATATAATACTACACAGTTTAAGGACACCTCAATATTCAAATAACATACTACAAGAGACATCACTGTTTTCAAACAAGTTACACATACACTTATACAAATAAAGTGCTATTCTATGTACTTTAACTACATTGCAATTATGCTAAAGTTCTAAAAGTTACAATAAAGTGCTGGATCTGGTTTGGTATACATACAAATACTTAAACAATACTACAGTGATCTTACCATATACCTCATAAATAGCTAAAGAGTATATAAATAGTTTATTTTACTATTTATATACACATTAGCTATTTATTTAGGAGATTGATCTATGTTATCACTGTAAATCAATGTTCAACACACTGAACATCAGCCCATTGTAAACAGTGCTTTATATAACATACACTTATTTTCCCCTACAAATTCAAAACACTCAAACAACCACTTAAGAGCTGGCCAATCTTCAATTTGAGCCTATATTCCACGGCCCGTATTCATAAAGATTCTTAATGCAAAGACTAGCTCCTAGTGACAAAATTCTAAGAAAATTCGTAGAAATGTGGGTGTTTACTCTTAAAATTAAAGTGAAAAATCCTAGTACTGAAAGAAAAAAGTAATTCAGAAAGTATCTTAACCCTTAAAAGAGGTCTTAAGGTCAAAATTGTTAGGAGTATGGACGAGGACTTTTAAGAGGCTTAAGAGTTTCTTTAGCAGAGGAGAAAATGGCAGAAAGAAGAGGAGGGAGAAGAAATGTGTTGCAGACAATGGATGACAGTGAGACGCTATATATTGATACCCGGCCTGAATTTTCCTTTAAGGATGGCCTTGTGTTCATCCACTAACTGGGCTAACTGAACACTGTTCCTCTGTCCAATCGGGCTTTCTCGCCCTTCTTGGTTTTGATTCCATGTTTGTTACATTAAAACCAACATTCAAACCAACACTTAAATAGACATGCCAGCAATCAGTGTAATTGGAAAGAGTGGAACAATTTTTATCATTCTAAGCCAATCAAATACGGTATACCTTATAGGAAATTAACAGCATGGTAAATAAAAAAAAAGTATTATACACATATATAATGTGTGTGTGTGTGTGTGTGTGAGAACGGTCAAATAGGAAAAATGACGCATGTAATTTCAAAGTGAAGGCTTAGAATAGACCCTATACTTAAAATCACTCTTTTTTTCCCTTCTTGGACAACCAACCAATCACAGTCTTCAAAAGATTGTGTCATACATAGCAACAGGGTCAGCCCCGCCTCCTCACTAAGATTTTGTCTTTTCCTTACTCAGAGTTGCTCTCAGATCGATCCCGAATCGCTCTTAACCTAAGACTCCTACATAAAAGTTGTTAAGCTAAATTAAGAGTTTTCTGAGAGGATTCTTAGAATCTTTATGAATACGGGCCCAGTAGTTTAAGTTAATTAAATTGCTTTTTTACATATATCTTAACCAATAATTCAGGAATGAGTGTACCTTTAAAAGCACCAGCACATTCACAGTACTTTTTCCCAGGGGTGAAAGGTGGACTGATTCCAGGCGACCCTCAACAATCACCCCCACAATCTCACCTGAGGGGTATCAAACACAGACCTTGACCCAGCTCAATAAATATTTGTCCACCCCACCAATGAACCCTCTTCTCTGTCATATGTGACGTTAATCCAGTCCCTCCTTCGTGTGTTTTTACTGCGCACTTCTGCTATCCACGAACACTCGTGTTTGACGTTTTCAGACGGACGAAAGCTTATTTTCCATCTCCAGTGGATGTTTGTCTGCTTTAGATTGCACTATGTGGCGTCTTCTAGCTGGGTTCGTGCTTCTGCTGTGTGCTGCAGGTAAAGAGAAAAAACAGGAAGAAAACATGATAATATGACACATTTCCTGTGATGTTTTGAACACTAAATGTGTTGTACAACAAGTATTCAAGTAAAGTTGATTCAGTGAATTGTGATCTCTCTCTGTTTCTTCCCCAGATGCCACTCCAGTTGGTGTCAGGACAGCTCCTGATTTTGGAAAGATGTATCATGTCAAAGGTGCATTTCTGCCTAATTACACAGTACATCCCAGTACAGTACACTTCTTTTTCAGTATGTTACATGTACCTCTTTTATGTAGGTATGCTGTCTTTGCCTTATTCTGGTGATTCTACGCTAAAGGAACCGTTTGAAGTTTGGTACGACCTTGAGGGGAACAGAAGTCGCATCGACTATCGTAATAGTCAGTGATTCTCATGATAAAGTCACATAGTGTTCAAATCAAAATAGATTATGTATGCAGTTTCTCTTCATTGGTGCTCTCTATACAGGTACAGTGCGCACTTTTCTGATTGGAAACGACTTGGATTATGGTGCCATTTACCAGATCACACCAGTTACCACTGAGACTGAAATCCAAGCTATTAAATATTTCCAGCTTAATGGTACAAAGGAGGATCCAATACGTCCACAGACAGCACTGCCTGATCTGCAGGGCTTTGAAGTATGTACTATAGAACACAAAAGCTATTTAGAAAAATGTCTCAGGGGCCGTTTACACGACACCAATTTCGACTACAAACTTTTCATGCGCTTTGGCCATTCATTTACATGACAATGGTGTATTAGGGGGCTGAAAACGCAAACTTTTGAAAACGGGTTTCAAAGTGCAAGATTCTGAAAACAATACCGTTATTTTCTCTGTGTAAACTACAAAAATGTTAATTTGTGAAAACAGTGACATCATGCGAATGTGGATTATGTGTTCAATCTATGTGTTCACAAGTGCATTGTGTTTTTTTTACCAAGTGACCGCTAACTACTGGCCTGGCAGCAGAATACAGTGATTTAGGCTGTTTTTGCGGATCCTTGTGAACGGGATCGTTTTGACAACGTTGTCGTCTGTTCAATTAAACTCAATTAACATTTATTTGTATACATTTTACAGTGCATATTGTTTCAAAGCAGCTTTACAGAAAATGCATGTCTATACTTTAGAGTGATTATCATAGGTGACTGTCCAAGTTATTTATTTCAGAAATGTAGCCTACATATTCAAATCACACAGTTAGCTAATAATGTATTCATTTAAACAATTAATTTAAGGTAGAAACAATGAGCTCATCGAAGTAATGAATACATGTTTGTTAACGATTATATCAACATGACATCAGTCTGAAATATATGACCTACCCCAACCCCGTCCCGTCCCTAAACCTACCCGTCACTGGGGTTAATACCATTTATGAGTCTTCCCCTACCATCCTAGGAAAAAAATATTGCTCCACAGATGTAAATATACATTTTGCTTCGTTTCGCTCGTACATTTAACGGCGTATACATACACGCGGAATCACTCGGACATTTAACGGCGTACGTACACATACACGCAAAAGAGGACGGTTAATTTCGGCGTGGACATACACGCGGATAGCTCAAAATGCGTATAGATAACACGCCACTTGACTTGAAAGTGGCGTGTATATGTTTACGCAAAGTCATGATGTCATGTTGTATATTTATATATACAGTAATGTAACATTAAGTCAAGACGTTGATAAACACGCTGAAAAGCGATTATGCGTGTTGATAGCACGCCAAAAATGGAAATACGAATTGGCGTGTCTTACGCCATTTCATGAGATCAGTCTGGATATATAGAAAAATGTGAATGATTGAAGATCAATTAAATACACAGGAGCTGAACCGTCTGTATGCGAAAAACGCGAAGGAAATCCTTTTCCTGTTTTAAGTACATCAATGACGTGTAAACAGCCCCTCAGTGTTGTTGTTTTTTGTCCGAATGATGTAAGTCAATGGGGTCCAATGTTTTGTTTTGGACTCCACTGACTTTCACTGTATGGACAAAAACAGTTGAAAAAGTCCGAAATGTCTTGTGCTATGTAGAAGAAAGTCAAACAGGTTTAGAAAGATATGAACAACATTAAATCCCATAGATTAAATTATTTGTATAAAATTTACATAAAATCATTGTTTTGCAGTTTGAGAAGATGGAGGATTACGCAGGCGTTCAGTGTGAGGTCTGGAAAAAGGTCACACAGGCCGGTCATAAGAAGAACACATATCGTCTGTGGGTCACACGTCCAGAGGGAAATGATTCCCCAGCCGTCCCGTACCACTTTGAGATGATGGGCTTCAACACTCTCTTGGAGTCTCACAATGACAAATACATGATTGACTACAGTGACTTCAGTCCCCAAACTGAGTCGGACATTTTCACTCCCCCTGGAGGTAACTGGAGAACACACATTCAGTGACATGCCTGTGTCCGTCTCTTTTACTCTTACAGACCATCTAATCAAACGCTCACTGAGGTTTTATGTGTTTAGAAATGGCGTATGAGGAGTTTCCGGATCCTCCTGAGGAGCATCAAATATTGGCCAACCCCCTTCAAGACTATGTTCACACCTCTCCTGTTAGCCACGCCCACCGTTTGTTTGGCCCCTTTAAGGAGAAGTTTAAACGTCAGTATGCAAGTGAGAAGGAACACGAGGAGCGCGAGAGCTACTTTGTACATACTCTTCGGTGAGGAAAAGCAAATCTGTGATAAATCTGTGAAGTTGTCTGATTTAAGGTGCAAATGCTTTTTTTGTTTAACATCCTCTTCCTCCTCAGGCGTGTGCACTCTATGAACAGAGCCGGTCTTACATTCAGCCTCGGTATCAACCACTTCGCTGATCGGTCTAAGGCAGAGATGGCCAGGATGACAGGAGGTTTATTAATTCCAAATAAGAAAAAGGCTGTTACAAAATAGTCCTCACACATTTCTTTGAGTCTGTTGCCAACATATGATACAGTATGATAAACTTTCTCAGACTTTCTAAGAGTTTGTCATTAAAATCTAAAGGTTAAAAAAATGTGAAATCATTGTTTTAAGTAGTTCAACTAACTTAAACTGTCCTCTGATGAGAATAGTGGTAATTTAATCTTTTTCTAAATCATCATCATAATTACATTTGGTTTAATTGAGTATCTGCATCTTCAAGCTATTTTGGCAAGATGTATAATTTTCAGTTTAGGGTTTGTAGCTGGTCTTCTGTGTATAAAGTGTTGATGGTGACATTGCTTATCGAATCTCAAATGTCATTAAATACTAATGATTGAAATACTGATTAAAGCCATAAGTTTTATCTTTGATTAAATGTAACATCAGTTCTGACCAAAGATTTTGTATCAAATCAATAAATAAACTTCTGTGTCAGACTATTCAAAAATCTGGTTTAAAACCAGTTTACTCATACTTAAATTAGGCTGATTTTTTTTTTCAAAAGAAATAAAAATGAAGATAAAAAATGTTCTGGATTTATTTCACAATATGGAAGAAAAGATCAGTTGCGGCTTTCATTTCATTGCTACTTTAACGCTTTAGGTTTTGAAGGTTTGAAAGTGTTAAAAATGTTGTAAAATGAATGCAAATTATTTTTGGATATTCATTGTAAAGTAAAACTATAATTTACAAAAACTAATTTAATTTAGTGTGTGATTTACACACATCCCCGGTATCAACAACTTCTCAGATTGTGGAGCAAATACTGTTAAAATTGATTAGTTGAGTACATAAACTTTGAAAAATCAAGTAAATGAACACCTCTCTTAATTAGAAAAAGAGTGTGAAATTACAAGTTACTTGAGTGCATTGTTTTTCTACAGTGAAATTCCCTGATTAAGAGGAAGATTAGGAATATTAAGAAAATTAGGTTGCAGTTACCTAATAAGAATGAGTTCAGACGAACATAATGTGCTCAAGTTAGTACAAGTTAATTTTCTTTTGTTTCAAACTCGCTGTTGACTTGAGTAATGCTAGTAATACTATTCTAAAAAAAAGACAGAACGTTTGTTATTTATTTAAATATTTAATTTATTTATTTATTTATTTGATATTATTCTTTAATAAACAACAAAATTGCTTACACATTTGCATGGTCATTTGCATGGATTTTAGGGCCAGCACAAAGTCAAATGTGTCTAGATGCAGTGTGTACACAAGTCCACATAAAAGACACGGAGGATTTGGGTAACTTCCCAGGCCGTCAACAACAATTATAACAAGAAGTACTATTGCGATGAAAGATGCTTTGAGGTGTGAATGGGTTGGTCTTAGATTTGGACTGTCAGTATTCCCACAGCCATTTGAGTGAAGTCCTCGGGCAAGTCACAGTTTTGCAAATGAAAAACAGAATTAAGCTTAGAAAATGTTGTGTTGTGGCTTTTAAAGGCACACTATGCAGGAATTCTGTTTTTGTCAAACAGCGACCCCTAGAGTCGCTACTGTCGTAAATGCCACTCACGCAGAGCGTCTGCCATAGACTGGTCTCTGCACTCACAGCCTGATACCCCTTTGATACCCCTTTGAAGCTGTTATATTAAGGTACAAATCTTGCATAGTGTGCCTTTAAATAAGAGATCTAGCGCTAAAATTTGTTTTTGAACTCAACCTGCTATCAGTGTCATGGATACAAAGTGTCTCTTGTGGCGGCGTGCGTGCAGTCTTCACTCGGACGCGCTCTTCAATCTATCAGTCTCCGCAACGGCGATAGATTGACGGAGACTCTATTCATTCCGGTGAAATCACAAAATAAAATGCACACAAACTTACTAGTCCTTACAAAGATTTACTTACTAGTCCATCAACAAGATCGCCAGGTAAGCATCACTGTTGCATCCAGTGCTGCTTTTTAGCTTGCGCCAACGAGTGAAAGCCCGACCGAGTGGGACTCTTGTCCGGTTCCTCACGCGGTCAGATTCTCTTTTCCTTTTCCTAGTCTCTTCCGACCGCGTTTTCTTTGCTTTTTCCATCGTCGAGTATCACGTCTGAAATGCGCGCAAGTGTCTTCGTGCTTCAAATGTTGTTGTTGATGTGTGTGACGTCGTTGTTGATGTGTGTGTCATAGTTGCCGTAAAGCATGTCGTCATTCCCGCGAGATTTGTCGGGGGCGCTCCTCTCAAACTTGCATTGCTGGTTTTTCCAGCGGCGTCCCCCCCCCCACCCAAGCTTTACTACCAGGATGATTCGCCCTACTATGAGTTTGTTTACCACCGAAATGACTTTGAAGCTGTTATATTAAGGTACAATTCTTGCATAGTGTGCCTTTAAATAACCAGAATACCACTTCTTCCTCGTGAAGGAGACACATAAAAATAATGTTTATTCGTAAGGAGGCTGAAGAAAGTCAATGTCACATATGGCATCAAAGAGCAACTGCGCGAGCTTTGATGAGGACGTTCAAGATCTCAATGAAGAAGATTATTAATGAAGGCCAAAACATGTAAATTATGTGTTAACATGTAATTTCGTGTTAAGATGTTTGTTTCACATGTTTTGGCCCTCTTGGCCTTCCATAGTTTATTGCAGATGACAAAGTAGGCTACATGAAGCACTGGACGGAGTCGGAATGGACCCCGAACATCCTCATCATCAATTTTTTTTATCCTGTGACAGTTTACCACCCCTAATGTAAATGAAGTTGCTCATGTTGTAACAAATGTGGTCTGTATGTTAATGAATTTGAGATCACCCCATTGTCTGAGATGGTTCAGGGTTCCTCACCTGCTCCAATTCTACAATTGATGACCATTTGCTCAGGATGTGATCACCCTATAGGGCAGAAACAATGAAACTGTTGACTTTGTTCTTCTCTATGATAATTAAGCCATTTTGAGGAATGAGCATGATCAACCACCTATCTCGAAGTGGAATCTGGGTCGGGGCAGACTTTAATTTCGTACACAGTAAAAGCTCTTTTCATGCAATTTTAATGTTATATTGTGTTAAGTTTATCAAAATAAAACTGATAATAATATTCACCCCATTTGTTGGTATTCATATAAAGTGTCTGGCTTGTTTTAAAATCTTGCGTTTGTGGCAGGGTTAAAGCCTTTCGCCCAGATCAAAAGTTACGTTTCCTCCTCCTGAGCAAAGGTTTGTTAAACATGAGTGGAATACCAACACCAAAACCAGCTGTCAGAAAACCAAAAGATAAGGCAAATGGTTGGTGATCAAGAGGGGGACAAGTAGGCCTAACATAACTAATTAACATAGTCTCCTCAATGCACGTTTGAGCAATAGTACCTAGATTGTACTTTAGGATACTTAAATATTACTATTAAGTTCACCAAAATTCAGTTCAGTTTATAAGATGTCAGATGAGACCAAACATGACATACAGTAGTTACATGTTAGAACACACAAGTGAGTTGGACTGTGTCCCAACAGTCCTCAATCAATCAGCATATTGATGAATGTCTTGCATCAGATAGCCATTAGAATAGTGATGATGAAGGCCACTGTCCCACTTTTAATTTGCATGCCTTTAAAGTAATTTCTAAAGTACTATAGTGGAGTAAAGAGATTCACTCAACCCCACAGAAGTCAATCAGGTTTGGAACGACATGAGGGTGAGAAAATGCTAAAAAATGTTTATTTCTCTGTGTTTACATATGTCTGCACTGTAGGTTTTCCACCAAAGCTCTGCCATGGGTTAAGAAGGAAAATATCAATTTGACTTAAATCTATACAAATAAATGTATTCACATATTGGCCTATATTAAGAGTGGGGAGACCACAAAACACAACTGTTTACTTAACAATAACAACCTGTGTATTTTATCAAAAAACGAGAGAAAATAACAGATTCGCTTTATTAATAAACCACTCTGTGACAGATGGCTTTAGTTAACTTATGACAGAAATACATTTTAGTACTAACAAACTGCTGTAGTAAGAAAAATACAGTTTGTAAACATAATTTAATTGCTTAAAGAAACAGTTGCACCCTACAAAGTAGAAAAAACTTAAGTAATGTCAACAGACCACAAAAATGAAGATGACATATTTTTCTTAGTTAACAGTACAGCATCTTGTACGGGTTTTTTTTAAACCAGCAATTCATGTATTATATGTGATGGTTTGTTGTTGTCAGTTGCTCATCTCATGTTTCAAGCAAGTTACTTCCCATCTCTCATTTCAATACACTTCACTTTCATTACGCTTCATCTTTCTCGTTTTGATTCTTACTTCTGATACAGGATTCGCAAAATTGTTTAATATATGTACACCGTGATCTTCTAGTTAGAAATCAAGTCAGCAATTTTAACCGCAATAAAACCGATAAAGGAAATTGCTCACAGAAAACAGCTGACTTCAGTCATGTGACACAGCAATGGACCCAATGTCATATGACTTTAATTCATCAGCCCCTCCCTCGCGTGTTTTTATTGGAACTTCTTCTGTTATCGCGCCTCGTCACTGTCGCAAACAGACACTCACGGAGTTTTGTTTCGGGACTGACTTTCTGACGGACGAAAGCTTATTTTCCATCTCCAGTGGATGTTTGTCTGCTTTAGATTGCACTATGTGGCGTCTTCTAGCTGGGTTCGTGCTTCTGCTGTGTGCTGCAGGTAAAGAGAAAACAACATGACAACAGGAAATATAATAGTTGATCTCGTGATATAGATTTCCTGTGCTGTTTTTAACACTAAACGTATTAAGGGAGAATGCAATAGCTTATTTAGGCTTAGTAAGGTTTTAAGTATTCGTAGTGTGTATATTATGTTTGTGTATTTGTCAATACATAAAAGTAAAAGTTAATGAAAATAATTGTGATCTCTCTCTGTTTCTTCCCCAGATGCCACTCCAGTTGGTGTCAGGACAGCTCCTGATTTTGGAAAGATGTATCATGTCAAAGGTGTATTTCTGCCTAATTGCACAGTACATCCCAGTACAGTACACTTCTTTTTCAGTATGTTACATGTACATCTTTTGTGTAGGTATGCTGACTTTGCCTTATGCTGAGATAAAGGAGCCGTTTGAAGCTTGGTACGACCTTAAGGGGAACAGAAGTCGCATCGATTATTATCATGGTCAGTCATCATCAGATGATTAAATCAGGCAGTATTGAAATGGAATAGATTATGGTTGTAGTTTGACTAGTTTCTACTAATTGCTGCCATCTACAGGTACAGTGTGCACTTTTTTTATTGGAAACGACTTGGATTATGGTGCCACTTACAAGATCACACCAGTTACCACTGAGACAGAATTCAATACTATGAAGTGTTTCCAGCTTAATGGTACCAAGGAGGATCCAATACGTCCACAGACAGCACTGCCTGATCTGCAGGGCTTTAAAGTATGTACTAATTAAAGGGCCAGTTCACCTAAAAGTGAAAATTCCTTCATCATTTACTTCTTTTAATGTCGTTCAAACCTGCAGCAAGGCTGAAATGTGTATAAAATCATTGTGTGTTTTGCAGTTTGAGAAGATTGAGTACTACTCAGGCGTTCTTTGTGAGATCTGGAAAAATGTCACACAAGTTGGTCATAAGAAGAACACGTATCGTCTGTGGGTCACACGTCCAGAGGGAAATGATTCCCCAGCCGTCCCGTACCACTATGAGATGATGGGCTTCAACACACTTTTGGGATCCCACTACGACAAATACATTATTGACTACAGTGACTTCAGCCCTCGAACTGACTCTGAGATTTTTAAACTACCTGGAGGTAATTGTAGAACACACATTCAGTGACATGGCATGTTTCTCCCACTTACAGACCATCTAATCAAATGCTCACTCTTGTGTTGAGGAATGACCTGTGGTGACTTTCCTGGTCCTGGTGTGGAGCATCATTTATTGGCCAACCCCATTCAAGACCTGGTCCACACCTCTCCTGTTAGCCACGCCCACCGTATGTTCGGTCACTTTAAGGAGAAGTTTGAGCGTCAGTATGAAAGCGAGACGGAGCACGAGGAGCGCGAACATCACTTTGTACATAATATTCGGTGAGGAAAAAAACAACAAATATTCCTAGAGATTTGGTGATTTGTAATAAAGTTGAGGAAAAAAGACCCCAATTATTTTATTGCAAATCTATTTTTATTAAATAACATGCTATGAAAGGCTGCTGTATTGTGAATAGTTGTTAGGCACAACATGCTACACCCATAGCCATGATTATATTCACGAAACAGCATGACCTGCATTGCTTTTATGATATTAAAATTGATGTAGAATTAAAAATATTAAAGGCACACTTTTTTTATTAAAATTATTAATTATAAAAAAAAAAATTACATTTATTATGTTTGACGACAAGCAGAATCTGATGCCAAATGGTTGCTTTGTTTTGGTTGCATTACTAGCATTATTATTATGACAATAGTATAGTTCTTGGCATTTTTAGAAAGGCTAGTTTAAGTGGTATATTATATGAGGGTATTTGTGGCAACTAGCCTTTTAAAATGGTCTTACATCATTTTGTTTTTTTGGTTGCACTTTATTATATTGTCCGTGTTTCAGTGTAATCATACATTTAAGTACTGAGTAATAATAACTTACTATAGGTTTAGGGTTAGGATTGGGGTTTGATTTAGAGTTAGTTGCATGCAATTATGCATAATGTATAGTTATTACTACTGTAACTACATGTAACGTGTAACAAGGACACTTTTTTTAAACCGCAAACTTTACAGGAAAAATAGTTTTAATTTGAAATAAAGAGTGTGTATCGTTGATGAATTTTTTTTTGGTAACAGTACATAGACATGTCAACTTTCTAGAAACAAATGAGAAAATGGAGTCATAATAAACTATACAATTACATAATGAGAATGATCTTATCTGAGTTTTACATCCTTTTCTTCTTCAGGTATGTGCACTCTATGAACAGAGCTGGTCTTTCGTTCTCCCTCTCGGTGAATCACCTGGCGGATCGGTCTCAGGAAGAGCTGGCCATGATGAGAGGATGTAAAAGATCTCATGGTCACAGAAAGGCTCAGGATTTTCCCTCTGAGATGCGCTCTATAGCCACCCCTGATTCAATAGACTGGAGGCTGCATGGTGTGTGATTCTTGTTCGTATTTGTTGAGTTGAATGTGAAGTCAGAATCTTTCTATGCATGTTTAGTATTGCAGGAGGGATTTACACAGACACTGATATACTTGTGTATTTCCAGGTGCTGTGACGCCTGTGAAAGACCAGGCAGTGTGTGGATCCTGCTGGAGCTTTGGCTCCACTGGAACACTAGAGGGAGCTCTTTTCCTGAAGGTAAATCTTCACCACAAACTCCAGATTCCATATCCTATGGAAGCTTGTTTCCGCCACTGAATAAAATTAAATAAATAAATAATTGAGACTTTTTATCTCCCAATTCAGACTTTTTTTCTCACAATTGCGAGTTTACATCTAGTTCACGCGATTCTGACTTTATAACACGCAATTGCTAGCCTGACTTCGTAATACTCATATTCTAGTCAGAATGTGAGTCTGATACTGCTTCATAGGGCTTTGATTATGAGGCGTGTCTTAACCGAACCAGGAAAAAAAAAACCTCTGCACTCAATTGGATAGACCTACAACCAAGGGGGTAATCCATCGACCGGAAGTTGAAGCCGGCCGGGTGCCGCCATGTTGTAGCAGAACTTCACTTGCGTTAGCATTTCCATTGACTCCCATTCATTTTGGCGTCACTTTGACAGCGAATAACTTTACATCTGAGGCGTTTAAAGACTCCATTTGTCCATTATTTATTTCTAAAGAAACACGACAATGTATAAAGGGCTCCATTACCTTCTATGTTACATTATGGCCCCGTAGAAACAGATTTAGTAAAAATAGGCTAACGATTGCGTCATAACCACTCGACTCTCTGTCGCGCTGTACAGAAATTACCGTACAGACAGGAGGAGAAGCTCGCAGGCAATCGGGGGGACGTCCCGTCAAGGGAGAAGCCCATAGATAATGAGTCCATAAAAGCAACGGAATACTTACTCCTGCTCACTCACGATAAAGGACTCTTTGCTCAAGTTCCCCGTCTCTGCAAAATTAACGTTGGCAATTTTCACGCACAGCTACTAGAAGATTAACGTCTGTCAGACAGGTTGCTCACGTCATCAAGCTTAGTTTGAGTCTGCGCGTCAGGAACGGAAGTGCTCAGAAATCGCTAAAAATGGGCTTCAACTGTCTCAACTGAGTTCCAATGAGATGGCTCTGTCCACTTCTTATACTGTCTATGCCTACAACAAATGAGAGCAACGCAGTAAGTCAACTACTTTGCATAGCACAGTTGTCAACTACAGAACTCAAATGCACGCACGCTGGAAGAAGTAAAATAACGAGTGTTGCTTCTTTTACTTGGCCCTCTATGAGTGCGACCAAAGGAGAAACCACAACGACCACAGGGTTTTCATTGCTTCCCATCTTCTTAGTTACCATCGGAGCCAGCTGATAAATTAAACTTTTTCCGAATCCCATAGGAAGGACGGCAAACACATCTTTCCGATCGACAAATGCCTTGATTGCAGTTCTATGTTCGTCTTTTAAAATGAATGCGCTGTCGATTTCTTTTACAACAGACGCGATAGCGGAATCTCTACATCTCAGTTCTCCAGCGGCAGTCATCTGTGAGGGAAACCAGTTCAACCCAAGCGCTCTTTGATAACGTGAGGATTACATCCCTGCAGATCATCTGTCCATCATCGTATAAAGCCCGCCCTGGCAATTTGATTGGCCCGACGATTTCTGAACCGATCATAATTACTCCTCAATGGAGCGAGTCCAGACCGAACTTCCCGATCAAAAAATGTTGTGGGCGGAGTTCGGGCTGGCATCCAGGCTACGCAATTGCGACTTTACATCACGCAATTCTGACTTTATAACCTGCAATTGCGACTTTATATCAATAAATTCTGACTTTATATCTCGCAATTCTGACTTTATAACACGCAATTGCGATTTTATATCTCGCAATTGTGAGAAAAAAAGTCAGAATTGTGAGATTAAAAGTCGCAATTACCTTTTTTATTTTTCATTCTGTGGCGGAAACAAGCTTCCATAATATCCACCTTATTTTGTAAGAGTGGGCATGGACATTTTTAAAGGGATAGTTCACCAAAAAATAATTTACTCATCCTCAAATTGTTCCAAACCTGTATGAATTTCTTTCATCTTGTCTTTGCAATGTCCAACTGAATGGAGTTGTTTACCTCACTAGTCCTTGTCTTTCCCTCTCTGTTAGACGGGACAGCTGACATCTCTGTCCCAGCAGATGCTGGTCGACTGCACGTGGGGATTTGGGAATAATGGTTGTGATGGAGGAGAGGAGTGGAGAGCTTTTGAGTGGATCATGAAGCATGGTGGCATTTCAACCGCTGAGAGCTATGGAGGATATATGGGCATGGTGTGTGTACATACACCACACACACATCTCCACCTGGCGCAAACGTTTCTGACTGATTCAGTTGTTTCGGTTATAATTGACCTCTGTGATGGGAAACAATATTTCCTGATTGCATGAAAAGGTCCACCTATTATAATTTACTTTCTAGAAAGTAGGAATGAAGATTTCGGTCCATCAGATACGGATGGTTAAAAGAGTCACTAATCAGATGACTGTGTGTGTTTCAGAATGGTTTGTGTCATTACGATAAGTCCTCCATGGTGGCACAGTTGAGGGGTTACACTAACGTGACCAGTGGTGATATTGAGGCACTGAAGGTCGCTATCTTTAAGTTCGGTCCTGTAGCGGTCGGCATCGACGCTGCTCACCGTTCCTTCTCCTTCTACAGCAACGGAGTCTACTACGAACCGGCCTGCAGTAAGTCTTCACACAATCTGCCTCACTAACTTAAATCCTTACACTTGTTGTGCACACACACACACATATATATATATATATTTTTTTTTTTCTTACAAAATGTAATATTATTGATATACATAGAATTTTCAAAATGTTTCCATCTGCAAAATGTTATTTCAGATTTCTTTCTTTAAATATTGTGTGTGTATCTTCATTTATATAGCGCTTTTAACAATGTGTGTAATATATTTATTGAATATAATATATTTATTTTTATTAAAACATTTAGCAGAAATATGTATATAAACTACATATATTAATATACATAAATAATTAAAAAACAATAAACAATAGGGATTTTTTTTCCATCTGCAAAGTGGTTTTATATATTAAATAGTTCCTTATTATTTTTTTATTAAATTATATTATAAAGAAAATAAAGTTTTGCAGAGGGAAACATTTTGGGAAATATGTATATTAATGTTTATATTAATTACAAATGTCCATAATTAAAAACTAAATATTCCCATGCTTCTATCTGTTTGGTACATGTATAATGTTTATATTAACTACATATTATTATACATAAATAACAACAATACATGTATGTATCCATCTGCAAAATGTTTATATATATTATATAATTATTTTATTTATTATTTTGCAGCTGGAAATGTTGCATTTTGGAAAATAGTACATTTCCTATTGTATGTCAGCATTGCCTGTATACTGCAGTCGTTTTTGTTTCCCTCGTTACATCCTAAAAAACAAATATGATAATATTATGCAGTTTATATTTCATACTCATGTACATCATGCATACTATTTTGAACATAGAAATGTCTTACAGATTGCTTTAAATCAAGTATATAGTATTGTTTTCTATAGTAACCAACAATTCATGTTTAATTTTTCTATATCCACAGAAAACGGGACCGATGACTTGGATCATGCTGTGCTAGCAGTCGGTTATGGGATATTGGATAACGAGCCCTACTGGCTAGTGAAGAACTCCTGGTCCACTTACTGGGGCAATGATGGCTATGTACTGATGTCCATGAAAGACAACAACTGTGGTGTGGCCACTGATGCTACTTACGTCACATTAGCCTAATGCACATATACATCCTTCAAAGAAAATCGCACAACAGCGGAATTGCTTTCCTTGGTTTTATTTGATCCTGGGTCCTGGACAATTGATCACAGTTTTATTGTGCTTCAGTCGGAATGCCAATACATGGAAAGTCTTAATAACAAACTGCTTGTTAATTGTAAAATCACATTAAGACTTGCATCATGCAGCAAAGGTAACGCTCACTCATACTTGTCCACAGGCAATGATCAGCAACTAGCAGGCCTATATAACAGTTTCATTAGACGCTCATTGCTTTATTCTCATCTCATCTCAGCGTCTTTTCATTTCCTCACATTGCAAGACCTTGCCTTTCACAGGAGGACCAGGCAGTTGCAAATCAATTAACATCTCATGACAGAGTAAGCCTTACGATCCTAATAATCATGCGGTGATGTGTAAAATGTTTTGGTTAAAGGGATAGTTCTACTGATGTGCATCCTGAGACAAAACAGCTCAAACATGCATTTTAGTCTGGGACTAGGCTTAACCCTGGGTTGGTTAACCCCGGGTTATTCTAAACCTCAGTGTCATTGATGGACGAGCGCAGCGCATGACCTGTTTACATAAAAGCTCTGGCATTCCGCATCCTCAAATTATACATTGCCGAAGGTACTATCAAGTTTTTCCTGAATTAACTTTTCGGAAAATAAGGTAAATAATAGGTAAGAATGAGTCTCTTCTTAACTCCAATTGACACGTTTTCTGTCACCATTTGACATTTTTCCTCATCAAACGCTGAAACGAAAACTGTTTACAAATGAACAGTGTTTCCGCATGACTGTCCACAGCACGTAAATATTATAAGACACAGCATGTCAGTGGAACTATCCCTTTAAGATCTGATCCCCTGTCAACATTGAGAACATTAGATAAATTGCATTAGGCCTATAATAAAATAGTTAATTTCTATCAAACAATTTCATGCAGTAAAACTACAATTCCCTGTTTTTAAAAAGTTAATGTCAGTATACAAAGTAAAAAACTATATTGTGTCATTTGGCAGTGTATGGCTGAGATGGACGTCTGGCTGCAGTAGTGTATGTATCATTGGCTCAAGCAAAGTTGGAAAGACATGGCATATCAATCCCACACTGACATTAAACCACTTTTAATTGTGCGTATGATGACGTTTTTTCACTAAAATCAATAGAAAAACTAAATGCAGACAAATCAGCACTAAACAAGATACTTTTCCCTGTAGCTACTGAGGGTATTCAGGATACCAACATGCTAATAAAACAATTTCAAACAGGCAGAAGCTTTGGGAATTGTCATCGCAAGCTAAACTAAATACAAGCCCACATAAGACAAATATGGTGTAATTCCCAAACACTGGACACATATATAAAGGACTACATTACAAAGAAGGCACTGGTTTTCTCTCGACTAGACCAAACACTCATAAAAGTTGCTAGTCAGTTGCCAGTGGTGCTACTGGGAGGGACGTTCTCATTATAAAGAGCATCTGATTGGACAAAAATCTCTGTAGTCCAAGATGAGTCATCAATATTTTTGGTGCTTTTACCAGAAGAAAAAAAAAAATCACATTTTAAATGTGAATATCTGTTAAAACTGAACTGAATTTGTTTAGTTCAGCTTTCTCCTTCACAAATGTTTGTTTGGAGCATATCTGTTTTCCATAGAGAGGCCAGATAAACAATTTGGGTGGATAGAGAGAAGCGATGCACCAATCGCGTCACTCATCCATGTTTTAAACTTTACACTTTAGTTTGATTAAAATTGCTAGTCCTAAGGTAATGCAGTTAAATACACAACCTACAGCCATTACAAAAAAAAGTATATAAAAACCGTATCAAAACCTGAACCATTCGCAAGTTGTCATCAGCGTGACTGATAATGAAAAACACAATACAAAGAGATTCTGCATAGAGTTTGTGTGTGATCATGTATCATGCCTATCTGGACTCATCTGCTAAACTCTGCAGTTCCTGTCCTTCTGTGCTGCTTGGTGATTGGCTGGTGTGGACAGGAATTTGTCTGTCATATTTCAGAGTAGATCTAAAGGAGGAAAAAGAGAAGAAACTATTTGAGAGATGTGTTAGCAGGGTTAAAGGGCTTTCATTTTTGGGTGAACAGTCCAAGTCATTGTGTACTTCTCTGTATCATAAATGCTGTCTGGTAGTGGTTGATTGGCAGTCTCAGGCAGTGCTAGGGCAAACACTGCAGCAAGCAGAGGGGTGGTGCCAAATATCACCATTGGCACAACAGGTGTGTGGCGTCCAAGCAGGTTTATTAGTGGCGCTAAAACTCCACCCATCCGTGCGAACATCGAGGAAACACCAATACCTGTTTGCCTGTAGACACAAAAGGCATATCAGAAATTATTTCCACATAATGTTTGACAATAGCAAGCAGCTCTTCACTCCCACCAGAGGCTGCTTTGTGATATATAGTCATATTTATCTGTACGGTGCTTTCACAATGCACATCGTTTCAAAGCACATATGTTTAGAAAGAAACCATACACTACTGTAGCAGTTACAGTAGTGTTTGTTTACAGCCATAGACATGTCAATGTTTACAGCGCCTCAAGGCAGTAACACTCGCCGGTTATGGTAAGGGGCGTTACATTTCTGATACGCGCTCTAAAAGGTTAAAGACCAATCAGACCAGAGTGTGCTTTTTGGAAGGAGTGTTTTAAAGAACCCGAAAATAAGGGTACGTTTACATGACAACGATGTACTAAAAATGGAAAAGTTTTTCCTTTGCTTTTTTCAAGTACAGACGACAACCTTGTCAAAACAATCCCCATTCACACGGATCCGCGAAAACGACTAAAGTCGCTGTATTATGACGCCAGGCATCCTAATACAGCGATTTCGTTTTGTTTTCGTTTTAACTTGATAAAGAAACCATAGAAAGAAACACAATGCACCTATAGACTGTTTTTATAGGTCCACACAATTTTCAATTTTCACAAATTCAAGTTTTTTTGTTTACATGGGGACGTGCATTAATGTAAATAGTTTTATCTCTAAAAACAGTTCAGCCTATAAAGCTAGTATAACGCTAGTATATTGGGCATAGTGTAATGACAAATAAAAATCGCTTGTTAATACCACTAACAAGGCTGAAAATAGACCCACACTAACACGGTAACATAATGAGGGTCCCTACCTTCAAACCGAAGCATTGAGAACTTTGTCAGTGTCCAGACAGTTTAATAAGAAGATATTTTATACATACAGTCAACTTCGCGTATACAGGCAGAAGTCATCTTTGAAATACAGCCTTTACCAGTCGATCTACGAACGCCATTCCAAGCCTGCTGTTCGCGCTCACCTTATCACAACTTATAGCTCGTTCACATCTCACCAGCGCACTTGGATCGGCGTTCGTAGATCGACTGGTAAAGGCTGTATTTCAAAGATGGCTTCTGCCTGAAGTTGACTGTATGTTTAAAATGTCTTCTTATTAAACTGTCTTTACACTTACAAAGTTCTCAATGCTTCGGTTTGAAGGTAGGGACCCTCATTATGTTACCGTGTTAGTGTGGGTCTATTTTCAGCCTTGTTAGTGGTATTAACAAGCGATTTTTATTTGTCATTACACTATGCCCAATATACTAGCGTTATACTAGCTTTATAGGCTAAACTGTTTTTAGAGATAAAACTATTTACATTCGATAATCATGAAAACAAATCTCAGATAACGGTTGACTAGGTAACAATGTGTAATTAGACCAAAGGTTCATTTTGCGCCGGAGTTCCATACCTGCCAACTTTTGAGTTTTGCTCGGCGTGAGATTTGTTGACGACGGGGGGGGGGGGGGGGGGGGGGGGGGGGGGGGTAGAGACGAGTGAGATTTGTTGACGGGGGAGGGTGGGGGGGGTCTCGCTCGCTCGCTCGCTCGCGCAAGGTCTCTCGCTCGCTCTACGCGGTTTGGAGCACAATCTCTGTCTCGCATGCACGCTCGCTCTAGATAACGGGAGATTTTTAACGAATTTGCGGTATAACTAGTCGATCACGAGTGGCTCAACAGGTAGATATATAGATAAACTCATCTTCCAGGCATTTGACCGCCCGGGTTGACACTTCAGCGTGAGAAATCGGGAGTGTGGCGTGTGAGCGTGTGAAACCAATCAAATGCGGGTGTCTCACGGCCAATGCGTGAGAGTTGGCAGCTATGGAGTTCTCCTTTAAAGATGAACTGAACTGAAATTTGAAAAACGGTGATATAACAGATCTATTTTATTTATTATCATTGGTACAATTATTAAAATGGCAGAATTTGTTAAAAGGGATAAAACTGTAGGTTGAAAATGTTGTTTTTGTTACACGGGCGCCGCCATGTTGGATTTCAACATTCGGCTACGTCACTGGCATGGTAGGCTACTCCGTTGCCAACCAACACCAGCAGAGTATGGCGTTATATATGTGCCTCATTCCTGAGCGAGTAATTGTAAGTTTTGAGCACAGAGAACTATATTTTGCAAGCACATTGCATTATATTTTGAACAGAAATTAACAATCGCAAAAAAAAAATTCGTTTGAGCAAAGAAAAAACGATTCCGTGCTCAATAAATGTATTTGCTATTATCCATATTAACGTGCAATAATAACTCCTCTCACGCAGTTTACTCAGGTGCTCTCTCACAAACTTATTCTCTGCGCTCCTGTCAAGTCCCTCTCTCTCTCTCTCAACCTCTTAATTCTGTGCGCGCTCAACTCTTGACACACGCGCGCTCAACTCTTGACACACGCGCGCTCAACTCTTGATACACACGCGCGCTCAACTCTTGATACACACGCGCGCTCAACTCTTGATACACACGCGCGCTCAACTCTTGATACACACGCGCGCTCTTGACACACACGCGCGCTCAACTCTTGATACACACGCGCGCTCAACTCTTGATACACACGCGCGCTCAACTCTTGACACACGCGCGCTCAACTCTTGATACACACGCGCGCTCAACTCTTGACACACACGCGCGCTCAACTTGCAACAGCGTTACAAGTGTGCCACAAAATCAACCAATCGGAAAATTAGAGGTCAATTGTGATTGGCTGTTGGTCTCCAATCACCACGCAGCACAAAGAAGAAGAAAAAGGAATTTTATGGATAGATGTCTTCTCTAGTATGGAATGCCAAAGCTGACTTAATTAAAAATAAATAAATACATAAATAAATAAATATACGAAGAAATGCAAAAAAGCAAAAATACATAAATAAATATACAAAGAAATGTAAAAAAAAAATGCAAAGAAATGAGTATTTATACTTTTATTTCCTTATTTATGTATAATTGTACTTTTTTCACACATTTTTTATTTATACATTTATTTATTTCCACTTTTATTTATTTCCACATTTATATATTGTATTGTATTATATAAATTGATTTCCAGGGGCGATCAGCATCATATACTGCATGTCCAGTTCTTAATATTAGTCGATAAACTACTCAGTTATTATAATAATAAGGCACTATGGCTGTTATCAGTAAAATAAAATTGACAAAAGTCATTAAGTCATTAAAAGTCAAAATCTTAATACAGAGGAGAATGTTTTTACACTGCAATTACAATTGCATAAAAGTCGTAATGAGATTAAAGTTAAAAATAAAACATTTGAATATAGAAATATGAAATGATGGAATCAATTAAATTGTATGTTTAAATATGAAACTAAAACAGCCAGTAGGTGGCGGTAAGTCACTGTCTTAAACGAGTGAGTCATATCATTAATTCAGACCGATTCATTCAAATACTGATTCATTCAGTTCGGGAATAAAATTATCTCATACATGGGCTTTTTTACAGCATTTTTAAATGCTGACATTTTTTATTAATGTTGGTGCCACGTCGCCCCGCCATAATTTTGATACCTGAGCTGTACAGTTGAACATAACACGTGGTGTTTTTTCCCCGAAGTTCAGTATTTGAATGAATCGGTCTGAAATAATGAAATGACTCACTCGTTTAAGACAGTGACTTACCGCCACCTACTGGCTGTTTTAGTTTCATATTTAAACATACAATTTAATTGATTCCATCATTTCATATTTCTATATTCAAATGTTTTATTTTTAACATTAATCTCATAACGACTTTTATGCAATTGTAATTGCAGTGTAAAAACATTCTCCTCTGTATTAAGATTTTGACTTTTAATGACTTAATGACTTTTGTTAATTTTATTTTACTGATAACAGCCATAGTGCCTTATTATTATAATAACTGAGTAGTTTATCGATTAATATTAAGAACTGGACATGCAGTATATGATGCTGATCGCCCCTGGAAATCAATTTATATAATACAATACAATATATAAATGTGGAAATAAATAAAAGTGGAAATAAATAAATGTATAAATAAAAAATGTGTGAAAAAAATACAATTATACATAAATAAGGAAATAAAAGTATAAATACTCATTTCTTTGTATTTTTTTTTACATTTCTTTGTATATTTATTTATGTATTTTTGCTTTTTTGCATTTCTTCGTATATTTATTTATTTATGTATTTATTTATTTTTAATTAAGTCAGCTTTGGCATTCCATACTAGAGAAGACATCTATCCATAAAATTCCTTTTTCTTCTTCTTTGTGCTGCGTGGTGATTGGAGACCAACAGCCAATCACAATTGACCTCTAATTTTCCGATTGGTTGATTTTGTGGCACACTTGTAACGCTGTTGCAAGTTGAGCGCGCGTGTGTGTCAATAGTTGAGCGCGCGTGTGTATCAAGAGTTGAGCGCGCGTGTGTGTCAATAGTTGAGCGCGCGTGTGTATCAAGAGTTGAGCGCGCGTGTGTATCAAGAGTTGAGCGCGCGTGTGTATCAAGAGTTGAGCGCGCGTGTGTATCAAGAGTTGAGCGCGCGTGTGTCAAGAGTTGAGCGCGCGTGTGTCAAGAGTTGAGCGCGCACAGAATTAAGAGGTTGAGAGAGAGAGAGAGGGACTTGACAGGAGCGCAGAGAATAAGTTTGTGAGAGAGCACCTGAGTAAACTGCGTGAGAGGAGTTATTATTGCACGTTAATATGGATAATAGCAAATACATTTATTGAGCACGGAATCGTTTTTTCTTTGCTCAAACGAATTTTTTTTTTGCGATTGTTAATTTCTGTTCAAAATATAATGCAATGTGCTTGCAAAATATAGTTCTCTGTGCTCAAAACTTACAATTACTCGCTCAGGAATGAGGCACATATATAACGCCATAGCAGAGCAGCCATAGCATGTAAATAGTGTGAGGCTAGCTGACATGGCTGGGGAAACAGAAACCAACAGGTCTAGGGGGGGTTCATACTGTATTGCCCCTGGCTGTAGTAATGAATTGTATAGGGCTAAGGCAGCTGGGGTTACGATACATTTTCACAGGCTACCTTTGACAAGGAAACCAGCCCTCAAGTCAACTGCCTTTAATGGTGCGTTCACGTGCTATGGTAATTATGGTAAATACCAAAAGCCGACATGGAAAGTGCACATGAACACCCCCTCATGTGGTATTTTCCACTGGGCAACTCGTAGAATATTTTGATGCACGAGTTGCCGAGATGAGATTACCTTTGACCTTTTCAAAATGGCGGAGAGCAACGCAAGAGTTGTGAATGGTAAAAAATGTACTATTCATGATCTAGAAAATATACAGCATATATTATTTACGTTTGAGTTTTGATAAATCATTTTCTTGCTGTAGCAGATGACTTAAGCAATCTAAAATAGTTTTAGCTAAATAACAGGTCTGGATCTCCATCTTTTTACCACATTACGACAACAAAAGTACTTGAACGCAACACACTGGTAAATACCAGTTCACAAGTGGAAAATATCATATTTTCCATAGCACGTGAACGCACCGTAACTGTCTAGCCCTCCGACAGCCCCTGCATTTGGAGTCTGTAGTGAGCATTTTTTAGTGACAGACTATTTAGTAGGCCTGTCGCGATAGTCAATAAATAAATTAATTGCACGATAAAAAAAAATTAGCTCGATAATTTCTCCGGCCGCGATAATTTCCATTTGCATGCATGTTTGTTTTCCTCTCTCTCTCTCTCTCTCTCTCTCTCTCTCTCTCTCTCTCTCTCTCTCTCTCTCTCTCTCTCTCTCTCTCTCTCTCTCTCTCTCTCTCCTCTCTCTCTCTCTCTCTCTGAGACTGGATGACAACTCTCTCTCTCTCTCTCTCTCTCTCTCTCTCTCTCTCTCTCTCTCTCTCTCTCTCTCTCTCTCTCTCTCTCTCTCTCTCTCTCTCTCTCTCTCTCTCTCTCTCTCTCTCTCTCTCTCTCTCTCTCTCTCTTCTCTCTCTCTCTCTCTGAGACTGGATGACAACTCTCGGTTCCTTAGCGTAGGAAGAGTGAAATAGAGCTTATTCTGCCCGAGCGATATTTCCCGACACTATCCTTGAGACGTGCACTCCCAACGCAATAGAGTGCTGCGCGGCACTACATCTGATGGCAGAGACTCCGAGTGCGGGCGGTTATGCACTCACTCTGTGTGTGCGGGTTACAAATAAAACGATTCGCGGGACTCCCGCGAACTAGAAATATCTATGAATAAAAAATAATAGATTTTTATTCATCTGTTGCAGAAAAGCAAGAGTTTCTATTCATAACAACGCTTTAACATCGCGTTGAGTGATGTAGCCAATCACAGTTATATGTGTTGCTTATGATCGGCCATTGCGTTCAAGAAATCATTTAAGATAGACTGCATTTTTGGTATTTATTCAAGTTAATTTTTTGTAACAGAGACTGTTGTTCTCTGCAACAGATTGACTCCGGTGCAGTGTCCATGCTCCGGCAGCTCACACACCCACACAAGTCACTTCGCCCCAAACGATCCTGTGCTGTAGGCTATGTGGAGCCTGAAACTGATCCTCCATGTGGTGGTGGTAGTCAGAAACTACTGGACTGTCCCTCACAGGTTCAAATGCGTAACCCATGCCGTTAAAAGTGCTCATTTTCGTCTGTGTATTAGGACCTGCAGCTGTTGCCTTTGCACCTTTGCGTGTCCTACGGTACCATGCCAGTGACGTCATCGAAACTGCCAGCGTAACAAGCGCAATTTTTGTGTTGCTTAAAAAAAGCTATATTGATATTTTTAATTAAAAATTTTAGTGTAATTTACTTTTAATTGTCATAAACAACACGTTATCAACGTCGATTTTTTTTTCAGTTCAGTTCATGATGAACTGAAAAAAATCGACGTTGACGTGTTGTTTATGACACTGCACCGGAGTGCATTGCACATTATCTGTGGCAATAATATATATATATATATATATTTTTTTTTTAAAAAAGCTCGCAGCAACATATGGAAAAAATGAACTATGAACTAGTTCATTTTTTGAAGTATGTACTATGAACTGAACTAGTTCATTTTTAAATTTGTGAACTGAACTTTGAACTAGTTCATGTAGAAAATAAACTTTCCCAACACTGTCGGTGGCATTGCATAGGTTGTAATTTTTACATTTAAGGTGCAAAAGTTCTGATATGATTTATCTTTGTTTCATTTCACACGAAAAAAAAAAAAATTTAACAGGGGTGTATAGACTTTTTAATATCCATATATGATGCGAATGCGAGTACCTGAGAACAGTTGGAAAAAGTTCTGCAGAATAAATATAGATGATGGCAAAAGACGCTGTAATTCCAAATTTCCCCACCATGGCCAAACCAGTTCGGATATGAGCACTGTCTGAGAGAAAAAGAAAATGATGGAAACGAGAGTAGGAAAGGCCACAATAGCGCAAGAAAATACTACACCCTGTCCTTTACCACAGTAAAAGGACTATAAAAGTGTCTCTGGGCATGTTTGACTGGTCACCTGCTGGGACAGTGAGGGTAAGCAGACATGCGCCGCCTCCCACAGCCAGGAACACACTCAGCGGGATTCGTCGACTGCAGGGCAGGAGAACCAACACCAGTGACCTTGCGGGAATTTCCACCAATCCAAACATGAACTGAGTGAAGTAAAGGTCTGATCCAAGGTCAGACACACCCAGAGACAGACCATAATACACCAACACATTAACAAACCTGGAGAAACAGAGACAAAAAGTAAATTAAGGAAGACCTTTATGTGTGTCACGTGTGAAGGGCATGATTTCAAACACTGAATACTGTACATATACACTGCACACAATAGAGTTTGTGGGGGCTTCTTCAGCTATACGGGCATGTGGAGTTTTAGAAAAGAAACCCTTAAAAGACACTTTTCACACTCTCTGGAGACTTTTTGTTTTTTAACTAAAGTCATGGATTTTCACCACAGTGTCATTTCCACCACATCTCAGATTGTGTACTTAATCTTTAATGTGTGTTTAATAGCATTTAAAGGGATAGTTCATACAAAAATTAAAATTCTGTCAGTAATTACTCACCCTCATGTCATTCCAAACCCATAAGACTTTCGTTCATCTTCGGAACACAAATTCAAATCTTTTTGATGAAATCTGAGAGCTTTCTGTCCCTTCATTAACAGCTACGCAACTACCACTTTGATGCTTCAAAAACTTCATAAAGTAATTGTAAAACTAATCCAAATGAATTGAGCGGTTATGTCCAAATTTTCTGAAGAGACTCAATCGCTTTACACGAGAATGAACCTCATTGGTTCTCACACGTCAAGCGAACATGCTTGAGCTTCTGTTTAACACAACTGATGTGCGAGTTGATGAATGTTTTTAAGTGTATAAAAGCCCAAAGCTCAAGCGATAGTCTTTTCAGAAAATTTGGACTAAACCAATTCAATTGAACTAAATCAATTCAACTCAATTCATATGGATTAGTTTTACAATCTCTTTATGAACTTTTTGAAAGGTCAAAAGTGGTAGTTGTGTAGCTGTCAATGGAGGGACAGAAAGCTCTCAGATTTAATTTGTGTTCTGAAGATAAACGAAAGTCTTACGAGGGCAAATAATTAATCACAGAATTTAAAATATTTTGGGAAACTATCCCTTTAAAACAAAAAGAAATAAAATGGCAGAATCCTTTCTACTTTCATAACTAGAATTTTATGTATCCTAAATATATACACAATTAAATAATATTTTAGGTCTTTTTTGCAGAATTTGACAAAATTACAGCTTGATTGGAAATGATACACAACAAAATATTCTATTTAAGAGGTGACATTTACCTAGAATAATATTAATATTAATATGATGAATTTTCATGTTATGGGACCAGGGTAAAACATAAAAGGCATTTGAAATGCAGCAAGAATAAAAAAAAGAAGGCATGATAAAAACTTTCCAAGACACTTTTAATGTGACCTTCATAAAACAATAAAGTCTCTTAGTTTTAATAAAAATTTGTACTGGGCAACGATTAATCGCATCTGAAATAAAAGTTTGTGTTTACATAATATATGTGTGTGTACTGTGTATAATTATTTTGTATATATACACACACACTTGCATGTATATATTTAAGAAATATTTGAATATATTTCTGTATATACCTGATTTATATTATATATAAATATTTGATATATAAATAACAAATTATTCTTAAATATATACATGTAAGTGTGTATTTATATATACAAAATAATTATACACAGTACACACACATATATTATGTAAACACAAACTTTTATTTCAGATGCGATTAATCGTTGCCCAGCACTAAGAAAAATATATAAATGGATATAAAAGTGCCTGAAGTTGAAGAAACGTGCAATTTATTGAAACTATACATCTACATCTCACCAGATGTAGAAGAGTATGAGCGTTCTCCTCCTCATCTGGGGAGTTCGGAGCAGATCGACAGCTGTATACTGACTGCGTCCCTGCGGGCCCTCGTATTGCTCCACCTGTGATAACAGATGCATTGTAGCATATGCTATAAAAACATCCTGTTTTCAAAACCAAACATTTCTAGACACACATTGGGGACGATGGGAGAAAGCTTGGTAAATGCACTTGATGATCTGATGATGTGAAAGTCATCTCCTTGTTGCCCTGGTGTTGTGAACCAAAGCTTCAGACTATCACTTCCTAAAGACTACAGACAAAGGCTCCTTGGTTTCCTAGGGTGGGGGATGGTTGTTGTCATGGTGATGCTAACAGAGCTATTAAGAGTTTTTATGGGATTTGAAGATTGTGCCCGAGGCGTGACGGAAAAAAGCCAGAAAGAGTGAAAGCAAGTCCATGAGAAAGTGTGTGGCACCTGAACAGAGGGAGGTAAGGTGCGGCCATTGACCGCAGCCGCCTTACGCAGGAGATCGATCGCCTCTTCCTTTCGGTTATTCACCAGCAGCCAACGGGCTGAATGTGGAAGAACCCTGAGAAAAAGGAGGAGAGGAGAGATTTATGTTGTCAGAACGATAAAAGCAGAGGAAGGGAGGAAGTCAAGTAATAAGAGTGATAGAGAGAGAGTGAAAGAGAGACTTTTTATGTACTAATTTATGAGGAAAAGAGTCTCTGAGGCTTATTGTGTAAAGTCAGATACATATTATACTATCAATGCTTTAAATTAATTATTTTAGTATTATTATATTATTACACTTTTATTTAAAGTTTAAATCCAGTAAAAATATAAAACTTAATTTAAAATGTTATCATCTTTTAAAAATGTAACATTTAAATAAAGTTACAATAACTTCATATAATACATACAGTTTACACAAAAGTTCAGACAAAATAAAAAAACTGTTTTCAACATTGATCAAAATAATAAATAACCAAATCATCATATTAGAGTGATTTCTGAAGGATCATGTGACACTGAAGACTGGAATAATGATGCTGAATCAAAATGATTCAGCTTTGATCACAGGAATAAATTACTATTTGAACATATATTCTAATATAAAACAGACATTTTAAATTGTAACAAAATTTCACAATTACAGTTTTTTCTGTGTTATTAACCAGCCTTGGTGAGCATAAGAGACCCCAAAAATATATCAAATTAAGTTGTCTTGTCAAATCGATTAATCACATCTAACATAAAAGTGTATATATATATATATATACACTACACATGTATTATATATTTACAAACTTTTCTGTAAGATGCCATTCATCTCTTTTAATCGATTTGACAGCCCTAAAATGAAGTTATTTGATATTCACTTGTTAACTTGATATATACTTCTCTGTTGTCTCACCAGATATAGAATATGAAGAGAAAGCCTGGTGCAGAGATGGCAAGCTGCAGCTTCCTCCAGTCTCTGATGAGATAGGCTACACCCGCCAGCAGCATGTAGCCAAAGCCGAAGAAGTAGTCGGTGAAGATGCCGGCCAGCATCCGTCTCTGTGTGCAGGTCCACTCTGTGCCTGTGGAGGGAGGGCAAGTGTTTGGGATTGGGGTTTTAGGGCTCAATATAGGGTATTTAGGGCTATGGTAAAGAAGAAATAAGTTTGTTACTGTTGGCATTTAATCTCAACGTCACATTGAGCATGAGTTATCATGTAGTGTTTACTAAAAATATCTCAAGGGCACAATCAAACATCTAACCTTTTGTATAAGCACAGATCATCAATCATGCCAATTAATGTTCAACACGTGTTCTATCATTAGGGAATATCTACAACTATGTCAAGTTATCATCTTTTCCATTTGATGGAATCGTGCATGATCAGTGCTAACCAGTTAGATGGATAAGTAAATGTTTTCTTGATACAAATGACTAGCATGCCATGGCTCACCTAGCACAAATGCATTGATTATCACACCCGACACTGTAATTCCTATGATGAAGCGCAGGGTGACATAAACGGGAAAGTTTGGAGCGAAGGCAGCGGCCACACCAAACACTGTCTGAAGCGCTAAAGACAAGAGCATGGCAAACCTCCTCCCATACCTTACAGAGAGAGAGAGAGAAAGAATGAGAACGATTTGATGAGAAATGTTGTTGGATGGATGGGTGTTTTTTTATTATTATACAGAAGAGACTTTGATCAAATTATTTATTAGAATCAGGTGAATTTGGCCACTTTTGAGCATCTCACTGTCAAATAATGCCTCGGTTTTCCTTAAAGTGGCCATAGTATGCCCTTTTACAAAGTCTTGGGTTTTTTTTCTAGGTTCTACTAGAAAAGGTTTTCATTCTTGAATGTTAAAAAAACTTCCTCTCTTCCCATGCTGTCAGTAACGCTCTATTTAGTTCCTGTCTCTATGAAGCCCCTCCTTCTGAAAAGCATAATGTGCTCTGATTGGTCGGTTGGAACAGTGTGTTGTGATTGGTCAACAGCTTCCAGTGTGTTTGGGAAATGTCCCGCCCCTTACCATAACCGTGAGATTCAACACACTACTAACTAACTCAACCAGGCCTTTATTATTTATGCGTATGCCTCGTGAAGAAATTATTTAAATTAGGAATATTGTGACGTGTTTGTTCCTGGAAGAAAACTCAAGACTACAATGGAGGCGTTTCAAGGAGTTCAGAAACAGTGACACTGATATAGAGAATCTGTCTTTGAGTGACTTTGTGCTTTGCAGACCTTTTTCATGCTCAAACAGCAACATTACACACTAAAGAAAGTTGAAAATATAAATAAAAAAAGCATAGGTCGTCTTTAATTCACCCTATAGCAATGGTGCTCAACGTGGTTGACTTCAAGACCACCTTTTGTCCAAAGCTGATATGTCTCTCTAGTACTTCTGTTGTAATAAGAACAAGTAAACTCAAATATATGCTGTCAGTAGTGTTTTTTTGTAGCATTATAATTAAGATTATGTTAACAACATTTAAATCATAAGACGTATTGGGGTCCCCTGGACATTTGCTCAGGTCTCAGAGGAAGTTTGAGAACCACTGCTATTCAGTGTATACAAAGTATACAGACCATTAAGTTGGAAACAGTGATGTGTGTTTACTTTCTATGAATGCATAAGCTTTAGGCAACATGCATTTGATATTAAAAATGAATAACAAAGAAAGAGAGATAGAGCTGTGAGCAGGGCATGACTTCAAGTTTCCCTCAGGTTGTTTAGGGCTGAGCGAACAAAAGACACATGTGAAGTGTGAGGATGTGTGTGTGTGTGTACCTGTCTGCCATCGCTCCAAACACTACAGCTCCTACCAGCAGCCCCAGCATATAGACAGATGAGCTCAGACTGTTCAGACCTGCCTTCTCACACACCAGATCCCACTGCACAAAGAAACACACAAAACCCTAATATTACTACATGAAAAATCATTATTGGTTTATTTTTTTTGTTTTGGGAGTTTTTCTTCCACTTGTTTCTTCCTCACAAATCTACAGTTACATATGCAATTTTGGAAGAAGAAAAGGGGCATGTGATGTGCATATGGGGTATATGCTTTCCTGACGCTTGCAACGCCAAGTTCATGGGTTCGACTCCCAAGGAAAGCAAGAACAGAACTGATGAGAATGTAAAATGTGAAATGCAATGTAAATCGCTTTGGATAAAAGCGTCTGCCAAATGCACAAATGTAAATGTATAATGCGTCCTTGCTGAGTAAAAGAACCTTACATTCTTTTTTTTTAACCAAACTTTGTATAAAGATTATTCTCAACTACGTTATGAAAAATATAAAATAATGGATTGACATGACATTCAATACAATGCATCTATACACTGTATCTAATTTGCATATTGATGTGTTCTTGGTGCAACATGCAATGAAAAAAGAGTGTAATAATGGGAGTTATAATAATAATATCTAATATTTCATAAGATATTTATATATAATGTCTTTCCCTATTCACTTGTTGTGTCTCCCAAAATGCCTGATAAACATGCGGTAAGTTCTGCTGTCTCTACAGTGGATGAATGAAATCAATACCCTGCAGATTGTTTGTCCTGTTTTGTAAGTAATATGTCAATAATCAATAGATGCTGATTTAGCTGTTGTTGACATGCTCATGGTGAAATCTCCAAACATTTTCTCTTTACAGGACAAAAACTGTGACATATGGTGTTAGAGAAATTCACTCAAATATAATGTCCACTAACATAGAACAAAATTATTCTTGGGTCCCCGGAGGACTTATGACTTATACTTATAGTAGGCTACTGTGTAACAAAAATGATACAAGTTTTATTTTATTATAACTACATGTACATTTACTAGCCTTATATTAAGATATAACATTTTGTTTGGTCAAGTAATATTTATTGTGCCCATTTACCGTCACATTAACCCGTGTTTACCTCACTGACAGTGGTGCTGTGGAAGATCTCATGGTTGTACACCCATCCTCTCTCACAACTGGAGCGTGCACTACGGTTCTCTCCTGAAACTACCGTGCACGAGTCCGCGTGCCCCGGCAGAAGAGAGATGCTCATGTTCACATTTGAAAGGTTGAAGGCGGTAAGCGACCAGTCCTCGTCCATCCTCGAACCCCGACAATAGTGGGGTGGCGTCGCGCCTGTGAAGACGCTCGCCATCATGTGGAATGCGAGAAAGATCTGCGGTAAACATATCCACACATACAAAAGCTTCTGGTATCTCCCAAAGCCACCGACTGTGACCAGCAACTGGTCGAAATTCATTCTCGAGCTTGAAAAAATAAGTCTTGAGGGAGATGAGCCTTCACACCCCCATCAAAACACAGTGATCAAGAGTACAGTGAAGATCGTAACGTCTATAAAAACAGCTAAATTAAAAAGCATTATGTATTTTCTATCCTGAGGAACGCGCGCAGAAATCAATAGCATATGTTTACGCAGCACGTGCCATTGTTGTTGGTAATCTACAACATCTTTTAATTATATTTTGTCGCACAAGCAAGTCCTGTTCAAGACAAAACAGATCATTTAAAGCCAGACATGTCAAAGTGAGTTGATGTCCACTTTCCAGACGCCTTTTTCCATGGCTCGGGACAGATCTGTGTGTAAAACACCCGAAAACACCACACACACGCGCGCTCAGCTTGTTACAAAATCGTGAAGCAACTGTAAAGGCTGGAGCAGAACAGTATCGCCTGGAATGGACCGAGAGCAGCTGCTGCTGTGTTACTTTTACTAATTTGACTAGAAGCCACGAATGATAGCCTATAAAGGGTCATAAAAAACAAACACTATTGTCTGGAGTGAATTGGCTGATTAGTTTGAAAAATCCCTTTCGAGCATTTTGTGTAAGTGGTGGATGGTGGCGTCTTGGTCTAAATGGGACACGCGCATAATGAGACTGTAGATCAAAGCTCTGTGTAAATGAGTCCCACGCGACCCACCGTATACTGGGAAAAACAACCTCCCCTCCGGCTCAAAACAAGATCAGAGACGGGGACTTGGAGAAACAAAAGCGTGCCTTCACGAAAAAAGCTGCTTTTCATTCCAAATGCCATCTTTTTGAATTAAAACCTTTATTAAATGTAAAAACATAAACAAGTAACAGAACAACAACAGAAAATGTATAGCAGGACATTATAGTCAACAACAATTTCGATTTTAAACCTGTCTTAGTCATAATTATAACACCATTTGAATTCAAGCATATTGAAGTTGATTAAAAAACTATTTGAGACATTTTACAGCGTTTTGAGACATCAAATATCTCATATTTTGCCTATGTCTCAAGGCATGTGTATCCCAATTTCATGATAAATACAACACTTACTGTTACATTGTTGGGTATATCAGTAAAAATTCACTATTTAATCTTTTCAATCATTACATGACCCAAATAGCTTACCAGCAGAAAAACAAAATTAGAAGTAAAATTAATCAAAAAAATGCTTAAAAATGCATATCAATAAAGAGTAGCCTAGTAGTCGAAAATGTGTAATAAGTAAAAAAAAATAATAATAATAATAAAAAGCAGCTGCTTACAACCAAACACCAATAGAAAAAATTTATAAATTACCATTTAAATTTTTAACACAAATATTCATTTTATTATCCGTATTAGATCTAAATTTAATTAATTATCACATAAGATTATAGATAAGATTTTATCATCATTAAATTAAATTAAATTAACAAAACGAAAAGCATCTGTATCCAACTAACTTTTTATTTGTTAGTCTTGCAAAGATGACCTGCTGCCACAATGTTTGATCATACAGCGTTTACTCAGCTGATAAAACATATGGCCTTCATTTTCTGATTTGAATGGAATTTCATCTGTCCTGGTGTGCTTGTTTTTGAGCAGAATGTCACTGTCTACACGCTGTGAGGCTGGAAAGGTTCATGAGGCGCCCCATGAACAGAAACGACTTCAGTTAACATGACCATTCAATGCTTTTTATTAGATTTAAATTAGTCTCTTTTGAGTTGACACAGGGACAGCATTACTTTCCCCCCACAAGTAAAAAACAAAAAGAAATAAAAAAATCTTTGAAATATTCACTCTATTGACAAATTCGAGTGAAACGGCTTTTCAAACAACAGAAAAAGTAGGGCGGGACTTGATTTTGTCCGTGGGGAATTGATTGAATGATTATGGTTTGCTATTGGTCGATCTGATGTGAGTGACAGGTTGCCCCGCCCCCGCCCTTGAGCCAGTAAACACTTCATCCGAGAAGAGATGTCGCTGCAAGAGAGAGGGGAGGTTATTTTATTAAAGATTATGAGGCACATGAATTAAAAAATAATGATGTATACGGGTAAATCGTTTATAATAAATACTACAATATTCCTTAAAAAAAAAGAATTGTCCATTTTGATTTCATGGTGACTATATGGAGGGTTACTCATGGATTTAAAAATATATACTATTTTAAATACTCAGATGAAATTCCAGAGGGACCCTATAGCTTGAAATGCTTCAGGTTTTATACATTTTAATATCATTTTAATACTCTGCTTACTTTTGCTCCTCCAAGTAGCCTAATAAGCAAAATAATAGGCTAATTTGATTGTTTTTTTTATTGATTCATATATTGATTATTATTTAGCTTTAAATATGAACTACAAACATATCAATTATGGGATCTGATTTCTCAGCACGACCCATAAACCTAAATAAATGACAGTAACCAAAGAAAAGAACACAACCCAGCATCCCATAATGCCTAGCGCGCGTAGCATGGAGCGAATAGAGGCGTGAGTAACGTCATTTCCGTCAATCTTGAACATGGAGTCGAATGGACTGAGGCTGAATTTTTGGGAGAACGGACCGAAACCCGGTCAGTTTTATTCATTCCCAGGTAACAGCAGTGCGACTCCAGGATGTGGACCCATCAAACACACACTGTAAGTTCATCACGACTGCTCAGTTTGGCGCTTATCGGTCGGTCAGTTTGTGGTTTCGCTTTGCCTTTTTCTCTGCTGCATCATCATGGAGGAAAGTTGCTGTTTACCCCGGAACATTGTCTCAAATATATTTTTTTTTAAACATTTCTTCGATACATTTTAATATACCCTGAATATAATGTATATCTGTCTGTTTTTACAGGCTTGATCTATTGAAAAAGTAATTGAATGTTTCAGTGACCTGTTAGCTTGTTAGCAACAATGCTAATGAATAGGCAAATATCAAAACCGATTTATTTTAATAGACGTATACAATATAGTACAATATTATATAACCAAATTCTTGGCGAAAGTGTGGACATAAACGAGACAAGTAAAAGTAATACACACAATAATTGAAATAAAAATATACAATTTAAACATCTATACAGTCAGTTGCATAGAAATGCAAAATATGCAAGAACATATTAGATATTACAATGTGCAGATGTCGAACCCATCGCCGTCAGTTGGATTTAAGGTACCAATAGGTTGGTATGTTTAGGTTAAAATATGAATAATGATGTAGATACATATACACTTCTGTTTACAAGTTGGATTTACTATTTAATAATTTTATGCAGAAAGGACATAACGACATTTATAATGTCAAAAAAATTGTGTTCTTGTGAACTTTCTATTCTTCAAAGAATGCCAATTTGTATTATTATTATGGTTTCCTCCAAATTATGAAGCAGTATAAGTGTTTTGAACATTAATAATAATCAGAAATGTTTATTGAGCAGAAAATCAGCATATTAGAATGATTTCTGAAGGATCATGTGACACGGAAGACATGGTGAAATAATTTTTTAAAATAAAATAAATGCAGTCTTAGTGAGCATAAGAGTCTTTCTAAAACATAAAAAATCCCAAACTTTGCACGGTAGTGTATGTATATGTCCGTTCAGTACTCTTCTCTTAATTCATAATGTTTAATGATTTTCAGCAACCCCATGGTAACGGGCACGTCAGTGCTGGGTGTGAAGTTCACTGGTGGTGTGATCATTGCTGCGGACATGCTCGGCTCCTACGGGTCCCTGGCGCGCTTCCGCAACATCTCCCGACTCATGAAGGTCAACAACACCACCATGCTGGGGGCCTCAGGAGACTATGCTGACTACCAGTACCTCAAACATATCATTGAGCAGATGGTGTAAGTATACACATGGTGGTTTATGATTCAGTTGAGTACTTTGTCAGTTTTAGGGCTTATATCAGTGTTCGCGAATAGGCAATAACTTGATGTGTGTTTGTTTTAGGATTGATGAGGAGCTTCTTGGAGATGGACACAGCTACACCCCTAAAGCCATCCACTCCTGGCTCACACGGGTCATGTACAACCGCCGCAGCAAGATGAACCCCTTGTGGAACACAGTGGTCATTGGTGGATTCTCCAATGGAGAGAGGTGGGGCAGTTTCCAGACAACTGAAAGTCAGCATGTAACAAGAATCACGACCCATCAGACTCATTTAAAGGGGTAGTTCACCTAAAAATGTAATTATTGTCATCATTTACTTACCCTCAAGTTGTTTCAAACCTGTATGACTTTCTTTCTTCTGTTGGAGGATGTCAGTAACCAGACAGTTGATGGCACCCATTGAGCCCTCCCACCCACCCCTACTATGTATGTCAATGGCTACCGTCAACTGTCTGGTTACTGACATCCTTCAAACTATCTTTGAGGGGGAGTAAATTTTGATAAGATGTTCATTTTTGGGTGAACTATCTCTTTAAGAGTAATAAATAAAAAATATTTTTGATTTTTATCTTTTGGGAATTGGTTTCTAAAGGGTAAAAAAAGAAAGAGGGATTAGTAACGTGAAGTTTACATTATTATAAATTATTACATTTGATACGTTTTTTTTTTTCAGACGATTCTTGCTCTATAATATATATTGCTTTACATGAGTATATTGTATGTATTCAGGTAAAGTAGGATGTACTATGTATCAAACTTTTAATATAACGCTGGGCGATAATATAGTGTACATTCTGTCAGTAGAGATTTCCTATATAGTCCAAACCAAATAATGTGAGTGTACTTCATGTGTCTGGTTGAGGTTGGATATACCTATAATAGTTGTGTAATTTGTTATTAATTTGAGTTATTAATTCAGTATCTGGTGAAATTGAGAATTATGAAACCTGTGAGTTTTTTCAATTTATAACAAGTATAGTACTATAAATGGTAATTAGGTTTGTAGTTTTATAGTAAAGTGAGACAATTTCGATTTCATAATGCCTTTAATTGAGTTGTCTGTTATTTAACTTTCACTGAACACAATTTTTATGTGGTTCTCTTAAGCTTTCTTGGTTATGTGGACAAGTTAGGAGTTGCATATGAAGCCCCGACAGTAGCAACAGGATTTGGTGCTTATTTGGCCCAGGTAAGTTTTTCCATCAGATTATCTTTCTTGTTAAATTAAGCTAAAACCCTTATCATATGAACTTGTGTTTTTGCAGCCCTTGATGAGGGAGGCGCTGGAGAACAAGGTAGAAATCACAAAGGACGAGGCACGAGCACTGATAGAGCGATGCCTTAAAGTGCTGTACTACCGTGACGCCCGCTCGTACAACAGGGTGAGACGTGCTTTCTTCCTTTAGCTTATTGTCCTTTATGAAAAGATCTTTATCTCAGGTACATTTCATTATATGCGACTCAAGAAACAGATAATAACACTCATTCTTTGGACTTGCTCTAGCATGAAATTGCCATTGTAACAGCTGATGGCGTGGAGATTATTGGACCATTGTCTTCTGAAACAAACTGGGACATTGCTCATCTGGTCAGGTAGTCTAAATATTTGCTTACCATTTAGGGTTTTATAAACATTTTCATATGACAGATCAATAAAACTCTGATATTAAATATCTTAACTGTATTTCTACAAACATTCAAATTAGTATAATATACACTTTTATTCTAAAGTTTGGGGTCGGTAAGATTTTTCAAAAATGTCTTACCAAATTTTGATTTAAATACAGTAATATTGTGAAATATTATTTAAACAGATTTCTCAGCATCATTACTCCAGTTTTCAGTGTCACATGATCCTTCAGAAATCATTGTAATATTCTGCTCAAAATGCATTTCTGTTTATCAATGTTGCCATCAGTCGTGCTGCTTCATATTTTTGTGCAAACCAACTGTGATACATTGATGAATAAAAGCAAAAAATCTTACTGACCTCAACTTTGAATGGTAGTATATTTAGGGCTATGCAAGATTGTTACATATGTATGATGTATATCTTAATGTGCATATTTAACATCAGTTTATATACATCATGATTGCTAAATGATTTTATGGCTTGCTAACTGCTGTTTGTTTTTATTGCAGTGGTTTTGAATAAATCCTGTTCTGCTGAGCCCGGTTTTGTCGCATCATCTTTGGACATGCTCTTAGCACCACCAGATCACTATTATATTGTCAAGATTAGTTAGACGTGTTTCTCGCTCTTTTGTTATTCATAAATAAACGTAATAAAAGTTGTCTACTGTGTCTTCGTTTTTACTTCTTTGTGTATAATTAATTAGTCGGTTGATCAAATCCAGTGCTTAATGGAGAAGTCACTTGCTCTTTTGGGTCAGTGCTATATATATATTTTTATATAGATGTTAAATGCAAATAAATTTATGCCTTGCAAACGTAAACATTTGAGTTTGTCATCTATTTGTTACATTCTAGCGGTTTAATTTCCGACTTTTTTTCAAAAAGATACGTAAAGGAAATATGAAATAATTCGTATTTTAAAATGCTGAATAATTTTATGAAAAAATATAAATATTTCTAGCAAATATAAAAATACATCACTAATAAAAAATGTGGTCAGAACAAGCAAAAATGGCCAGAAATACTAGCCTAAGCCATTCACATTTTATTACATTTTCAAAAATACCACGTAAGCACAATACATAATTTGTCATGTGACCATAATTTCCATTACACGAGAGTAGATGTTAAAACTTCATGCTGATTTGTACTCGGCTTTCGCCAAGATAAGCAAAACTAAGACGTAGCTTTACAGTAAACTATGCTCCATCCATTTACGCTTCTTTCCATATGGTGGTGTGACTCCCCTTCTGTCCGGCGCTAACGGCTGCAGTGTACTTGGCGCGACGGCTGCAACTACATTGTGGTCTCCCTAGTGGACCAGCACGACAACCGTCTGGATTGAGCCGAGTAGGGGACATCTCTAGGGTCTTCAAGTGGGCACCTTCCGTCCTCAGTGTTTCGTCGACTAGCCCACGACACCTCAAGAGGGCTCGACAGTGACTCTGGCGTCCCAGAGTCACCCCCCTCCGTCCCCCACTCAACTCAGCCCAGCTTACTGACCTCTACATCCCTCCTGCTGCTGAGACCTAACCACAATCTCACAATCTCTCCGCAACCCAACCATACGCGCCAACCCGTTTGACTAAGGCTGTCGAGCCCCACTGGTGCGTTAATATGCCGTTTCAGTGGCAACGGTTCCGTATGGCATACCACCTACCGCGAAAACACAATATCTGCCCAACCACCCGTCATTCACGCAATATACACAGGAACGTAATGACTGTAAATACTATACAACCTATCCAAATAAACCAACAGACTCTTCAAGTTTTCAAGAATTCTACGAAACCGTAGCGTGGCGGCCTGTACACAGCCAGCTAGAATCTTTCCGTCTCAACCACAGCCAGTTGCTGCTCCTTTCTGCTGCTTCAGATAAGTTCTTTACTGTGCGATGCAACTCTTGGCCGCTGAATCCGACGTCTCTGAGGAACCGGGTTGTAGAGTGTGCCACAAAACCTCGACAACCCACTTCCACTGGATAAACCTGGACTCTCCATCCTCGCTGTTCTGCTTCAGTGGCCAGATGAGCATACCGCAGTTTCTTCCTCTCATATGCCTCATCTACCGCATCCTCCCATGGCACTGTTAACTCTATCAGTTGAACAATGCGTGCTGATCCAGACCACAAAACAATATCTGGTCGTAGGTTAGTGGTGGCAATCTCAGGTGGAAAAATAAGCCGTTGATCAAGATCAGCCAGCATCTTCCAGTCCCTAGCAGCTTCCAGTTGTCCTGGGCGAGAATTGGTGTTAACACCTTTTCTTGGTGGTTGCCCGCCTTGTCTTCTGTGTGTAATGTTTTGCTAGAACAGGCGGCAACTTATTGGTCATACTACGCTTGCCTTCCAATGCTAAAGCCAAACATCGCAGTACTTGGTCATGGCGCCAAGTAAACCGACCTTGGCTAAGAGCCACCTTACATCCTGTCAAAATGTGCCTTAATGTGGCAGGTGATGAACACAAAGGACAAGAGGGATCCTCTCCTACCCCGATGTTATAGGTTCTGCGGTGATGGGAGAACATCATATGTTGACCTAATAAGGAAACTGATCCTACTCTCTTCCATTGACCAAAGGTCTTGCCAGCCCATCTTACGTTGTTCCACACTCTCCCATCTCATCCACTCTCCCTGCTTGGGCTGGGAAATGGCCTTTATACACCTCATCCTCTCCTCCTGCTTTCGCACCTCGTTGACTACCAGCTTCCTCCTTTGAGCTGGGCCTGCCTTGTGCCATTTAGGAGGAGCTAAACTGAGCCCAAAACCCCCTCTTCCATGCTGTACCTGTCCCACGATATCCCCAATTTGAAGGTCAGCCTTTGCCTCTACTACAGATTTCTTTGCTGACCACTTTCTACCAGTTTTTATACACAAATAGGATCATAATATACAGCCACCTGTGATTAAGAGGTGCATGTGAAAAAGGTTTTAGACAGTTTATGCTAAAATTTAATTTTATACAAAAATATATATCAGTATAGCATACAATGCGTGTATAAACTGACTGTATTGGTCAGATTTTGCGAGACAACTAAAATACCTTCTTAAAAGACAACCCATGCTTCTTAAGGAAAAAAAAAAACACTGCTTAAATGACATGCCTATAAAAGCGTTTATTCATTAACATGAATCAAGTATGTTACAGTATAATCCTAAATATAGTAGGTAATGATTTCAAATCATTTCTATTTACATTTATGCACATTATAACAGAGATCACACCTGATGCGAAGGAAAACAGTGATAAACTAAAACAAGGTGTAACAAGTTGCACGTTAGTAGTTCAAAGATCAATAGAAGCCTTAACTACAGAGGACTTCAAACTAGGGATCTTTATCACCCATTAATGCAAAAAATATTTACATATGCAAGCAATGACCTACTACATTTACTTTCTCAAAGAGCAGTTCATTTTATTCTCCAAAAATAAAATCGGCACAAGGCACACAAAACGCTTGCAGATTTAAAAAATATGATTAAATTTATATGATAACTTAATGTTCTATTATTTCTGAATCCTCAAAACCATGGAACGACTCCAAATCACTGTCTTTCTCAAACATCTTTTTCAAAAAAGTCATGCTGGACTGCGGAGAGGATTCTACAGAAGCGACACCGGAGATCTCAGCTTTCTGCTCAACTTTATCTCCTTGCATTTTACGGACCAGGAGAGCTTCAGTGAGACTCCGCACGAGCTCTGAAGGTTCCTCGGACGTCACCTCTGGGTTTGAGCTCAAAACCCGATCGAAAGAGCGGAAAAGAAGCTTGGGCTCTGCTTTAAGGACATCCAGTAGCTCGACAAGCCAGCGAGAGAGAAGATGCGCAAGGTCTGCTGGTTTGGCTCCAACCAGTTCCTGTGGCGCCGTCGTCACATGCTCGCTCCATCGAGCCTGCAGAAACTCGCGTAACACAGGCCCCAGGCAGGCTTCCAGGGGCTGCAGACGACGAGAGCAACTGCGAGGGATCGGACCTGGAAGAGTGTTCGTGCTGTTGAGCGCTGCCAAGAATTCATTAGACGTGTGGCCTTTGTACGCGTCAATTATCAGCAACCCTTTGCCTCCAGATTTAGGTTTGACATGCCGACACCACACCTTGTCCAACCAAAGCTGTAGTCTTTCTTCATCCGTGAACCCTTCTGGTCTAGCCTCCAGGATAATGAAGTCTGGCAAGGAATGCGCATCTGGCTTGAGAGGTTCGCCTCTGAGGAAAAGCATGGTGGATAACGTGGTCCCATCAGCCAGGGCTGTGAACACAACCTCTATGAGTGGATTTGTGGTGCCCATCAACTTAAAAGCAGACAACATGGACGACGAATCCGCAGAGGCTTCATCCAGTTGCTCCATATCTACAAATATGGAAAGCTCATCCATGGCGCCCATAGAAGATAGTCTAAATGTTTGCGAAATTACTTGCTTTTTCAGAAAGCTGCTGAAGGAACGCTCCAGCTCCTGGGATTTATCCGGTAGCAACTTGCTGGATGTGGCGAATGCCTGCAAGCCCAGATCGTGGCGTAGCAAGAAATCAACCGCCGAGTCGTAAGAGATATCCTGCGCACCATGACTGCTCATGAAGTCGAACAGATTAGCTTCATCGATAGGTAGCTGTTGCTCACGTTGGCATAGCACCCATTCCACTAACCTATCGGATGCCTGTGGCGTCAAGCCTTCTCCTCTGCTCCTCGAGGGCTCAATCTGACGCTGACGCTTCAAGAGCAATGACTGGACATCTTCCGGTGGAGTGTCGAAGTGATTGGCGGCCTGTGGGATTCCACAGCAGAGGGCGTACAGTACAACTTTCAGCTGAGCTACGGTAAGCGTGTTTTCCACTGTACGTCCTGTGTCGACTTTAGAAAGACCTCCATTTGGAGTTTGCTTCGGGGCATCTGGTTTGACCGCACATTTTTTGTCTGAAACGGCACTTTGTTCAATAGGTTGAACCTGAATTGGAAAGGACAGCGTGTGAGCGGGACTAGCGGGCAGTGTTATCGTGTAGGTGGGTCGAGGAAGGGGTTTAGAGGACAGAGGAAATGAACTCGTGACCACTTGCTTCACTTGCAAAGGCAAGAAAAACGCGTTGTTGAGTATCTGACCTCCTCGGAGTAGGTCCGTTGGGATGAAGACAAATCTACAATGACAGTAATTTGGAAGTTACCTCTTCTGCTAAACGGGAGGTTAAATCTCTAGCATTTTCAATTGCTTTTATCAGCTCTACACAAATTCAGTTCCTACAGCCTTTTTCTTGAGTTAAACTAAATTATCCCATTAAGCATTCTTGTTCTGTCATCATTTACTCCCCCTCGTGTCGTTCCAAACCTGTACGACTTTCTGTAAATTAAGATATTCTGGTAACACTTTACAAAAAGGTTCATTAGTTAATCTATTAACTAACATGAACTAACAAAGAGCAAAACATTTGTTACAGTATTTCTTAATCTTAAAAATACAGTTTGATCATGTTAGTTCACAGTGCTTTAACTAATGTTAACAAATACAACCCTTGATTTTAATAACGTATTAGTAAATGTTGAAATTAATGTAAACTGAGATGAATAAATGCTGTAGTATTTTTCATTTTTAGTTAATGTTAACTAAGGTAGTTAACTAATGTTAACCAATGAACCTTATTGTGTTACCCATATTCTGAAGAATGTTTTTGTCGATGCAATTAAAGTCAATGGGGTCCAAAAACACTGGACCCCACTGACTTTCATTATATGGGAAAAAAACCTGAAGACATTTTAAAATATCTTCTTTTATCTTCCACAGAAGAAAGACAGACTCACAGGTTTAAACCAACATGAGGGAGTAAATTATAGAATTTAGATTTTTGAGTTAAAAATAAGCGAATATCAACTTACCTTTTATAGCCACGTGAAAATCCTTCTGAAACAAGAGGAATATTATTAATAATATGGTTGTAATAGGATCATTATTAAGTGCTTGACTTTTCATCATCATAGAGATTTTTAGACATAAATAAACAACTTACCCCGCAAGGTGCACCGGCTTGCTTGATGTTTAGGATAGTCAGCGAGATGTTTGGCCATCGAATCTCCAACCCGAGTTTTGTATCTACATGTGACACAGTTTAGCCTCCCCTTCCTGCAAACATTTTTGTAACATTACCATGATTGACAATTAAAGTAAAATTACATGCAGAGCAAGAGGAGGGGAAAAAAACTCAGGTCTTACTTTGGGCAGGGTTTGTAAAGGGTAATATATTTTCTGGTGCTTTTCCGAGGAACATGTACACTGCAAATAAAGAGGAGGAAGAAATGAGAAAACACTCAACACCTCACAAACTGTGAAATTTAAAGTTTTTCACCTGATTATGTTATATACATTTTTGGTCACACTTAAGATTAGTGACCAATTCTAACTTACTAAATATTAACTATGACTTTAGCCTCAAACTCCTAATTACTGCTTATTAATAGTTAGTAGGCAGTTTAGGTATTGGGTAGGATTAAGGGATGTAGAATATGATCATGCAGAATAAGGCATTAATATGTGCTTTAGAAGTACTAATAAACATCCAATATCCTAGTGATATCGATATGCCTGCTAATAAGCAACAAGTTAACAGGGAGAATTGGAGCCTAAACTAGTGTTACCCAATTTCTTTTTTTTTTTTTTTACAGATAGGCAAAGGTAATCTAAATGTAAAAATAAGGGAAATGACCATGCACAATTAAATTATATCAACTAGTAATAGCAATAAAAAAATCTTATATAAATAACCAATCTATTAGCAGATAATCAATATATGACACATTATCCATTCCTTCCTTTAAAAGCCTCTATCACATAAACTGTAAAAATCTAAAGATGTTCACCTGATCATGTGATTGGCATAAGCTCTGGAACAGCAAGTACAGTATCGGCAGAGGGAACAGCTCACATACGTGGGGAAATGGTTGGAAAAATACGGAATGTCATATGTGCATTCCATGCAGAAGTGTTTTTCTGCTGGCTTGCTGGAAGAACAATATGATGGTCAGAAGATATTGTTTCTTAAATTTTTTTAAATAAATGCAAAAAAACAGCAAAGAGAAAATGTCTACATACACACACATAGTATATATATATACACAGTATATAAATAAAAATCATGCTCACCATTGACTCTCAAACTTGACCATTAGCTCCATCATGCTTTCCACTGGCTTTTTCTTGACAGGAATGACTTTATTGGTGACATTTTGAGATGCTGCAGTTGTTGATGTGGCACTTGAGCAAGTGTTCAATGAAGGTGCTCCTAAATGATCTCTGTTGTCAGTACTGTCAGCATAAGCTCGGATGATTACCTGAAACAGAGGGGTAAATGGTAAGGCCATCAAATAAGCAATAAACAAGCCATATAGATGACTGGGTGTCTCTTACCTTAGTACCAGGCGTGAGGCCCTCCAATTGCTTGGGTTTGACACATGTCCTGTGAAACCTGTGTCTGTGCTTCCACTTGTCCTTGTCATGAATGAATTGAAGTCGGCATCGGCCACAATGATGTGCTGTTCTTTTCTGGACGAATAAACACCAACTTTAATAGGACTGATAAAAATGCCTTCTGACACATTAAAGACCTTTCATACCGTCATAAAGAAAACACTAAACTATGTATACATCAAAACTTTATAATGTACAGTATGCAAAAGGGTTATTCATTATGAGATTGTGATATTAAATTATCAGTGTTCAAGCATTAACCATTAGATGAAGGCATTCTAAATGTAAAAATAGAGGACATGACCATGCACAGTTAAATATGAATTGAAACAATTGATTAAATGAGCTCTACACAAATGATATCTTGTCCATCCCTAAGGGCAAATCACAGTAAAGCATTAGTTTATGAGCTGGAAAGGTAAAAAGTGTATATTGAGATATTAAATTGTTATTATTTATCATTAAAACCCCTCTGAGCGGCGACTGTTTAGTGCTAAGGATATACTTTACCTGGTGTCTAGTGTAGTGCAACTGGAAGCCGATATAAGACCGAAATACTTTTAAGCAGAAGGGACACATTAAGATACAGGTGTCCTTGTGCTGCTCTGTGAAGTGGCTTATAACATCTTGGTAGAAAGAGGATCTGAACTCGCACACCTGAGGAGCAAAAAGTACACAAGTGTAATTGATTTACACAAATGTTTTCAAGACAAAACTTGAATGACATGAAACACTTATACACAAAGTTACCTGACACATGTAGGGCATCTCACCAGGCTTGTGCGCCTGTTTCATGTGGTTCAGAAAGAGGGGTTCGTTCTCAAAGGACCACTCACAGATCTTGCACACTTCTGTAAAGCAGAATCAAATGTTTTAAATAGGATACCTATGATGCTTTTTATTACATTTCAGCCTTTTTTATTGTATAATGTTACTGTTCGAGCATGAAAAAGCTCTGCAAAGTTACAAAGCCACTCCAAAGGCAGTTATTCTCTCTCAGTGTCACTGTTTCTGAACTCCCTGAAACGCCTCCGTTGTACAACAAACACGTCACAATATTCCTCATTTAAATAATTCCCGCCCAAGTCATGCGCAAAATAAAGGGGCGGGGCCTGGTTGAGTTAGTTCGGCCCTGTCCCAAATGGCGCACTTCATGCGGACTTTCGGTCTCGTGGACTTAAATTGCGCGTGCTCGCCGAGTCCGTCTCATTTAGCATTTTAACGCTCTGAAGTGTGCTCAGCAGCGCCCCCTTTGTACCCTTGAAGCGGTCTTCCGCGAAGCCCGCATAGATGCAGGCTCCACGCACTTTAACTACCCAGGAATCCTTGTGAAAGGCCAATCAGACAACGGATGGGAGGAGATTTCGCTCACGGACAATTGTTAACATGGCTGAGAAGAAAATATTTAAGTGTAATTACCATTACGGTTTTTATGACAAGTTTATACAAACATTATGATCATCAACCAGTGGTTGATGTCTCAAACATAGGCTAATAATAGCGAGCTGAATAATACGATCGCATTATGATTCATTAAATAAATAGAACTGAATGTCATGGCTTTACTTAGTCATTTGTAAACACAACAACAATAGGCAGCATATTTCCCCGAACCTGCAGCTCCTGTCCATAACAACAATCAGACCGTCTTCCTGTTTCCGGCGTGACGATCAAGTCTGTCCCAAAAATACCTCTCAATGCGCCCTCGCGGACTCGCGCTAAGGGCCCTATAGGTCTGCACTACATGACGTCACCGAAGTGTGGACTCTGAGGAAGTCCACAAGTCCGGAGTGTGCCATTTGGGACAGGTCCTTAGTAGTGAGTTGAAGCTTGTGGTTGACATAAGGGGTGTGACAATTTCAAATCACACGTTTGATTGACCAATCACAACACACTGGTCCAGTTGACCAATCAGAGCCCATTGTGCTTTTCGCAAGGAGGGGCTTCATAGAGACAGGAACTAAACAGAGTGTTACTGACAGACTGGGGAAGAGAGGTGCCATGTCAAATATGTGAAAAATACATTTGGGTTTTTTACACTTAAGCATGAAAACCAATTCTAGTAGAGCCCCAAAACAAAATCAAGACTTTATAAAAGGACAATTGAATTAAAACCATTTCATATGTTTGTCAAGAACTAGGTTGATGATATATCATTCTAGAAGTATAGACTCACTTGAGGACTCTGCTTGGTTATGAACTGCCTCAACGTGGCACTGCAGATCGAAGGGTGTTGAAAAGGTTCTGTAGCAATGCTGGCACATAGTATGATAGTCTACTTCCCCTGTTTGGTGATCCAACTCCATGTGGTGTTTCATGTGGTTCATCATCCTTTAAAATGAGGGTTGAAGAATTAACAAATCGATCGATACCAACAACACCCCTCAAAAACCCATCTGAAAACCAACTTACTTGATGTTGCCCTTCACCTTCTTGTCACAAAGTTGGCATTTCATTGAGATGGTTTCTGAATTGGTTCTTAATGATGGAGGCTGGCCAGGGTGCTGCCCATAGAAGAAGTCTTCAACTAGCATGATCATTCTGCCCTGGTCATCAAAATCTCCAGAGCGAGGACTAGGCACTCCCTCAGGTATCTCAGAAGTGGTGACGTGTTTGAGAGACGTTTCTGAGGACGAGGAGAAGGAAACAGTCTCAGATGTGGCGGGTTTTGACTGGGTTTTGTCACTCGGCCGCTTGATCCTTTTTCTAGTTTGGGCCTTCAGGTCCTTGACGCTCTTGATAAGATCTTGATTGCATTGCTGAAAATGGGGAAGAAGATGAATGGACATGAGTAAGACCTTAGCGAAAGATTTAAAGACCACCAAAGCAAAAGGTTCTTAACCAAGAAAGGTTCTGTACATCAGTTTGTAGGTATTTAATCTAAAAAGTGTATGAGTAAAAACTTACACAGAAGTATCCACGGAGGGACTGACTCTTCTGGTAAACTGCTTTACAGCGAGCACAGAAATTCGAAGAACTGGAGGGCCTTTTCAATGCTGTAGAACAAAGATACTCCACTCAATCCCTTCTCAAAGACCTCATAAAGGGATAGTTCACCCAAAAATTTAAATTCTGTCATCAATTCCTTTTACAATTACTCAATTACCTTCATGTTGCTCCAAATTCACAACTTTCCTTCATCTTTGAAACACAAATGGAAATACTTTTAACAAAACCGGAGATATTTCTGTCCCTCCATTGAAAGTCCATTCCACCAAAACCTTGATGCTTCAAAAAGTTCACAGGAATCAATGAAGTTTTTCTTGCAGGTCAAGCAAGTACAGCTAAAAGCTTGGAGTAAACCGCTCAATTCATATGGATTCCTTTATGAACTATTTGATGTGCCAAAGTTTTGGGTGAATGACAATTTTCATTAAAAATGTCAGTTTGTATTATGAAGAAAAAATTAAGGGTTTGGAACAAGTAAGTGATGACCGGATTTTTATTTTTGAGTGAACGATTACTTTAAACACGTTAGAGCTGCACGATTCTGGATAAATTGAGAATCACAATTTGTTTTTGTTTAAAATAGAGATCACGATTTTTCCACAATTCTGAATAGACAACTAAAAGTAGCATGTCATTTACTAGAGGTTCTGACAAAATATGAATTTCTGGAGTCTATTAAATTTTATTTTTTTAATTATGTGAATTAAAAAAAAATTAAACTGGTTTGAATGTACAATTCAATGAATCACTCATTAAGACTTAATTTCTTTCATTACTGGATGAATGAGAGTTTTTGAATGAATCTCTTGAGTGAATGATTCAATGACAAATACATTGAATCAACGATGTGATGATACAATCTTTATTTGAAGAATCAAGTTCCTTTTAAAAAGTCGATTTTTTCTATTTTTGATCGCTACCGTGAACATAAGTGTTTATATCAAACCATCAACTTTTATCCCAGTACTTCAGTGATCATTTGAATTACTGTAACAGAAATAATGATACTGTGTGGTTGAAAGGAGTGTTTGTGAAGCTGTTTCATACTTGTAAATGACAACTGCTCTCTCTGGGTCAGAACACAGATCTGAATGTTCGCTGTGATCGTACTTGTCAAAGGTTTAAAGGATAATTCCGGTTTTTAACACTTTGAGTCTATTTTCTAGTTTGTTTTGGATGAACTAGAGTGGTGGACTTAGAAATGTTGACGATGGGTCCTGTCTCGACTTTTTGACTCTTTTAGGATCGCCTCTGACCGCTTCAGAGTGGCTGTTTATGGGCATGCTCAAACTGTCCTTAAAACAACCCTTAACGGTCGTTTTCAAAACTGTGCAACTCACCGAGTGGTTAGTGGTGTTGTAGTTGATGTTCCAAAACAAGTAGCGTAGCGAAATACAGTTTCTGTCGTGTTTTATTTGCCATTTTTTAAAATCGCATTGATGTCTGCTGGAGGACTCAGTGCTCGTTGATATTACTGCGCTACCGGAAACGGAAAGAGGGGTCTGTTTACATTTGGTTGTAGTCTTTTCGCTCGGTTCTCCGTCTCTCACGGGGTCTCTCAGAAGGCTAGCGTGAGCTGAGCAACTGCGGCAAAGTGGTTGTCGCCATCAAGTGGTCGGGAGTGTGCTAACGCTTCAGACTCAAATATCGAGCGGAAGTTTATACGTGGTTGTGAGGTATCTGAAAAAATAGTTCCACTATAGCAAATAACACGGATTGAAAGCATACATTGCGCCGATATATTTGTTTTTAATCATCAACAAACACCACTAACCACTCGGTGAGTTGCACAGTTTTGAAAACGAACGTTAAGGGTTGTTTTAAGGACATGTTTGAGCATGCCCATAGACAGCCACTCTGAAGCGGTCAGAGGCGATCCTAAAAGAGTCAAAAAGTCGAGACAGGACCCATCGTCAACATTTCTAAGTCCACCACTCTAGTTCATCCAAAACAAACTAGAAAATAGACTCAAAGTGTTAAAAACCGGAATTATCCTTTAATAAACATAGCCGAATCATTGTCATTAAGGAATAAGATCGCGCAAGTGTTTAAATGAAGACTGCGATCTTTTAGCGATTAATCGTGCAGCTCTACAACACATAAATGATGTTTAATCAATAAGCTGATATCCACAACATCTAAAACAACAACACTTCAATACAGCAATTAAAAACTGAAAAATAGGAGGGTAAAAACAAATCCTGGTCCTGACCGTTAGTTGTTGAGGCAGGAGGAGGGGCAAAGATCTGTGCTTGAGGTCTCACAGTCTGAGACAGCCCACCAGACAGGAACGGGCCTGGAGCTCGGTTTGTTATATTGTTTTGGATGGTGAAGGTTTTGGTGGGCTGCACTAGTGAACTCAGTACTTGACCAGAAGCTGCAGGTGCTCCAGGAAGCTTCGTAAACTTTATAACTTTAATTGTTGCACCTATCAAGGTAAACAAAATGTAAATAAAACAGACATGAAATGACCTATGAACGGATGTACAATAGAAAAAGTAAAAACTGCATAAATTGTCACCTGGAGCTGTGGCTGGTTGGACGTTGGAGGGGGTCACATTAAGAGTGGACACTCCTGGGGCCGATGAGGTGATGCTTTGTAAGTTTGAGGGGTTATTGATGGTCAAGGTGACTGGGATCTGCAATGTAGATAGTTTCCCAGGCGTCGTTTGCTGTCCTGCACTCCCTGGGGTGACCATCCGCGGAGAAATTAACTGGGGTGTCTGACCTGAAGAGGTTAGAGAAAGTATTTAAGCAAAATGAGTAATGCTCCAATAAAAATTAAAACATTTGTTTTTGAGCAGCATAGGTGTAAATAAAGAAAACTAAATGCATGGCAACAGATCTCTGGAACCGCTGGAGACTCTTGAGCTGGTATTTATGTCTGATGCACAAATATGCATGTGCATATAAATATTAAAGTCATGAAGAAATGAAAGTAGCAACCAAACTTTTCTTTTATATTGTGAGGTACATTAGAGTGTAAAAACAGACACAAATCGAAGGCGGGGACTTGTTTCTATCCATTGGATTGAGATGTTGGCATTGCACTCATAAATTAATGAGAGCTTGCAGTCGATTATAATAAAGGGGAAGCGTTTAAGCAGACTAAATGATTGTCTGCAGTCCAGCATACGTCACCAGAGAGAAGTCTGACCTTTTCACAGGAAGATCGAGTTATGATTAAACATCTTGTGGTCAAAAAAAAATTGAAAATGAAACATATGCATTGATGAATGGTTCACAATAACATGCATTTAGATAATACATATGGTGAATTATTTTCACACCGGCTTAGAATTCAGGAATGCATCCTGAAAAATATGTCTGGGAAGGAGTAACCGTGATATTAAATACATTACTGTGAGTAATGACTTACCAGCAGTCAGAAAACTAATAGGCTGTCCATTCAAGATGTAACCAAGTGATGTTCCCAAACTTCCCAATCCCATTGAGCCTGCCAGAGGCTGACCTGGATTGGGCTAGAATGAACAGATGATAATACAACATTTTTGGTATGTCCATGTAAACAGAAGGTTAAAAGCCTTATTGATAGTAAAAGAGCAAAGTGAAACCTGTGCACTGATGTAGATAGTCTGTGTGCCTCCTGCAGCTCCACCTGTCTGGACAGCATTCGGCAGTAACGTAACCGCAGGAGCTAAAGGTACAAACAAACCAAAACACTTGTTTCTTTCCACACTGAACTGAAGTCCCACAGCTATTCTTTTAACAGTGTTTTTGCAGTGTGGCATGTGTGTGGTCACTAATGACCACTAGGTACATGGAAAGGAAGCCTCTTATTGGAAAGTCAATTCTGCATACTAGCAGTGGGATATTGTTTAGATCTTTATTACATGCTTCTTGCCTTCTTACCAGAAGCCAAAGACACAGCTTGATTTACGAGGTCAGTAGTACCTGATGTCGGTTTAGAGGTGCCATCAGATTGTGCCGGTGCACTATTGCCACTTGGGACTACAGTAACTAAATTAATGAATAAAAACAAAAGGCATTAAACTTATTTGTATTCACACTCATGCTCTTCACAAAAGCTCTTCTATCAAGACATAATAATGAGTGTTTTTACCACAAAAACATTATTTACCTTTGTTATATCGCTGGTCCCTGTTTTCTGTAATACTCTGGCATGGCTCTAGATCATCTTCATCACATTGCATGTAAAGGTCAGAATCTGCCATGTTTCTGTAAACAAAAAGTGTTTCTTATACAGTGTCTTACTCCTGTCAACAAGACTATGTTGGCTATTGCCAGTGGGTAGCTGAACATATACTCTCTATCTATTTGACATTAAATTATTATTATTGAATAGAAAAACTAACAGGACAAGTGACCATTTTGTTATATGCAATACAGCTTCTAATCAACAATAACATTTAAAGTCTGGACAATGTGTTACAAGATCTCATTTTTCCCAAAAATGTATACATATGCCTGTAAATATTAATTATTTTAGTTGTCAGTGTTTTTTCGTGGCTCTCTCGACTGCTACTTTCAAACTCAAAGTTAAAATAATTCATATACAGTGTTGAGTGTAATGCATTACTAAGTAATAATTACTGTAATTTAGTTACTTTTCTCTTTGAAAAAGTAAAATAAGGGATTAATTTGATTACAATTACTTCTGATGTAATTGCATTAAATACGGTATAGACCAATTCTATATAAAACAATAGTGGATTTAACATCAACATTTAATATTAAACTGCATGTTTTTAATGTAACCTTCTCCATTTAAATACTTTAATCACTTCAAGAATAGTGTATGTAATTTTATATTATTTATTTGAAAGAATTAAAATAGCAAGTTCATGTCTGTTCAACTAACTGGTTGAAGTTAATATGGGATTTAGAAAGTAATTATTAATAAGTAATGCAATTTTTTTTAGAGATAATAATTAGTACAGTAATCTAACTACACTGTCAAAGATGTAATTAGTAACTAGTAATTACTTTTTTAGAGTAACGTTAACTTACCCAACACTGTTCATTTATTTGTTTACTTTCTGTCATACTTATTGGCAAAAAAATGGATATGCATTAAGCATAGGTCGCTAAACCGACTTATTGCCTCATTATCTACAAGCTGTCATAATAATAAACTTGAGCCCCTTTAACAGAGCCATAACAGAGGCTAACATTAGCCCGCCCTGCTAACTGTTACTGCACGCATGTTTATCCTGCCAATGCCAATGCAGCTGTGCATTCAAAGCTACAGTGGCTAGCCTTTACCTGACTGCACAACTTTTAACAACTAAGTTACTTAACAAACAACGACGCGTTGTTTCTAGGAAGAAGAAAGGGAAGTCTTACCTCATGCACAGATTTGCATATGTGGGACAAAAAATTATAATGCGTTATTTCCCTCCATTCTTCGCGGGGTTTGCCATGATGGAAAAACAATGATCCCTGTTCTGCAGACGTTTTCGCCTCTTTGCTCGCGCTGTGGTAGGCGAAACATTTAAAAACGTCACTTCCACGCGTAATTCCCTGCACTCTGATTGGTTGCGATATTTTGTGAGAAACGCGGGATGATCGTGATTATTCAATATGTAATAAAAAAAAGCAAATAAAATACGTAATGCCAGTGCACGCGAAGGGTAAATGTTACATTACACGCATATTACGATATGGAAGTGTAATGAAATTTCCTGGAGTATCATTTCCAATAATAAACGTTTTAAAGCCAATTACCGTCTACATTAAATTATTTAGATTGTGGATTATGTTTTGACATTTTGAGACCATTGTCATCCTACCTGCTGCACAGATTTGCTTCTTTTATAACGGCGATATTTATCTAAACAGTTTGCACTTGCATATAGCCGGCTAAATAGTGCAGTGATCCAACATCGCCGCTTCAGAGTTGACGACACAAACATAAACTCGATCCCTGGGAGAAAAACATTGGCCTTTTAGTCAATGCATGTTAGTCTCAAACCATAACTAAGAGTTTCCCGCATAATCGCTTTCTTTTGGCATTACGTTTCACTCTGCTTTCATTAGTTCCAAGATGGCGGCTGGTGTTTAGAAGACAGGAATGCATTGACGTCGTGAAATGTTTCTATCCAAATGTGCCTCGAATGAAACATCAACTCTTTAATATTAAAACGAGCATGTTTCTCCAACAACAACAACAACACAGTTCTGTGATTTGTATAAAACAAGAGTTGGTGTTTTGTTGTTATAACGTTTTTAACTGTGAACCCATGTTTTTATAGCATCAGTTTAATATCTATGAAAGCCTATGTTTCCGCCACAGAATAAAACATGTATATATATATATTCTGAAAGTTTTGTAACTTTTTATCTTACAATTCTGATGTTTCTTCTCGTAATTGCTAGCTTTATTATCTCACAATTCTGACTTTAAAACTCGGAAATGCGAGTTTTTGTGACTTTATAACTCGGAATTGCGAGTTTATATCTCACAATTCTGACTTTATTTCTCGCAGTGCGAGTTTATATGTCGCAATTTTGACTTTTTCTCGCTATTATGACTGTATAACTAACTAGCAATTGCGAGTTTAAATCTCAAAATTCTGACTTTAACTCGCAATTGCCACAACCAAGAACAGAATTAGCATTTTAGACATATGGCTTCCCCTTGAGAATTCCTTTATTGGGGTTTTGAGAATGGCAGTTTTGATTTTAAATAAGAAATACATTTTAAATAAGATCTTTTTTGTTCAATAACATAAAGTATCCACTTACCTTAGAAGAGACATTTGAATCGTTTGGTGTTGTTTTTTAAACGTAGGCAATTTGTTAGCACTATGTTTTAAAACAAGGCAGTTGCAAAATTCACATCGTTAAGGTCATCAAACTGTGTGTATTGTTGTAGGTAAACAAAACATAGCTAATTTTAACACTGGCCATATTTATAAACAATCATTCTAAAAAGCCTAGAAAAAAATTCACTGCTCCACACACTTGCACTAGTAGTCAAGTAAATAAACTGGAACCTTTTTTAGCCTGGGACTTTATATAAAAAAGCAGGTCATATGCATGTACAGTGTGTCTTGTTTACATGGCTGTAACAATAGGTTATTAATAAGAAAGCACAATTTAAAACACATGACATTTAAACTAATTTGATCAACACTGTCCCTGACAAATCCAATATATCCCCTCTTGTCTGACTTGCCAAACATTCCCATACTTCTGATCAGGTAATACAATAAAATCACCACGATAGTGCCAAACAACTGAATAAGGCCATAAGAGGGAGGGGAGGGGAGGGCCACATGACCCATACAACATACCCCAAAAAGCTTTTATAGCTTAACATATCAGAAAGATGTTTTTAAATGCCTCAGACTCAAATTAAGTCACATCTAAGACATTTAGACATTGACTTATAATGAAAAGCCTTGCGTTACTAGTCTGCTATAGAAGTGGAAATTGTTTTGATCAATGTTTTTGTTATTCGCATTTCTGTCTGACCGTAAGCCATGGAATCTAACATGATCTTGACTTAATCTTCTTATAAAGCCTCAACCCAGCCCTGAACGCGGGGTGATTAGACGTGTTAGCTGGCACTGAGCTTGATGGTGGCCGTGCACTAGAAACCACAGCTTTTTTTATAAACAAAGAAAAGAGTTTAGTACTGTATGACAGACTATAAAATGAAAGCAGAGCTGAAAGCGCATCACAGTGGATGACATGTATCTCTCTGCAGCCACACAAATGTGGGAGGAACTGAAGGCAAATCGTCTCGCCCAATACGGCACAGTAACTGCGGTCACAGCTATTAGTAAGTTACATAATGTCATTTCCTCTCATTCTAACTTTTGGTGGGCTGAAACAACATTTCAGTCAGTTATGAACTAATACAATTTTTTATTTTGTATTGTAGAATATTATAAACAGCACAGTTTCAGCGCTGTTCAGAAGGTACAATATTGTGGCTCAAGAGGTACTTGATGTAGCTTAAGGGATAACAGAATTACAGATTAGAATAAGAGGCTGTGTTGTTTAAAAAAAACAAAAAAAAAAACATGATTGTAATACCAAATCTATTATATATATACAGACACAATTGGAAATAAAATAAGTTGAAGTACTAAAATTACTTAAACCAAAATTGAAATAAAAATAAATCAAGGCTAAATAGATTTATTTTGAAAAGCACATAATTAAATTACTAAAACTAAAATAAAAACTGAAAATATAAAAATAATAGCTAATTCAAAAGGTTTATAAATACTATAATAGTATGTAATACTAAAATAACACTTATTCTAATTAGAATTGGATTTGGTTGGTAATTTGTTTTCACAGCAATTGTATATATTCCAATATATAAATATATATAATTAAATGGACATTTGTATCATGGATCTCATTGATTTGATATCAAATCTGCTAAAGGGCAACAGATCTGACCTATAAGCACTTTGTTTAGATCTTTAAAAGTCTGTATTTTCTGCATGTAGAATTTCCTTGGTTTCGATTGGAAGAATGTGCTCTCACAAATGGATTTTCTCAAAAAATAGGTTTGTTTCTGCTGAGAAAATGGATTGCAGGAGGAGTGTGCCGCTGTCGCGTGCGACTGGATAGAAAGACAGTCGTCATTACTGGCGCCAACACTGGGATTGGAAAAGAGACGGCACATGACATGGCCATGAGAGGTAAACGCTGCATTCTTAAAAAATAAAGGTTCTAAAAGAGGGGTTTTCACACCCTTTTTGGTTCCCCAAAGACCATTTTAGTGAACACTTTTTAAAAGAACTCTTTTTTGTGAATAACATTTTAATAATCTAAAGAACCCTTTTCCACCATAAAGAACCTTTTGAGCAATGGAAAGGTTCTTCATGGAACCATCAATGCCAATAAAGAACCTTTATCTTTAAGAGTAAAGAAAGTCTAGCTTTTGGAGGATTTTAGCTCAGACTGAATATTTTCTGGTGTTGTTTTTCAGGGGCTCGGGTTGTGATGGCTTGTCGAGATCTTTCAAAAGCAGAAAAGGCTGCTGCAGAGATTCGCAGATCTACAGGAAATGGCAACATAGTAGTTCGGCACTTAAACCTGGCATCTCTGTTCTCCGTACGGCAGTTTGTTCATGAATACACTGCCACTGAGGATCGACTGGATATACTTGTTAACAATGCTGGTGAGACATTTGACTTCATTAATCAGCAAATCACACTGTGCTTTTAGCTGTATTGTTAAATATGATACATTTTGTTTTGACAAACCTATACTAGGAGTGATGATGTGCCCTAAAAGCCTCACTGAGGATGGCTATGAAACCCAGTTTGCTGTCAATCATTTGGGCCATTTCCTCCTGACTGTTCTGCTCCTGTACATGCTGAAGAAGTCTAGTCCAAGTCGAGTTATCAATGTATCCAGTATTGCTCACAAAGGAGGTAAAACCGCCTATTAACATCATGCCTTTTAAATATTCTAAAAGAAGGTTCCAAAGAAAGTTTTTCACAGCGATGCCATAGATGAACTATGATTTTGGGTTCCATAAAGAATCTGTCAGTTCTTAAAAATCTAAAGAAACTTTTGTGCAATGGAAAGAGTGTTAGTAAACTATTGATGTTTTTAAGGATGAACTTTGAGTGAATGTTAGATGAGAGCAAATGTTGTAAACGCTCATTTGCCCCTTTTTTCACAATTAAATATCTAAACTTGTTCTTGCATTGACCAATAACTGATATGGTAACGATATATACATCTCTTCTGTGTCATTTGTAAACATTATTGCAGAGATGCATGAGACTTTTATCCATACAACATATTTCAGTCCGATGACCTTTCTCATAGGTAAGATCAACTTTGATGACGTTAACTTCAACAAGGCACCGTACGATTCCCTGGCCAGCTACAGGCAGAGCAAACTTGCCAACCTGCTGTTTACTCGCGAGTTAGCACGGAGGATTAAAGGTTTGTGCGCTCATCCCCAGTACATCAGTCACGTTCAAACATTAAAAAATGCTGCTTTAAAAAAAAGCTGTTTTAAAAATGCATATTGTATTTTCCCTACATTATCCTTGTTTAATCCTGCTGTTATTAGGGTCTGGTGTAACCGTGTACTCCCTTCACCCTGGAGTAATCCGCACTGAACTGGGACGTTACGTGCAGACCCGCTACCCTCTGCTCAGTGCCCTGTTGTCTTTTCCTGCTCTTTTACTGATGAAAACCCCCAAACAAGGTGCTCAGACGTCCATCTACTGTGCGGTTGCTGAGGGGTTGGAGTCTCACAGTGGCTGCTATTTCAGGTGAGCTGTTAAAGAGGGCCTATTATGCCTTGTTTTTGGGCTCTAGAATATGTTTTCATGCTTGAATGTTCAAAAAACACCTTATTTTTCACATATTCTTCATTGTTGCAGCTCCTCTCTTCCCAGTCTGTCAGTAACGCTCTGTTTAGTTCCTGTCTCTACGAAGCCCCTCCTTCTGAAAAGCACAATGTTCACTGATTGGTCGTCTGGATTAGTGTGTTGTGATTGGACAACCGCTTCGAGCGTGTTTGGGGGAATGTAACTCCCCTTAACATAACTGCGAGTTTCAACAGACTACTAACTAACTCGACCAGGAAATAGCGATAAATATTTCAATGAGGAATATTGTGACGTGTTCATTCCTGAAAGAAATCTTAAGACTACAATGGAGGCGTTTCAGGGAGTTCAAAAACAGTGACACTGATATAGAGAATAAAGGCACGTTCACACCAAGGACGAAAGATAACGATAAGACATAGTTCTAAAAATCGTTCTCAATGTTAAAGAATAGCAGAGGTTACATCACAACTATAACAATAACGGCACAGAGAAAGAATCACCTTCAGAACGATTTTATCCAGCTGGTGAATGATAAAAACATTGACAGCCAATCAGAATCCACCCTGCTGCAACGAGCTCAAGCATTTAAAGTGGCAGACAAGCACACGCTTAAACAGAATGATCTTTATAGTTATCATTCTTGGTGTGAACGGGCCTTTACTCCCTTTAGAGTGACTTTGTGCTTTGTAACTTTGCAGACCTTTTTCATGCTACATTACACACTTAAGAAAGTTGAAAAATTAAGAAAGCATAGAGGACCCCTTTAATATTATTATTCACATGACCTAAGCCTTTACATCAATCGTGTAACGGGTTTGTATTGCAATTTCTCTAAAGATTTGACCTTTTCTGTTTCTAACATTTCTGCTTGACACTGGATGATTATGAGATCTTTTTACAGTGATTGTAAGCTGAAGGAACCAGCTCCTGAAGGTAAAGATGATCTTGCTGCTCTGCAATTATGGGAAATAAGTGCAAAGCTTGTGGGCTACCATGAAGAGAACTGACAACACTCCAAGCTCTATTAATAATACCATATAGGAATGCTTTGTATGCAGCTAGCAACACTCAGATCATATTTTCTATCTTTGAAGTTTTTTTTTATAATGAAAGCTGTATTTAATTGAATTGATTATTAGTGGTTTAATCAACTATAAACGAAAAAGCCAGAGTCTGAATGGTGTTTTTGTCTGGATCAGTACTGTAATAATCCCTTGCACATGGCAATAAATGTAAGTTTTAAATTGTCATTTTAAAGCTGTTTTGAAGTATCTCATTTGATGATTAATAAAGGTTTTATAAAATCATATCTTTATTGTAACCTAAATAAAATAAAATAACATTCATCAATTTTAGCATTAGACATAAAATACAGTGAGAGTTAAGTGCCTGATGTTCGATTCATGTCCAAATCGTTTACACTGAATTCAAATCTGTAAACTGAATTTGTTCATTGATTCCAACTGAATTGGACCGAACACTGCACTGAACCAGCATTTTTCTTTTGATGACAATACAATTTTAAATGAAATCATATTGTTGTAACAATGATGTTTGGGTAAAAAAAAAAACAGCCCAGCCATAAATTAATTTTCAGTTAGCGGTTACGCATTAGGCTAAGTAATCAAATTACTTTCAAGTAACTAGTAGAGTAACGTATTACTTTTAAATTTACAACAAATTTTTGAGTTACTTTTTCAAATAAATAACGCAGGTTTTCCCATTTACTGAATGACACCTCTCCTGTCCCCACGCTGAGTAAACATGATGGTTACTTTGTGGTAGCGATGTCCAATTCCGAATCATTCTTCAAAATGAATAAAGAGTCGAATCTTTTAAATCAATTCTTTAACGAAACCGAGTAAATTGATCTGAGCACTGACTCACTGAACCAACATAATGCTGGTAACGAAATTGTTTTTTTTAGCATTTCTTTTTATGATTAATAAAAGTTTAAAGAGACCATAACTATGTAATCATGCTATAAATCACATAAACGAATAAATAATGCATTAGAAGCTGGTAAAATACATAGACAGTGGTAAAATACAGCGATAAAGAGGTTGGTTGAGATGTCCGATTCTTCTGAGTCGAATCTTTAAAATGAAATATTTCACGAAACCAACACTGACTCACTGAACCAACATTTTAAAGCTCATAATTTTTTTTATTTATTTAGGTGATTAATGAGATCATAAATTTACGTATTCATGCTATAAAACACATAAACGACGTCGCTGGCACAGAAGTTAGGAAAAAGTAGTCTTTACCAAAATGGCGTTTTATTTACTCCGTTTTACGTAGCAGCCTTGAATTATGGGATATTGTTCATGCTGTACGAACTGTTACCAGCTCAGTTGACCTAGTAAATTGAACACGCAAGACTGGCAGATCGATTGAACTACAACAGATCCCAAATCAGAGGCGGACCGAATACTCGTGTACACCGGAAGTAGTAGGAAGCCCAGTGAGTTGTCTGTCTCCCATTGTCAACAGTATTTTGTATGCGGGAGTTTACTGATGAAAAGAGCCGTTTATCATTAGTTAAACAACTTTGAACCGATTCGATAATTTGAACCATTTTCACTGACAATTAGAGCACATATAAAACGAAAAAATGAACGTGACTCTGGCTGTCAAGCAGTACATTTCCAAAATGATAGAGAGCAGCGGACCCGGGATGAAGGTGCTGCTGATGGACAAGGAGACGGTAAGTGAATTTAAACAGCTTTAACAGTTCAAGCATAAAAGCGCAGATGTGCTTAAGCCACTGATAGTCTAGTAACGTTACTGTGTGCAGTGTAAATTGGTTTTGCTGTCTTGTTACCGGTCATGTATCTTAAAGGGATAGTTCATCCAAAAATGAAAGTTTTGTCATCATTTAATCACCTTCAAGTTGTTCCAAACCAGAATGTTGGTAACCAGACAGAAACTCATACAGGTTTGGAACAAAATGAGGGTGAGTAAATTTTGACAATACTTTCATTTTTGGGTGAACAATCCCTATAACCAAATGTAACTCTAATTTATTTTTAAAGTTGAGGGCTGTGTTGCAAAAGTAATCAGCAGTCTACATAGACAGTGGTCAAAACATTCCTTGCTTGTTCTCTTTACTCTTCCTCTGTTTCTTTACAGACCAGTATTGTGAGTGTGGTCTACACTCAGTCTGAGATCCTGCAGAAGGAGGTCTACCTTTTTGAGCGCATTGACTCACAAAACCGGGACAACATGAAGCACCTTAAAGCGATCTGCTTTCTCCGGCCAACCAAGGTTTTTATTATGGTGTCTTTTAGAATATATAGATTTAGTCTGTATTTCCAGGTTATTTCATACTTGAATGTCTCTGCTTTCAGGAGAACGTAGAGCACCTGATTCAAGAGCTTCGTCGGCCCAAGTATAGTGTCTATTTCATCTGTGAGTACCAGAGATATATCAGAGTGTTGCATCAATTTACCTCTTATGTATATAAGTTTGCAGAATATGTGCTTATAAGGGTGGTCAGAAGATGAACTTTCACTGACTTTAGGACTTATTCTGTGCAGATTTCAGTAACGTGATCAGTAAGAGTGAGATAAAAGTTTTGGCTGAGGCAGATGAACAGGAAGTAGTTGCAGAAGTGCAGGTGGGCCTTCTTCTTTTTAATTACGTCTTCTTCATAATTGATTCATAAATATGCTTTCCATATAGTGTCTACAAAATGTTATCAAACTTTCTAAAGAAATGTTGTTACTCTAGGAGTTCTATGGAGATTTCATTGCTGTGAACCCTCATCTTTTCTCCCTCAACCTTCAAGGAGTATCCAGGGTAAGATTTCTTTTTTAAATTTTTTTTTTTTTTTTTTAAATAGGGAACTAGTTTCAGCTAAGAAAAAGCGTAATAGGCCCCTTTAAATTATATATTTTTGTTATTTATTAGGGATTAAAGGAGTAGTTCACTTTAAAAAAAACTTTTGCTGATAATTTACTCACCCCCATGTCATCCAAGATGTCCATGTCTTTCTTTCTTCAGTCGAAAAGAAATTAAGGTTTTTGATGAAAACATTCCAGGATTTTTCTCCATATAATGCACTTTACTGGGCACCAAACGGTTCAAGGTCCAAAAGACAGTTTCAGTGCAAACTGCAAACTGTTCAAAGGGCTTTAAACGATTCCAGACGATGAATAAGGGTCTTATCAAGCGAAACGATCGCTCATTTCAAAAATAAATAACAAAGTTTAAGTTTTATAAGCTCAAATGCCCGCCTTGCTCTGTTCTGTGTAACTCTCCTGTTCGAACTTGTTCATCAAAATGAACAAATCTTTTTCCGAGTCAATTCGTTCATTTCGTTCGTTAAATGAATCAAATGACTCGAAAAAAGATTAGTTCATTTTGATGAACGAGTTCGAACAGGCATTATATGGAGAAAAATCCTGGAATGTTTTCATCAAAAACCTTAATTTCTTTTCGACTGAAAAAAGAAAGACATGGACATCTTGGATGACATGGGGGTGAGTAAATTATCAGCAAAAGTTTTTTTTAAAGTGAACTACTCCTTTAAGGTATGTTATGATACTAAACCAAAAACTGGTGCAGAACATGTAAATTAGTTTACAAGATCTAACTACTAGTGCTGCTTGAAGTCTTTTTATTTAATTTAAGTTAATCATTATCTCACAACTATCGTCGGCTCTCTTGTGAGCACGAATCCTTCTGTTTGAGGCTCTCTATGAATATTTCTGTGGGTGTTTATAGGGTCGCAGTTGGGAGCCGAGTGTGCTGCCTCGTGTCACTCAGGGTTTGACATCAGTGCTGCTGGCCCTGAAGAAATGCCCCATGATCCGCTACCAGCTCTCTTCTGACATGTCCAAAAGGCTGGCAGAGAGCGTCAAAGTAAGACCTTTTTTTTTTTTTTTTTTTTTTTTTTGACATTTTGTACTTGTAGTATGCATTATCTTTGACCTTTTGGTGAACAGGTCATTCTTTTATAATTTGATTGACTCTACAGATTTTCTTCATGGAGAAAAATGTATTGACTAATGATCTGTTTGTGTTTCCCACAGCAAATCATTACTAAGGAGTATGAACTGTTTGACTTCAGAAAAACAGAAGTACCTCCTCTTCTCCTGATTTTAGACAGAAGTGATGATGCCATTACTCCCCTTCTCAACCAGGCAAGAAACAATGTCTCTTAATAATGTTACAAGCAAATCTCATATTACAGAACAAGATCTGTATGCAAAATCCCAGTCCTGACCACCAGAGGGCGATAGAGCCCATGGGTTTATTCTGGATTATGATAGAAAACTGCTAAAACGGTGTCAGACATTAATTAGGATGCTTTTTATTGTTTTTCTTTACTCTGAGATTTACAGGAGCCAGTGCGTCCTGCTTGCATTTACTGAAAAAAAATGTTACTGCAGCAAAATAAATATTACATAATGATTTAGTGTGCTGATATTGCAGCAAATTCTACATGTGCATGCATTTGCTTTCTCTAGTGGACGTATCAGGCCATGGTTCATGAGCTTCTGGGCCTCAATAACAACCGCATAGACCTGTCGAGAGTGCCTGGAATCAGTAAGGACCTACGGGAGGTGGTCTTGTCTGCAGAAAATGATGAGTTTTATGCAAATGTGAGTAACATTGTACATAAACAGATTCCATTAAAGAATGTAATACATCATAAAATTATTTACCAAGTAGATTTTTGTTTCAAAGAAACGGATGTAGTGTACACAACAAGGTCTTGTAACACTTTTTTTGTTGTTGAAAAATTTAAAACAAAGAAACATAATGACATACAATGATTAAGACATATTAAACATTTCTAGCTTACTTGTTAAATAAGCACATTTTTTACTTGTCCATGTGTAACTCCTTAGAAACTGTAATTAAAGCAAAAGGAAGAGCAAATACTAATACATTTTTTCTTTTTTTTTCGTGATCTGAGACTTGAAATCCCCACACTATATGTTGTTTTCTCTCTCTTTCTCTTAATAAGAACTTGTACCTGAATTTTGGTGAGATTGGAACAAACATCAAGAACCTGATGGAGGATTTTCAGAAGAAAAAGCCCAAGGACCAACAGAAATTAGAGTCAATATCTGACATGAAGGTGAGCAGACCAATAATACTGTTCACTGTAGCACATCATCTTATATGAGGAGTGAACCATGACGACCCCTGATCCAGAACTTTTATTATATTGTGTTACAGTATTATGACCACTTTCTGGCCCCCTTTGTAGGCATTTGTGGACAACTACCCCCAGTTTAAGAAAATGTCGGGCACGGTCTCGAAGCACGTGACCGTGGTTGGGGAGCTGTCCCGGCTGGTCAGTGAAAGACAGCTGATGGAGGTGTCAGAGGTGGAGCAGGAGTTGGCCTGCCAGAGTGACCACTCCAATGCACAACAGGTCAGAGTTTGACACGCAGTCTAATCACAAAGTGCTGATCATTATTTTGCAATATCACTATTTTTATATTTTTTTTGATCAAATAAATGCAGCATAAGAGGCTTCTTTCAAATACATAAAAAAATCCTACCGACCCTAGCCTGGGAAAACCCAGACAACTTCCGGCAAATTTAGATTTGCTCTGAAAGTTAGTCTGGCAAAGAGCTCATTCAAGCCCATTTCCAATCCGTCGAAATCGAGTCACCAATCAGAAACGTTGGGGCGGGCTTTACACGATGACGACAGCGCTGGGATTTTGAAGCAGATTTTGTAGCCTACATTACAAAGATGGATGCCGCCGTCGAACATCACTCGTTCGAATCAGCTATCGCGTCTGTTTTAAGCGATTTGAACGTTTCCTTTTAGTTAAAAACCGAGCAAAGAACAACACTTTGAGATGTTTCTCCGCCGCTCTGCATACGTCATCTCCTTCATCGCTCTGATTGGGTTTAGGTCTATCCGCGACGTCCGTTGGTGACGCCCCTCTGGAAATGATTTGTCTATGATGCTTTGCCAGACCATAAACTCAGTTACAACTGAGAATGGTCTGGTTTTAACCAGGCTATACCGACCCCAAACTTTTGAACCAAGTGAATGTCAATCTACACCGGTTTTTGTGATCGCCTACAGTATGTTAAGTGCTGTAAATCTTGCACCGTTGCTAAAGATGACCTTGTTCCTCTTGCTGCAGAGCCTGAGGCGGCTCCTGCAGAACCCTCGGCTTTCTGAAATCGACGCTGTGCGGCTGGTGATGCTGTACGCGCTTCGCTACGAGAAACACAGCAGCAGTATTCTGCCCAGCCTTATGGAAGAGCTCAATCGCAAAGGGGTGTCAGAGAGACACCGCAAGGTGAGGGACTGTGTCCTGTACCACAGTGTATTGGTATTGATGGATGATCCAGATTAATTAAAAGAAAGCAACTTTCCTGTACTGCAGATGGTGCAGGCCATGGTGGAATATGGCGGAAAACGAGTCAGAGGAAGTGACCTCATTGCTCCTACAGATGCTGTGGCCATTACCAAGCAGTTTTTCAAAGGACTTAAGGTAGATCATGTTTATGGCCCTCTGGCTGCATTATTCTTTACATTTTCAAAGGTCACTTCAAAGCGTGTTAGTCTCTGTCAGTCTGCACTGTTTCTGAACTCCCTGAAACGCCTCCATTGGCATTTCAGAATGATCAATAAAATGGTGCAATAAAGCTGATCTAGTTGTCCAATCACAGCCTCTGTTGAGGCAAAGTCATGTGAGGTTTTTGTTGCACATCGAGGGATTTTAATCGGCAAATATGTTTTGTATCATAGTTAATGCACGGTTTCTTATTGGATAAAAAATGTCTCAATTGAGTGAATTTTTTTTTTTTTTTTAAATGTGTCCGCATTTTGGTGTTTCCATCCAGTGAATTATTTTTATTTTTATTTTTTTAAATGCAAAATTCCAAAATGCGCATAAAAATAGGTGTATGGAAACATACTCAATGTAAGATATGTGAAAAATAATGTTTATTATTTCATTCAAGCGTGAAAACCTTTTCTAGTAGACCCCAAAAACAAGATCAAGACTTTGTAAAAGGGCATTATAGGTCCCCTTTAACATTCTGTTAAAAACTTGTTTATGTGTTTGAATAGGGAGTTGAAAATGTGTACACACAGCATCAGCCGCTTCTACATGACACGCTGGATCAGCTGATCAAGGGTCGTTTGAAGGACAGCCAGTTCCCCTACCTCGGGCCAAGTTCTCTGAGAGACAGGTGATACAGATACATAAATAGACTGTCATTCACACTCATGCATTAATAATATACAGGCACACTTATAGACATTTAGTGTGAGGGTTTTGTTGTTGCTTTGAAGTGTGTCATTTCTGTGTCACTACGAAATGCTGTTTTCACACATCCTACCAGTTAAATCAATTTTAAATGCCCTGTTTCGTGTGCAATTCAGAATCTTTGTGCGTGGATTGAAAACATGGACTAGAGCTGCACGATTATTGATAAATTGACAATCGCGATTTTTTTTGTTTAAAATAGAGATCAAGATTCTTCCCCGATTCTGAATAAACAAATAACATGTAATTTACTAGAGGTTCTGACAAAATGTTAATTGCTGCAGTCTATTTAGATTGAAATGTTTTTTTAGAAAAAAAAGAAATTGCTTTGAGTAATTCAATGACTCACTCATAAAGACTTCACTTGTTTCATTACTCGATGCAACAGCTTTTTTTGAACAATCTCTTGATTTAATGATTTAAAGACATTTAAAGTACATTTTTACCAGTCACTTGATAACGATGTAATCGATTCAATCTTCATTTGAAGTGCCAAGTTACTATCAAAAGGTGATTAACTCTATTTTGATCTCTTTCGTAGACATCAGCGTTTTTATCTGAACTATAAATGTTTATCCTGTGATAATTTGAATTACTGTAACACATAAATAATCATACTGTGTGGTTGAAAAGAGTGTTTGTGAAGCTGTTTCATACTTGTATATGACAATTGCTCTCTCTGGATCAGCGGCAGCTCCAACGCAGATTTTGCTGTGATCATACATGTATGTCATCATTGGTTTACTAGACATAGCGAATGGTTGTCATTAAGGAATAAGATCATGTGGGTGTTTGAATCAAGATGTGCAGCTCTAACATGGACTGCAGTTAAATAAACACACTGTCTCCACCCTTTAGACCTCAAGACATTATAGTCTTCATAATTGGCGGGGCCACTTACGAGGAGGCGTTTACTGTTTACAACCTGAACCGCACAATGCCAGGGGTACGCATCATACTCGGGGGCACGGCCATTCACAACACTAAGAGGTCAGTGTTTTTAAATGCTCTCAATGATGTTGTCTCTTTTTACCATCTCATTTCTATCCAATAGCCCTCTGGCACACAAGCTCTAATGCCTTATTCAAATAGGATCCAGGTTATAGAGTGACATCAGCCCTAGAATGGCATTGTGTAAAGAACATACAATTGTTGTTCAGTATGACTTCATTGAATCATTCAGGTTCTCATTCTGACTATATAGACTATATGGATTTTTGTTTCTTGGCGGTCTAAGATGATTTGAGTTCTCCAAGATATTGCATTTCTTATTTGAGATATTAATTATATATGTACTATATACACTACCCCTCAAAAGTTTAGGGGGCCAATAAGATTTTTTATATTAAAAAAAGACTTTTATTCAGCAAGGATGCATTAAATTGATCATAAGTGACTGTAAAAACATTTATAATGTTACAAAAGATTACTATTTCAAATAAATGCTGTTCTTTTGAACTTTCTATTCTTCAAAGAATCCTGAAAAAATGTACACAACTGTTTTCAGCATTGATTATAATCAGAAATGTTTCTCAACATATTAGATTGATTTCTGAAGGATCATGTGACACCGAAGACTGGAGTAATGATGCTAATAATACAGCTTTGATCACAGGAATAAATTACATTTTAAAATATAACTGGTATTAGTAATACAATTGTATTTCAAATTGTAATAATAATTTACAATATTATTGTTTTTACTTATTTTTTTCTGTATTTACATATGTTGTCTGCCATGTAAACTCTAAATGAATCTTAATATTTTCAACCAAATAAATTTAGTTTAGCTAAACTTCATAAAGCTTACATAAAGTTTCCACCTAATTTAACCAGATCTGTGGCTTTTGTACACTATAGCCATTACAGTAGATACTAGTTTACTTACTTGACTCTATAAACTTCCTGAAACAAAATATGTCATTTAAATATATTTGCATGATCATTTTGCTTTCTGTTTGTTTGTAATCTCTCATTGTTTGACATATTTTGTTACCCACTGAGGATTGTTTAAACCCAACTCAACAAGTCAAATCCAGTGCTGACTGTACTCATGCATTATAACTCATAACTTATTAATATGTTCCCCTTCTCTGTTCCAGCTTCCTGGAGGAAGTGATGCTCGCAGTGGGTTCGGGTGGAGACCGGGCACAAGGACGAGGCCGTCAGATGAGCCGACGTTGAGCTGTTATCATCACTCATATTAATGTGTGCTGTCTGTCCGCTGAACCCTGAGCTGAGCACATTTGCCCTCTTTTTCTCTCTCCTAACATTCCTTTCAAATGTTTCAGTTTTAGGGAGGAAAATGGTCACACTGCACAATAAGGTTCAATTCTTTAACATTAATGAAACAACTATGAATGATAGTTGAATGAACCATAAATGAACAACAATTTGCACAGCTTAAATAAGATAATAATAAATATACTATTGTTCATTTTAAATTCATGCGTGTTCATAAGAACAAGTAACAACTTGAATTGTTAAAAATGTGTTAGTATATGTGCAGAAATATGTAGTAAACATTAGCCTAGATTAATAAATACTGTAAAATTCTTGTTCATTGTTAGTTCATGAGACTATGTGCTAACTAATGTAAATGAATTGAAATGTATTGTAAAGTGTTATCATATATATATATATAGTGTTGATAATGGTTTGTGAAACAACATCTTTTATGTTCGTGATAACTTTTATGATCACGTGTAAATAATGCCCCAAAAGTGATCACAATGACAGCATTTTTATTTATTGGATTGGTGATGCTACATTTGATCATTTTTGGAAAGAAGACTACTGTATGTTCAGTAAAAAAGTATAAAATTATATATCTTTTAAATATACTATAAACAAAACAATGAACAGGCTGCTCTGTGTATATAACTTGGGTGACAATAATGTGAAGTTTTGCATCAAAAGTGCCCAACAAAGCTGGAAAAATCATTCCAACAGTTGGGTTTAAAAAAAAAATTGTTATAATTTTTAACATCCCTCTCTAAATTAAATGGCATGGTGCAAATATCCAGACATTAATTAATAAATGTTTAATATGGATGTTTATTTGCAGCGTGTCGTCTGCTCATGAAAAAGAGCTCATCAGTTCAGCCTGTTACTATAATATTAATGTCAAAGGCTTTTAACAATTAATATGACAGTTCTTAGTGGACAAAGAGTTTAAATCGGCTAACTTTAAACCCTTGTATAAAACATCGACGTATTTGCATCTCAGCGTGTCTGTACATGCGTGTCTTTTTTTTTTTTGACTAAGCTTTGCCTTTGTACATACTGTAGCTTGATAAACTGGACAACATAAGTGACGATATTTTATGATGCTCTTCAATAAATGAAAAGTAAAAAAAGAAAAATTCAATTGATTCATCCAATAATTTCAGACCAACCCTTTTTTCCCCATGTTTTTATTACCAGTAAAGCCTCAGTCCACAGGCTGTATAACACATCCCAAATGATTTACTGATTAAATTGAATCAAGTAGATGGAGTTTAGCCCTGACCTTTTAGGTCATCACTTTAACCTCCAGAGCTTAAACCCCCATAGACAAGTTCAGGTTGCTCCACTATAACTCCCCTTCCTCCCTCACTAATCACATCCATTAATCCCCACTATCATCCAGACGACGGCAGACCTGAACCACTTAATGGCTTTACAGCACAGTTTGCTGTGTGTGGATGGGAAAAAAACCCATTAATGGTTGCTTATGATGAGTCAGTAAAGGGCCTGGTAGATTTGCTAGCCAGATTATGTCACACTTGATGTGTTGTCCCAAAATACACACACATACAGCGGAACAAAACTCAGGTCCATGATGTGTCCGTTTGTTATTTCCAGACTTGGATAAAAGAAATCTTTCCCAATGAACCCAAGGGAAACATTTCTTGCTTCGTTCTAGAATAATGTGGTCAATTTATGTGGACGGAAAAGAAGCTTAGAGCAGTGTAATTATAGTGATGTAGTTTGTCCTTCTGAATGTGTGTGTGTGTGTGTGTGTGCCTGTGTGGTTTTCTCAGAGCTTGTAGGAGGGAAAATCCTTGGAAATCCCCCTATATACTTGAGTTACATAATAAACATTTTCTATTTTAAAGTTTAAATTCATGCATTTTGTTTTATTGTGGCTGTTGCGATCCAGAAGGATCACTACAAATAAGGAGAGACGAATACCGCTACATTGCAAAATAACTGAGCTTTATTTTACATTCTTCCTCAAAAATGAGCTGAGAAACTGCCACACATAATTCTAATAAATGTATGTGCAATATTCAGATCCATGCTCTCATTTGTGTCTTTTTAAACTTTTGCCACATTTATTTTTAGATTTACTGAAACAAAGCTTTTACACAAGTGTATAGTCCAGAACGGCTAGTCACACTTTCATTCCAGACAATATGTGTCATAGTTGGGGGCCTTAAGCACATAAATAGGTCATTTCGCGCAAATTCATCTAAAAGCGCCAAATTTGGCACAGATGTAGCTCAGGTCATACCGAACTGATTTAGCTAGGGCGCCGGAGCCAGCGACCCTCGGGGCCAAGATGGCCGCCAAATCCAATATGGCCGCTGCCCGAAAAGGGTTCCGGCTATAACTTTTGAACCAAAAGAGTTACAAATACAAACTTGATATGTTTTTCAGTTTAATTGATCATGGGAAACACATAGGAATGTTTATATTTATGACCCAGTATATATGGACCCCTTGATCCTCCAATTCCAATATGGCCGCTGTTCAAAAAAGCAGTTTGGGCTTTAAAATGGGGCCTTACACCCCATTGTTAGCGCAAATTCATCTACAAGCACTAAATTTGGCACAGATGTAGCTGAGGGCATACTGAAATGATTTAGCCAGGGCGCCCAAGCCAATGGTCCCTGAGACCAAGATGGCGGCCAAATCCAATATGGCCGCTGCCCGAAAAGGGTTCCGGCTATAACTTTTGAACTACGAGTTACAAATACAAACTTGATATGTTTTTCAGCTTAATTGATCGTGGGAAACACATAGGAATGTTTATATTTATGACCCAGTATATATGGACCCCTTGATCCTCCAATTCCAATATGGCCGCTGTCCAAAAAAGCAGTATGGGCTTTTGTATGGGGCCTTACGCCCCATTGTTAGCATAAATTCATCTACAAGCACCAAATTTGGCACAGATGTAGCTGAGGGCATACTGAAATGATTTAGCCAGGGCGCCAAAGCCAATGGTCCCTGAGACCAAGATGGCGGCCAAATCCAATATGGCCTCCGCCTGAAAGGGATTCGGCTATAGCTTTTGAGCCAGATGATACACAAATACAAACTTGATGTCTATTTTACCTTTTTTTGACCATGGGAAGCCCATAGGAATACTTACATTTATGATTGGGTATAAATGTAAGTCAGGACCCCCAAATTCCCTAAGCTCAATACGGCCCCTGTCCGAAAAAGGGTTTTGGCTACAAATTTTTAACCAAATGCTCTACAAATGAGGATGTAGTGTCTATTTTATGTTTATTGGCCACAGGAAGTCAGTTTGCATATTTATATTTATGCTTGTGTAAGTCTGGAACCTGTATTCTTTTCAAGACTGTGGTTGAAAAGCCTTTTTTACCACAACTTTGAAGGTTATTCTCAATGTTGATTCATTTCCTTATAAAAGTGAAATGCTTTTCAGTGTACCAAAGGTGAATACATTTCAAAGTGTAATCATATACAAAAGAATAAGACACAATTATTATTGCAAGGCAATATTTATATTATGTCAAATTGGTAAAATAGTCAATTTACAGCACTTACAGTGCCCTCTACATGCTGTCTTGCAGCCACAGTGGAGGAGAATGGTGCAGGCTTTACTGGCGTCTCCGAGATTAGTCCAGTAAGGTTCCCAAGTCTTGTTCGTAGAGTCCCGATACCATCCCCATGCATTGAAATCTGGGATATCTTGCTGGACAGCGGTTGCCTGATTCCAGTAGAAGCTGGCCTGCAGCAGTGCTCTTTTGATATGCTGAATTCTGAGGCAGGTTCTCGAGAGACTTGGTACCATTTGAGAAAAGGTGATGTGTAGCTTCATCTGCTGTACATGATGACGACCATATACTCCAGTCTTTGGACATGGACGTCATTGTTGATCTGTTCAGGTTTCAAGGTGAGGGTAACCAGGGATTCTGTGAGATCTGGTGTTGCCTCCCAAGCTGCCCATGCACTCTTTTTCCCATGGCCCAGGAAGACTGAGGTTGTGTCACAGCCTGTTAAAGTGTGGAAGAGTGGTAAGGCCAGTGACTTCTGGGGACCAAGATCCTTGCTGATTTCATGAGCAGGAATGTCCCTATAGTTTTTTCCACCTGCAAAGCCGATCCAGAGCTCTGTGAGGCCGAGTGTGTGAGCGAATCAGCCACTTCTCTTTCCATAATATCTTGGGTTATCAACTTCAGCCTTCCTGGGCTATGGGAAAAAGAGTGCAAGGGCAGCTTGGGAGGCAACTGCACTGATTCAGCACATCAAAAGAGCACTGCTGCAGGCCAGCTTCTACTAGAATCAGGCAACCACTGTCCAGCAAGTTATCCCAGAGTTCAATGCATGGGGATGGCATCGGGACTCTACGAGCAAGACTTGGGAACCTTATACTGGACTAATCTCGGAGACGCCAGTAAAGCCTGCATCATTCTCCTCCACTGTGGCTGCAAGACAGCATGCAGATGGCACTGTAACTGCTGTAAAGCCAAAGTTTGTTGCACTTCTATATGAGGGTGCTTGTACAAACAATGATGGTGGAGACGATGAGAGACCCAGTGATTGTGAGTGATAATGATAATTCATGTGAGAGACCATGAGAATTCACTGTTTTTTATGTTATTGCTGTTTCTTTTGTTATGCTAAACAAACATTTAAGAGTTTTGGACAAATTGACTATTTTATTCGTTTAACAATTTGACATAATATAAATATTGCCTTGCAATAATAATTATGTCTTATTCTTTCTTATATGATTACACTTTGAAATGTATTTACCTGTGGTACACTGAAAAGCATTTCACTTTTATAAGGAAATGAATCAACATTGAGAATAACCTTCAAAGTTGTGGTAAAAAAAAAGGATTTTCAACCACAGTCTTGAAAAGAATTCAGGTTCCAGGATTACACAAGCATAAATATAAATATGCCAACTGACTTCCTGTGGTCAATAAACATAAAATAGACACCACATCCTCATTTTTAGCGAATTTGGTTCAAAATTTGTAGCCAAAACCCCTTTTCGGACAGCGAGTATATTGAATTTTGGGAATTTTGGGGGTCCTGATATACCCAATCATAAATGTAAGTATTCCTATAAGTTTCCCATGGTCAAAAAAGGTAAAATAGACATCAAGTTTGTATTTGTATCTCATCTGGCTCAAAAGCTATAGCCGAATCCCTTTCAGGCGGAGGCCATATTGGATTTGGTCGCCATCTTGGTCTCAGGGACCATTGACTTTGGCGCCCTGGCTAAATCATTTCAGTATGCCCTCAGCTACATCTGTGCCAAATTTGGTGCTTGTAGATTAATTTAGGCTAACAATGGGGCGTAAGGCCCCATACTAAAGCCCAAACTGCTTTTTTGGACAGCGGCCATATTGGAATTGGAGGATCAAGGGGTCCATATATACTGGGTCATAAATATAAACATTCCTATGTGTTTCCCATGATCAATTAAGCTGAAAAACATATCAAGTTTGTATTTGTAACTCATGTGGTTCAAAAGTTATAGCCGGAACCCTTTTCGGGCAGCGGCCATATTGGATTTGGCGGCCATCTTGGCCCTGAGGGTCGCTGGCTCCGGTGCCCTAGCTAAATCATTTTGGTATAACCTGAGCTACATCTGTGCCAAACTAGGCGCTTTTAGATGAATTTGCGCGAAAATGTGCTTAAGGCCCCCAACTATCAAGGTAGGTTTATTTTATATGTTAAGTTCTGTATAGACTAAAGATAACGGACATTTACACTCTTATTACACCACTAGAAGGTTTTCACATTGAATGGGGTAAGTTGTCACAGTGGAACCTGCCTTTATGATAAACATTTCAGCAGAATTTAAACAGTTAACAATCAATTATGAAGAAAAGTGCTTGAATCATCAGAAATGTGACAAGTTGCCCGACCTGCAATTTATGAAAAATATCTCTTGTTCTCTTGTTCCCCAATGAGATGTTGTTTTAGTTTGCAGGACAACATTCACAAATATTATTCTAAAATATGAATGAATCAAAATGTCAAAACTTTCCTGTGTGACAACTAGCCCTGGTCTCAGTTGATCAGTTCTGGACAGTGTTGGATAAGTTACTCTAAAAAAGTCAAATGAATTAATAGCTACTAATTACATTTTAACAGTGTAAATAGTTTACTGTACTAATTACTCTCTAAAAAATATTGAACTACTTATTAATTACTTTCTAAATCCCATATCATCAACCTTGACCAGTTGAACAATACAAGGACACACACGAAAGTACACTTTTGATTCTTTCAAATAAACAATATTGCATAAATTATTCTTAAACTGACTAAAGGTTAAATTAAAAACATACATTTTAACATTAAATGTTGATGTTAAATCCAATATAGAATAGTTCTATACAGTATTTCATGCAATTAGGCTACATCAGAAGTAACTGTAATTAAATTACAGAAAGTAATCCCTTATTTTACTTTTTCAAGGGGAAAGTAATTAAATTACACCCAACACAGTGGTTCTGGACGTATTACATTAAAACCATGACCATCTTGAATTTATTAGGTTACACACATACACCCTGCAATATTGATTATCATTTAAAATAACTATATATCCGCTGATTTGCAGTGTGTTTATGAGGGAAGCTCAATGTGCAGCGTGACATCATCATCCCGCCGACAGCTGTGCTCGTTGTTCAATAGATGGAGCAGTCGAGCACTATAAACGGGGAAATCCGTTTCGGTGAGAGCTGAGAAGCACAGCCGCAGCTCAGGGACTCACCCAAGCCAATGGAGAGCCTCTGCCCGCGGTTTGCAAATCGTCAATGTAGAGACTGGCAGTCCATCAGTCCTGAGAGAAACAGCTCGAGCCACACACAACACCTGCGCGCGCCACGTTCACCTCGGAGGACACAGAGAAACACCTCAGCTTCTCCCAGAGAGCGGGACAGATATACGGCGGAAAATACATTTTGCGAACAGCATGAAGAAAAGCCATTTGGTCAAAAGGGTGAGAATTTCATTCAGCGAGTCTCTGATGTGTAAAGGCTAATAGTAATGAATGCTCATAATTTAATAGTTTTATTGAACAGTGGCTGAATGTAATACAGCTCAAGTAGGCTATTTGTATTCTGCTTTTTTTAAATTATGTGTAGGCTAAATTAATTTAACAATGACTCCTTTGTTATGAAGCGCCGAATGTGAGAGCGTAGGCTATATCTTCGTTACGCTAATTCTTCATTATGCTGTTGTCTCTCGTATATCTTTTATTCTATTTAACAGAAATTTTAATTGACCACACCCTTAATTGACCAACTGACAGTAAAACATTTTTGGGATATATTTTTAAGGTGCAGTAGCCTATATGTCAGGCTGTAATAACGTTACTAATAGCCTAGTTATTTTGTTAGGCTACTGTTGTTTTTGTAACACTTTACAATAAGGTTTCATTATTAAAATTAGTTAACTACTTTAGTTAAGAAGCTTCTACAGCATTTATTAATCTTAGTTAATGATAATGTCAACATTTACTAATACCCATTTTACTAATTAAAGTGTTAACGTTATTTTTTTTTATTACGGGACTAAGTCGGCTAATCTAGCCTATCTTTTACAAATTACTTTTAGGCTACTATCCTTTTTATTCCAGTAGTGGCTATCTTATTTTATTAGAGATTATGGGTACAATTATGGACTCAATAGTTACTTAGCCTATTCCATATTTACTTGTACTTATTTATTAGATAGCTACCTGTTTATATGACAGTATATGCATTCCAGTTGTACTAGTAAAAAATTTCAGTAGTTACAAAAATAGTTTTAATTTTCAAATTGTTCTATTGTTGTTCAAGTAAAAAATGTTGATAACTTTCATTTGTTAAAAACATTAGTTAACACGAAATAATGAAAAATACTTCTACAGCATTTATTGATCTTAGGTGAAGTGTCAGTCACACCATTTACTACTTTTTTTAAATGCATTTACTAATGCATTAATTGAGACCTTATAGTAAAGTGTTACTAAAATGTTTATATGCACTAGTATCTAATAAATAGCTAACAAAACTTGTAACTACGAGTAAACTGTTTGACTACTTCAAAGAGACACATCAATACCAGTAAAAAAAATATAGTCACTATTGGACAACTTACTAATAGTTATAATATAACTACTAGTAACAGATATGGAATAAACGTAATGATGGCTTAGCATAGTGCGATGTGACGGAGATCTGTTTGAACTTGAATACTATTATGCAAGACGGGCGACACACTAACCGGGTCACTGTTGACACACTCAGGGTCTTCAGGATGCAAACCAGCCCTCATCCCAACCAGACAAAGTAGGCTGGATCCGCAGGTTCAGCGGCAAAGGAATATTCAGGGAAATATGGCGAAACCGCTTTGTGATGCTTAAAGGAGATCATCTGTTCATCTTTGAAAAAGAGGTGAGTTATAAAGACAATTACATACATTTTCTATTGTATTTTTTATACAATACATTTTCATAATGATTTCATGCTCAATCAAAGGCAGGGCATGTCAACTTCTCAAAGGTTTATCATGTCAACTCGTGTATGAAACCCATTCAGATTTTGACATAAACTACAGAGATTATATACTGAGTTATGAATACGAGTCATGAATGTTTGCCAAAAACGTCCTGCCCTTGATATAAAGGACATACTCTTGCAACATCAAAGTAATCCTTTTGACAAGCTATAATTTTCTAAAGGGTATTATATAAACACTGAAAATTGAAACCCAATTGTGTCCCCAAACGACATGCAGCAGTGAACCTGTTTAGTGGCTACAATCAATATTTTCCCGTGTCATGGATTTTGTGTCAGTACCACTACCAAACATCCCTGAAGTTGCTTTCAAATATTCAGTTGAATTCAATTTCCGGTTCGATGTAGGAGCAACCAATCTTTACAATTGAATCATTTGCTCACATGAAGCTTGTGTGGAGGCATGGTTGTAATTTTCATGGAAGTGTAGCAGCTTGTTTCTGTCATTGCCTGTAGGCTTTCATCACTTTCACAGAGCCGTCAGATTACAGCATATCACGGAAAACTGTACAGAGTGTCCTGGTTTTTCTCATTAAAGCAACAGTAAATGGTTTTAAGAGTTGAGAAAGCAGTTGCATTCACACATCTGCTGTCTTTTGGATGAGCGACATTGTTATTTACATTAAAAGATTCAAAGCCCAGCTGCACATCTCTTGCTCCCTGGAGATGTTCAGGACTCTGAATCCAGTGTCACGCCATCATGAAAACAAACCACATACAGCATCTAAATGAAGTATCGCAGCAATTTGCATCCATGTGTTTTGATCTGTCAGTGGCACAAATAAGAACCAGATATGCTTTTCAAGTTCACCATGAACAGAAATATTAATGGGACTCCTCTTAAGATAGTCTTTACTGTTGGGTGACCGTTTTTTAAAGATTGAAATCAATATCAGATTTAAATGAAAGTCTTTTCCATTCTGTCTGTTTGCTAGTTTCCGTTTGGTTGTTGGTAAGTAATCCAATATTGACTAGTTGTCTATCTTTTACAAATTATGATTAGGCTACTATGCATTTTTTTTTTTAAGTCTATGGTTCAAAAAGACATTGATTACATGTAGAGACCAAGTACTCACACAAAATGCAGGTGGTGTTGCAGTGAAGTAGAATGAGTGTGGATGTTTCCTATTTATGTGGTGAATTATTCAAACATGAACTTTACATGGACAGACCACCAAAACTGAGCTTGCTGACACTGATGCAGCTGGCACCTTGAGTTAAGTGTTATGATCTTGTAAAAAAATATATAGAAACTTCAATTCAAAGGAACATAAAAAAAATTCTAATAATATATTTTAATGTATTTTCATATATTACTAATTCGTTTTATAAATGATTACTTTTATTTTAAAGAGGAGCATTTTCAACTCTCTTTAGAGTGTAATGTTGCTGTTTGAACGTGAAAAAGGTCTGCAAAGTTACAAAGCGCAAAGTCACTCCAAAGGAGTTATGGTGCGTTCAAGTCCTCCAGGGAAATTTGAATTTAAGTCGTGTTTACAATGTCAGGTGCATTCAAGTCACTTTGGTCGGAGCTTAAAGACATCGGGGCTTAAAGAAAATCCCAGGCTTCCCACTCATATTTACGATGTGGTGGTGTTCATGTGCACACTGATAAAGAGAATAATGGTGCGTTCAAGTCATGTCGAAAATATCATATTTATGAGTTGAACGCACCATTATTCTCTTTATCAGTGTCACTGCTTCTGAACTTCCTGAAACGCCTCCATTGTAGTCTTGAGTTTTCTTCCGGGGAACAAACACGTCACAATATTCCTCATTTAAATAATTCCCGCCCAAGGCATATGCAGAATAAAGGGGCGGGGCCTGGTTGAGTTAGTTAGTAGTGTGTTGAAACTGGCGGTTATGGTAAGGGGCGGGACATTTCCTAAACACATCCGAAGCTGTTGACCAATCACAGCACACTGATCCAGTTGATCAATCAAGCACATTGTGCTTTTCAGAAGGAGGGGCTTCATAGAGACTTGAACGCACTTGAACGCCACCACAATGTCGTAAATACCAATGGGGAGCTCGGGATTTTCTTTAAGCCCCGATCTGTACGAGTTGGGGGCGTGTCAGTGAGAAACATGGCGGAATCAATGGATGCAACGTCTGTAGTTGATATATCACAATACTTACAGTTATTTAGCAGTGACATTGTAAGGCTTTTTCATTTATAACAAAGTAAGCTCTCTGCACAAAATATGATATCATTGTCATATAACAATTATATATAATAATTTTATAATGATACAGTTTACATTGGCTTCATAAGTTAATTAAAAACATATAAATAAAAACACACCTGATGCGCATTCTTTGTTCTTCATTTTCTATAAGCAGAGTTAACAAACCTTGCTGTATTTTCGTGTAATTCATTAAAAGAAGGTACACCGCCATCTTGCTCTGACAAAACTGACTTGAACGCACCTCACGTTGTAAACACGACTTCCCTATACGTACAAACCTCCCAGGAGGACTTGAACGCACCATTACTGGCAGACTGGGAAGAGAGGAGCTGAAAAAATGGAGAAAATGGGAAAAAAAGGTTTTTTGAACATTGAAGCATGAAAACCTAGTAGAGCCCAAAAACAAAATCAAGACTTTGTCAAAGGGCATAAAAGGTCAAGTCAAGTCAAGTCAAATATATTTATATAGCGCTTTTCACAATACAGATTGTATCAAAGCTGCTTCACAGTATCAATCAAAACAACTTAACAGTGTTTGTTTATTACTGGAAAAGACATCCAAGTTTGGTAGAGCTGATCAGTGGTATGATGGGTCATTTAATTTGTTAATATACAGTGAAGTCTATGCTCATAGTAATTGAATCTCCAATCTTTCATTCTCCACTGTCAACACTGCTTGAATTCCCAAAATATTTTAGTTTGGCATACATGACATCATATTTTCACAAGATTCCCCAGGTATTCAGAGAAATTAATGTTGTCAAATAAAGCCGCAAGTCAAATTACCATTCTGTATACTCATCCTCTAGCCCTGTGAATCGTCCCACCAGTCAGGCAAGCAAAGTTATTTTTATAGTATTAGAATACAATGTCAGCAGGTTGCATCAGTCTGAGTGTGTGCTACAGGTCTGTCCTCTGGTGATCGCTGCATGCCTTCAGGCTCTGTGTATTGTTTGCTGTGGCCGTCTTAGTACTGATAGCGTTATGCACCGCTGCACTTGACTTTGCTGCAATGCTCAAGGTAGCCCTGTTCTTGCCAGAATGATGTCACTTGACATATCTATTCAATTGATCTCACTCATGTAGCGTAGTGAGACACTTCACGCAACTCTACTCATAAAGGCTATGATCCTTTCTGATTCCCATGTGAATTATTTGAAGTTTATACATGTAGACAGTTGAGCATCTATAACAGGGTTCAAAGTGCTTCTTTTCAAGCTCCCTCTATACATCTGGTGTAAATAATTGATGCTCTACTCTAGGATTCACTGTATTCAGGCGGATCATTCATGGTTGAGAGTTTATTCGTCATGTGTGCAAATGGATCATATGTAAACATGTACTGAGGATTTACTCATAAACAGTGTGGATTCACAGATTCACAGTGTCTGATAATCATCCGTCAGTCCAATCATCTGTGTGAATTATGATGTTTAACTTTGCATAACATCCATTTGGCAGGACAAGAGGCTGTGAGGTTTACTTTAGTTTATTTCAATTATGTCTATTTCAGGAAAATTGGTTGACCTCTAAATAATGCCGTCAACCAGATTACAGAACACACTGAACACGTGATTCAAGGGGATTCTGCAAATCTATTTAATTCCAGCTTGTTCGTAGAAGTAAAACTAGGCATGTAATAGGAGTATTAACTTCATGTTCACAGTCCTTACATCTTGAGACTGATTTTAAGGTTGTATGGCTCCAAGCAAAGTGAAGCAGCCAGGGCCATCTTTATAAACTACCAATTCACAATGCCTTGAAAACCAGCTCTGTTCTGAAATCCTTGGGATATGTAATATTCATAGGAGTACTCTTTACGAAAGGCTGCGTTTTTATTCCTTACATCTTGTTGTGGATGATGGAGTTACCTTCGTGAGAGAGAAGACGGTGGGTAAGTGGGTTATTTTGGGAGGTGGTTAATCCAGAGATCAGGATGGCCCCCTGCCGGGAACGTGCTGTGCCAACAGTGGGAGTGAAATATTGATGTGGTGAAGAGAGGCCAGGCTCTTTTCCTCCAGGGGTCTTTTGCCCCATATTAGCATCACTAGTACGCCCTTTCTCAGAGTGTGCGCTCACTCACATTTAAATGTGTGACCCCAGGAGGCCATCTGGAGGCATACGGTTACACAGATTACCTTTAGCCATATGTGGCATGGGGGGTTTACCTAAATGCTGCTCTTTATCGTTAAAATTGTTGTTTTGTGAACTCTCTTAGATAAACGTGACCTAACTCAAAGGCTGGTTTGCTTTTGCTTGCTGTTTGGTCTGTGATCGCGGATCACTTTGATCTTTGTACTTTAATCTCAAGCTCACTGACATCAGATTCCTTTGTTGCGTATTTCCGTTGCTATGGTGAATGCATGGTAATCGTGCAGAGCTCTGACCCAAAATGTCTACGTTTCTCTTTTTTGGTATGTGAGACATTACATGCATGCTAATATCTCTAGCGTTGAGTTTTTGTGTTCGTCTCAGCAGAAACCCTTGTGACCCTCATTGTGGCTCTCTAGGATTTAGTGTCCCACTGTGGGTTTTTTTCCCCCCTCAGGTTCAGTGAAATTTACCTCTTTTCCACCACAGTCTGCTATAATGATGATTGACCTGTCTTAAAATGAGGCGTTTACTTTTCACAGATGGGTCACTGGCTGAATGATTAGGGGAGGGGCTGTACTAACTGAAAACCGTTTGGAACATCTGTCTTGATTTCTGATGGAAAAGAACAGTTTGTTTCCTTTTATGCTATTTGGTTAGCCTGGGAAAACCCAGACAACGTCCGGCAAAGATTTGCTCTGAAAGTTAGTCTGGCAAAGAGCTCATTCAAGCCCATTTCCAATCTGTCGAAATCGAGGCACCAATCAGAAACGTTGGGGCGGGCTTTACACGATGACGACAGCGCTGGGATTTTGAAGCAGATTTTGTAGCCTACATTACAAAGATGGATGCCGCCGTCGAACATCACTCGTTCGAATCAGCTATCGCGTCTGTTTTAAGCGATTTGAACGTTTCCTTTTTGTTAAAGACCGAGCAAAGAACAACACTCAGAGATGTTTCTCCGCCGCTCTGCATACATCATCTCCTTCATCGCTCTGATTGGGTTTAGGTCTATCCGCGACGTCCGTTGGTGACGCCCCTCTGGAAATGATTTGTCTATGACGCGTTGCCAGACCATAACTCAGTTACAACTGAGAATGGTCTGGTTTTAACCAGGCTACTATTTGGTATTAATTAAGAATATGTTCTGAACCTGGCTTGGCTATATGTGTGAGGTTTGCCCTGTTCATTGTGAAATGTGAAGCATTACCAAAAAAGAATCATAATTCACATTGTGAGATATAGTCACATTTGCAATGGCAATTTTGAGGTACAGTGCACTGTGAGATATCCACTAGCTAGCGTTCAGAGCTTGTAAGTATAAAGTCACATTATAAAATGTCAAACCACAATTATATGACATAAATGAGCAGTTATAAGCAGCAGTGGTCAGATATAGGCCTAGTTGCAAATATAGTTACAAATAAATGAGCAATACGAGGAATAAAGTCACAAGTTACACAAGTACCATTTTTTACTTTGAGGTGTAAACTGGCTTCCATAGAGTATTAAGTTACATTTAATACCTTGTGTTGTTCATATATCCTTATATATCCTGTAACTATTTGTAAATTAAAAGTTGGTGATTTTGTTTAGTGTCAGATTCTATGGACTGATGTCACAGCAGTGTTCTGTTGAACATTAATTATTGCTGTCCTTCGAGCTAAAATCAATATGTCCCATCATGAATCACTGTTGTCGGCACAGTTGGCCTGGGAAAGCGCTGCTGATATTTTCAATTAATGGTAGCAATTGTTACTAGCTTCAGGCCTGTGTGCTGATGCTGCTGCTCTTGTGTTCAGATGAAGAATAATGGGAAGACTCATGAAGTGTTTGACCTGGCACTGTATGAGCGCTCAGAGGAACTGCGAAAAGTCAAGAGCCACAGCAAGAAGAACCACAGTAAATTTACCCTGCTACGCCGCCAACACCCTGGAAACAAGGTAAGAACTAAACATTATGACATTATGGATAAAAAATAAAGGGTTCAATTCATATTGTGCCTGTTTGACTACAAGGTGGTTTGATTTTAATCAGTTTTTTAGGGTGTGTTCACACTTGGCGGGTTTGGTTCGATTAAAACAAACTGAACTCTGGTGTGATTGCCCTGTTAGTCCGGTTCATTTTAAGTAAGTGTGAACGCTGCCATCTGAACTCTTGTGACACACATTTTCAGGGTCTCTGCTTCCAAACAAACTCTGGTGCTGTTAAACTGAAATACGAATGCAACACAGACCAAAGTCAAGAGTCAAGGGAGTCAAGAGTCAAAAGGCATTTATTTGTCATTTGCGCAATTAACACTGGGGAAAAGAGGGCATTGAAATGCTTGTGACGAGGCTCAGACATACAGTGACATTAATAGGACCATACATAAATAATCAAATTGGTAACCAGACCAAAGACATCTAAATAAACCAAAAACATGAATTTCACAAGATGCAACCCTAAAAAGCACAGAATGCTCAAACATACCTGGTTGAATGAAGCATTGCAAACCTTTGGATTTGGCTATACGAAATTGATTCCTTAATAAAAAGATCAAAGACAATGTAGTTTTTTTTTCAAGGACCCTTAAAATACCATAATTATTCATTTTAATAATTGTAATTGTTGATATTTTAATAAGTGCTTTTTTCCCATTAGAGCCCCAATCTTGTATTTCTGGCTGTGAGTCCAGAGGAGAAGGAATCTTGGATCAATGTTTTAAATACAGGTATTACCAGAGCTAAGAATCGTGTGCTGGATGAGGTGAGCACAGACATTTCATATACTCTTTATTTATTCCTTGTTTTCCTTTCCACTCCCACACTCTTTCATTGCATTAGTCAGTCTCTTTCTGTACCGGTATATATTTCTCTTTTAGATTCTAGTGCTAACCCTCTTCTATTTCACTTTTAGATCTTTCTATCTTCTTGTCATTATTTGTTTTTTTGCACTTTTAGGATACTGGAAATTCTTTGTGCAATTATTTCACAAAAGCACTCTGAAAAACAATGAATATAAAAAATATAGAACTTTTTGGTTGACATACCTATGGAAAACATTTCGGCTAAGAACTGTTAAGCCAGTCAACATCATGCTTTATTACTATGGCCACAATAATTCAAATGGGGGTTTAAAGAGGACCTATTATGGTCTGCAAAGTTACAAAACACAAAGTCACTCAAACGCAGTTATTCTCTATATCAGTGTCACTGTTTCTGAACTCCCTGAAACGCCTCCAGTGTAGTCTTGAGTTTTCTTCCGTGAACAAACACGTCACAATATTCCTCATTTAAATAATTCCTGCCCAAGGCATACTCTAAATAAAGGGACGAGGCCTGTTGAGTTAGTAGTGTGTTGAAACTGGCGGTTATGGTAAGGGGCGGGGCATTTCCCAAACACGCTCTTAGCGGTTGACCAATCACAACACATTAATTCAGCCGACCAATCAGAGCACAGTGTGCTTTTTAGAAGGAGGGGCTTCATAGAGACAGGAACTAAACAGAGCGTTACTGACAGACTGGGAAGAGAGGAGCTGCAACAGTGGAGAATATGGGAAAAATAACAAGTTTTTTTCTGAACATTGAAGCAGAAAAAGCTATTCTAGTAGAGCCCCCCCCCCCCCCCCCCCCCCCCCCAAAAAAAAAAAAATCAAGACTTTGTAAAAGTACATAATAGGTCCTCTTTAAGATTTAAAAAAGTGAACATTAAAACCCTTTTTTGATACAATTGCATATGGGTTGCAAAAGATTTCACACAGTCTTGTTTCCACTTGTAAAATCACTGCATTTCATATACCAGAAACCCACGTGTGTGAATTTCACATCATCTGTATAAGGCACCTTCCGTTCTATTTATAAATCTGCAAATTCATTTTCACACTAACAACTACTGGATTAAACTGAGATGAATGCAAGACTAATTAACGCTTCATGTCATATAGGCCTTTTGTGTTGTGTAAATTAGAACCCATATAAGGTTGCTGAAAATGACTGTGTTAATATGGTAAAAATGAGCTCAGCTCCAGTTTTGATTCATTTCCCTTTGCAGGTGACGATTGAGGAGGAGAGTCTTCTGGCTCATCCTACACGCGATCGGGCCAAGATCCCACTCGGGCGGCGTTTGCCTACGCGGGGTCATCTCATGGCTGTGGTGGGTGGTGTTCTTGCTTTGACTTTGATTCCAAAGACTGTTGTTGTTTGTCTGCTCATATGGACTTCATGGCACTAGGTGGTTGTTTGGGGCAATAATGATGAAACTTATATGCAGCTATTTATAACCTGACTGCATTACGGAGAGGTAGTCCAGAAAACTTTGCTGTTTAAAAGGTGCACTCAGTATTTTTTTCTTCAATTAAAAAGTAAAAAGTTTTACACATAAATAGTAGATTAAGATGGGGGTAAGATGTCCCCCTGGAGTAAAATGTCCACCCCACCTTTTATTTTCCCCTAACTAAATCTCGTTTCAACATAACTATTGAATGGTTATGCTTTTAGTAATTTTCACTTTTTATTTGAGTTTCAACAATTGTGGGAATTACTGAGTCTTAACAGTTTTTAGGTTATCATTGGACCGTGATCTTTGAATTTATTTCATTTTTGAGTTAGGGTTAGTAGATTTATCTGTTATTTGCAACCAAAATTTTGGGGTCAGTAAGATTCTTTTAAAAAGAGATTTGTTTTTCCAGCAAGAATGCATTAAACTGATCAAAACTTACAGTACAACTTTAAAATTGTCACAAAGAATTCTATTTATATTATATAAATGCTGTCTCTTTCTATTCATCAAAGAATCCTAAAAAAAATTATTATCAATTTCCATAAAAATTTTAAGCAGCACAACTGTTTTTAACATTGATAATAATTAGAAATGTTTCTTGAGCAGCAAATCAGCATATTAGAATGATTTATGAAGGATCATGTGACACTGAAGACTGAAGTAATGATGCGGAAAATTCAGCTTTGCATCACTGGAATAAATTACATTAAAAGGTATTAAAATAGAAAAACATTTACACTATTTTTTTATGAGCATAAGAGATTTCTTTCAGTCATTAAAAGTCATACCGATCCAAAACTTTACAAAGGTAGTGTATATTTAATTACATTTGGTTCAACCTTTTTAAATAAATAATTTAAATGATAGATCGATTTTACATATTACGATCACATGACCGCCCGAATACTGCTCACTTAACATTGGTGCATTTCTTTGAGGGTATTGGTAACCGAAAACTAATTCATGATGGTGCATTCATGCTGCTAGGTGTCAAGATACTGGCATATCCACCAGAAAAACATAAAGTGGTATTAAATGTTGTCTTGTTGTAGGCCTCTGCCTCCTCTGATGGAATGCTGATGCTGGACTTGGTGAATGAAGAAGATGCTGGTATGCTTGATGACGATCAGGATGAGTGGTTGAAGGACCATCGGGTCAGCCTGGATAAACTGGCTCCTGGCCGTCGACGCGCTGGCACCGATGCGTCCAGGCCGCCGTCCTCCTCTACAGAGGCCAAGGTGAAAACCAGCAGCTTGCCACGCAAGACCGAGTTCTCCTTGAACAATGAAAACCAGTCTCACTCACCTCAGAGTGAGAAGCTATCTCAGGGCCGTAACCGATGTGCTTCCATGGATGACGCTCTGTCCCGAGGAGAACGAAAACCAAATAGGAAGAATGGGCCCCAGGCGACGCAGGCCCAGAGTCCCACGGGACACCTACAGGATCTGATCACCCAGCGCCTGCAAAGGACTCAAGAGTTGCTCGCTGAGATTCAGGAACAGGAACCCCATCGGGACAGAATGGGATCTTACCCCTACCTGAGAGGCATCGACTCCCCTCGTCTCCGGCATCTCAAGGGCTCTGACTCGCCACACTCCAAGGGCTCAAGCTCACATAGTTCACCTCACAGCAAAGGCACAAACTCCCCCTCAGTGAGGGTGAAAGATTCGCCTGGTTCCAAAGGGAAAGAATCGCCACATGTGAAATCAAAAGACTCGCCCCGTTTCAAGTCCAAATCCCCTCATTCCAAAAACGCACTTCGCTCGAAGAGCTGCGATTTACCTGATTCAAAAGAATCAAGTTCACCCCAAATGAAATGCATCGATCTGACTCACATCAAAGGTTCAGACTCGCCTCTGTCCACTGGATCAAATTCGCCCCATATGAAGTCAACAGACCCTGCTTTTTTTCGAATCTCTTACTCGCCCCATTTCAAAAGCATTAGGGGTACTGATTCTCCTCTCAATGAGGCTTTGGACTGGGATAGCAGAAGGGCGGCAGCTGAACGACTCTTACAAGAGGCCATTTCTTCCTGGCGAGAAGCTAGAGAGGTTTTGGCTGAGGTAAAGGAGCTGCAAGCCAGACAGCAGCGGGCAGAGCACAGTAAAACTAGATCACCCACAACACCCTCACAGAACCGCAAAAAGAAAAGCCCCTGACCAAATCTTTAGTCAGTCAAAATGACATGTGAGCCTTTACAATGAATGCAAGGAAGGAGAACAATAGGTGGAACTTTCAGTGTTCTGTTTTATCTCACAGTCTATTGTTTATATATTAACTGTTGTTCCTCTGACACCTCAACCCTTTGTCTTTGCACTTTGAACTTCTGTATTTTTACTTGTGACTCCACTTTCAAGGCTGTAGTACTTCTGTTGGCATTGATAATGTGTATGACTAATGATTAAAGTGGTTTATGATTCACTCACTTTTTCCAAAAACAGCTCAGGTAAAAAAACTGTTTTGAGGTGAACATGATGGTAATGTTGAGCTTTGTGTGGAAAAGAGTTAGGGTAAAAGTTAACAGTGGTCGTTTTTTTGGCAAGTCTCTCCTGCTCCCCAATATTAAGTGGGTCAATCATAATTTCCATTTCAAAAGATATTTGTAGAATATCTACAAATATACCCCCCCCCCCCCCCCACACACACACACACACAAACAAACAAAAGTACTAAAGATAAAATGATTTTTTCTTGCTACACCTTAGTTTTTTATTTGACAGTTTGAGTATCTAACAACTAGTGCAGTCATTGTTGTTGATAGGATAAGGATAGTTAACAAACTTTCGATTCGATAATTTACTTGTTTCGAATCCCATTCTTTCTTTCCCCCTTTCACATATTCTTAGATATAGAAATAAATAATATTTGTAAAATGAACAGGGCAGTATTTCAGAACAAGTTAAAAGTCACTTCGTCTTTTTGAACTATTTGTTGAGAGAATTGACTCATACGAGTCATTCGTTTTCGATTCGGCTCATAAAGGCCCGTTAACACCAAGGACGAACTACAAAGAAAACGATAAAGATATAGTTCTAAAAATCATCCTTAATAAAGAATAGCACAGTTCACACACCACCGCTGTAACGATAACGGCACAGAGAAAGAATCGTCTTCACAACGATTAGCTATCCAGCTGATGAACGATAAAAACATCGACAGCCAATCAGAATCCATCCTGCTGTAACGACTCGAGCTCGAGCACACGCGTTGAATAAACAAACAACTAACGGTAACTTATATCGTCCGTCCGCTGTCGTCGACGCTTATATAATTATCTTTGTAGATATATTAATAGCTATCATTCTTGGTGTGAACGGCTCATTTGTTTGTGAATCGGTCCAGTCGCGTTACTCGTGCAGTCCGTGAGAAGGAGAACTCTATAGAAATGTTTCCCGCCTCTGTTTAACGGTCACATCTCAGGTAAAATACTATATATATATATATAATTTTAGTCTTGCAAATCATTGAACTGCATTTTTTGTAATGAACACAAGGAATTGGAGTGATACAAAACATCAGTAGCCTAACGTTACTGTTTGAACACAGCTTGTTCAGTCAAATTTGTGTTAACTAAATTTGAACGGAACTAAATGTTTCCTATGTTTTGATTTAACAATGATAATATGACAGAATTATATTATTAATTGTACAGAATTAGCACACAAAAAACCCACTATTTCCATTTTTACGATCACACAATGTATCCACATGCCTCAGAAACATACTCTGTTCAGAAAATCTACCAGTTACTGCTCTTACACTTGAATTGCATCACTCTGAGATTAATTTTTCATAAAGCTGGTTGACCCCCTCATTTTAGAGGCCTGGTGTTGTTTTGAATAATTACTGTACTGAATTTAATGAAAGACTACCTATGAATGGGATACATTGTGATTTGAAGAAGGTAGGCTACTTATTAAAATCTTTTGGCTTTCTGGAAGAATAGCAACAATTATGTGGTCATAATTACAGGCCTGATCTGATCATCAGTTACTGATATGAGCTCAGTCAACAAATGCCCCTGTACTCAGTCAGTGCACTGTTTTGTGCCCTACAACAATTGCATACAGTTTATTATTGAAGCAGAAATTGCTCTACATGATTACAGTTTTTTATTAGGAAACACAAGTACCCATTAGATTATGACTGTTCTAAAAGCCCAGAGTTTTAGCCATATTAGATGACAAAATGAGCATAAATCATAGACCACTAAATTAATTATGACTGTAATCTAGGCCACAGCTATCCAAAGCAGGCTTGAGTTCAGCATACTAGGCTTAACATGCAAAGCTTATTCACATTACTAAACGTACGGCTAATTAAATTTGGTTTAAGGCCAAGTGAGGTCTAGCAGAAATCGTAGCGTACAGCTTTTAACCTCATTGCTCTACCACCCGGCCATATCACATATTCTTTGACATTAAAGACTTTTACTGATCCAGTAAAACATGATTAATATAACAGGGGCAGATGCTTATTCTGATCTCGTGACAAAATTCAAATTCAAACTTAAAATAACTGTTTTCTATTTTAATATATTTTAAAACAAATAATTTATTCCTGTGATGGTAAAGCTGAATTTTCAGCAAACATTAGTGTCACATAATCCTTCTGAAATATGCTGATAATTAATAAGGATACTAATAATTATATTGTATACAGCACATGCATGCAGCACATACTTTACAGTAGGGTGGCACATCTGTTCAGTGATGCATCTAATGCATTCAGATGCATCCAGTCTAAGTAACTGCCTGTATACACTCGGTTCATGCTAGTATTAGTGTTAGCATTCCTAGTGTACTCATGTGAAACATTACTGACACACTTTAGGGTATGATACAAAACTGAGTCATCCTCTTGGCCCACTTCCAATCCATGATGAATCCAGTTCTTTGTGTGGAGCTTCAAAATCGTATCATCAAGATCTGTGGCATGGTGAATGCAAAAATGTTGTTATTATATAGGAAAGCTAATGTTTAAAATAACCCCCAGGTCTACTCGTTGCAAATATTTCTAAGAGACGTTGTTTTCTTACCTTCATATTGCAATATATTTATTTTGCACACTTCTGTGTTTTTATGCACAATATGAATTGTATCATATAAAGCAATGCAAATGTTTGCCTCACAACAATTAACTGGCAAATCTAATTGAGGATAACTACTTAAGAAACACATTTTCTAATGCGTGTGCTGAACTGATTCTGCTGCATGACTAGACTAAATTATTTATACCCCACTCCCCTCTGTTTCTCACTTCTCACCATCCTTAATAAGCTCTAGGGCCTGTGAGGATCAGCACTTCATTTCCTCACACACACAAAAAAAAGCATCCGACATGACTAGTAGGACGGGTATACATTTGAAGGACCGCTTTGCTTTCACATTTATTTTTTATTGGGCTAATGCTAACATTCTCACAGAAGCGTCCTGAAGGGTTATTCTGTGTGCAGGGCTTGAACTCGAGCGGATGATCGGCAACACCTGATTCACACTGAGGCACCCGATTCATCTGGACCAATGAGAGCGAAGGGCTGTTGCTGTGACTCATTAGCCTTGCAGCATCTGGTTTTTGCTGTGCTTCTACTGATTCAAATAGATTAATAGAGACATCCGAGAGAAGTCATTCTTGGGTTTGAAGCCTGAAGCTTAAAATTGTATTTCTGCATTGGAGAAAGGCTTCGAAAGAATGGCTGTTAAATGTGACCTATATCCACAAATAGATCAGACACAACACATCACGGCGTGGGATTTATATGGTGTGTATGTACTGTATTTGTGCAGTTGTTTAATAGGTATGATGTTTGCTCAGTTAATCACGTTAATTAATCAGTTAATGTTTGTTATAATCAATATAACAGTGCACTAAAGGACAAACCCAAATGTAGGAGGCTACATTGTCATTCTCAAAATAATGTTTTATCAGTGGCAGTGCTGGGTATCCACTAGCGTTAATCAAACGTCTGTTTCAGTCACTGATTTCTGCCCTCAGAAACCTAAAATAGCTGTTTCGACCGAAGATTTTCGGTAGCCGAAATTTCGGTGCTTTCCTAGTAACCACCTTATTTTGCAAAGTGTAAGTTATTTACTTCTGATTCATTAGCTGCTACAGATGACTAACTTGAAGAACAGTGCAGTAAATGGAAAAACGGTTTGCGCTCCAACCAGTGTGTTTTTGATCACAACAATGCTTAAACATAATATGATATATGAAATACCAGTTTACAATATCAAGCAGCATAACACACTGGTTTGTACAGCTAAAAATAACTGATGACACTGGAAGCAAGTTACAAATTGTTGAGCCACTTTTATGTTAAAAATAAGATGGATACTTCGTTACTAACCTAACCCTAACCCTAAGCTAAGCTTTAATTTGATGTCGTTAAACTACAATCATTAAGTGGCAGTATGTTTTATAAACAAAAAATATTTTACATTGTATTATAGTTATATTTTTTTTTAGCAAAAACAAGGTTACACTTTATTTTGATAGTCCACTTTAGAGTAGACCTTATAAGTAACTTTGCAACTACATGCCATTAACTAACTCATTAATTTGCAACTACATGTCAACTCTCATTAGAGTATTAGTAGACTGATAGAGTTAGGGTTAGTAGAATAAGTAGAATAACGCAAAGTTTCCCAAGGGAATGCAAACATTTGTGAGAGAACGTAAAAGTATTGAAAAAAATTCTAAATCTTAAAATCACCTAATTATTATTTTTTGCTTCATCCATGTCCCTTTAGGTCCTCCGTACCTCGACTGACATAACTGTGTCGAAAGCATTGCAAAGGGTCTATTTTTAATATGTTCATTTACATGAACTGTCCAAATGAACCAATTCACTATAATAAATTGGACATTCTGACATTAAATATGAAAGAGAGGAGCTTTTAGCATGAACCAATTCATTAGAATGAATCAGATTTTATAACACTACACATGAGAGCAAGAACCGTTTAGGATGAACCGAGTCACTAGAATGAATCAGGCTTTTCAGCGATACAAATGTGAGAAAAAGAGCACAGTTTAGGTGAGAACTGTATGCACGACGTCTCCAATCATTACGTCTGCTGAAACCCCACCCCTTTTTTAAACAAAGCATTTGTTGCATGTTGGTGAAGACGGTAAAGAGGTGTTTTCTTCTCAAAACCCAATCAACAGCAGATGCATAGAACCAAGTCATTGACCTACATTTCTTTGTTGGTTGATAATCCGTTTCACAATACAGAAGAAAAGATCTTTCATTGTAATTTTAAAAACAATGACAGAGTTTGGTCGTGTTACTCCTTGACTTTTTTTTAATATAACTGAACTAATGTCATGTACTACTGTAAAAGCATTGCACTCTTTAGTTAGTTAGTCCCCAACACTGCTGTTCACAAAGTGATTTAAAAACTATGACTAATGTCACATGAATACATTCTCTAGCACAGGCATGTGCTAATAACGCCTAACAGATTATCAGTCTGCTAAAAATATATACGTCTTCTTGGACACCGGTTTTATTTCCAGTTCCAAATTGCATATCTGTTTCCACCTTTCAACAATAACATTGCTTCCTCCTTTTGAGAGAGGATTTTCCCCAGTGCGAGTATTGTGCGGATGCTAGCAACAGAGCTAAAAATACATGCAGTTTTACTAATACCACCACATGATAAAACACAAACACTCTATATAGCGCTCTGGGAGAGCAAAGGCCCAAACCTAATGTGTCGTTTCTTTCAGACCAGCGCACAGTGCACATGGACACTAAAAATAACATGACAACAGAGCTTTTAGAGAGATGCTGGGCTTTGCATATTTAAAGGATGAGCCACGCCACATGTAAACACTCGGACAATCAACTCCGAGTTACTCTTTTCAGGATACTGGTCTATATATACATTGACATACAATAGTTTGTGTTATAGTCCTTAACATGCAATTTAAAATTTCAGTTTCTAGTTTGCTTTTATCTTATTTTGCGTTAATGAGCCGTACGTTTGTGCTATACATCCTTTTGAATAATTCACTTCCTCTTTAAACACTTCTCTCAACCTTTACCAGATAAAAGAAAAGGAGATTCAGCCATAATTGCAGGTTGTGCTTCTGTCCTGATCACTTGAACCCGGGGTTCAAAGCAGCTGGTGCTGTGTGCCCTCTCATGTTTAATTCATCAAGTGCACTGTACTGATGATTATAGCTTTGTAAAGACCCTAAATTAGTGATCATATGTTAATGAATATGCTTCCTGGTAGTTCATCGACTCCATATCCGCTCGGTTTCTCTCAGTGCAGTCTGACCTCCATTCAAGTGCTGGCAGTTTGCTAAACCAACCAAAATGACCAACTTTAACCCCATAATTTTGATGAAATAATGATTGATTGCTCTAAGCTGAAAGCTGTGAGGTGTACAGATGCCCTATGGGGTTTGATGACCGAGTGTTTACGGTCACCTGCGTTCTTCTAGGACATCTTGGCCAAAGTACTCCAAAATCAAACTAATCAAAGTCTGCCTCAAATTACACTCAAAATACGCCATGCATGTAGGCTACTTCTCACCCAGACATTTCTGTATGCAAAATGTTGACTTCATTCACACGATACACTTTAATAAAACGTATTTTAAATGTAAAAGAAAGGACCTTTAGCATGAACCGATTCACTAGAATGAATCAGATTTTATAACACTACACATGAGAGCGAGGACCGTTTAGACTGAACCGAGCCACACAAGAATCAGACTTTATAAGGGGCCATTCAGGTCCATTTTTAACTTTTAACTTGAGCTCTGCGTTTCTAGAATGCGTATATTATGTGAGACGCTGCAAAAGACTCGAGCGCAACGGTTAAAGACGTCCGTCTAGTGTGTGTTTACATTAAAAAACTAAAAAGACCGTTTTGGTGAGCGAGTTTGATTATTACGTCAGCTTTAAAGTCGGCATGAAATGAAAAGTTCACCATTTCTATAACTATCTGGTTACCAACATTCTTTAAAATATCTTATTTTGTGTTCAACAGAAGAAAGAAACTCATTCAGGTTTGGAAGAACACGAGGGTGAGTAAATGATTACCAAAATTTCCTTTTTGTGTGAACTATCCCTTTAACTGTGAAAACGACAGATTTTTCTATGTATGCAAAAACAAATTTTACAAATGAAAACTCTGCCTCAGATTACAGCAGTTTCCCCATAAATGTAGGCTACTTCTCAAAGTACAGATTAGAGCGATTCAAATTTCTGTTTGTTGAGCATGTAGTGCGTTTACACGTCATTCGTCTTTTCATTCACTCACCTCGGGCCTGATTTTGTGGTTTTATTATTTATCTGAATCTGATGTAAGGCATATATAAAGCATTGTTAAGTTAATATAATATAAGCTCCCCCTGGGAGAAATGAAGATGTGTCATAACAAAAGGCTAAACTAAAAGGCTACTCATCATAACTGCTTATCCAATCTTGGACCTTCATTGCATTGACTTCATATAAGGCTTATAGAGGCTCGGGATCTCTGATTGGACGGCTGCAGCTCATCAGCTGCTGTGGGGGTTGAGGCAGTCTGTACATGGATGAGCTTTAGTGTGTGTGTGTGTGTGTGTGTAGTTTCATCTAAGCTGTAATGTACATGGGCACAGCTGAAGCATTCTCTGTGTTGAAATACTCAATATGTCTATAAATACACTGCATCACAGACTCTACATACAGTCATGAAACATGAACATGGGTTGCACATGAAATTACTAAAATACAAAGATGTTGTGAACTGACCTTTCCTTTGCTTCATCTATTGTCTTGAACTGTTCACAGGAATATATTAACATGGTTGAAGCCTCTCCTGAGCTATTGGGATGTGATCGTAATGTGCGGATGATTTTGTGCCTAAAATAAAATACACATTACTAGTAAATTAGCTCCCTCAAGTGGTCCAAAGGCCATGTTACAGTGAGAGGACAAGAAACAAGTTTGGATGTCAGTTCAGAATAATAAAGTTACAGTTCATTGAACATGATGACGCTTTATGTGGCATTTTATCATATTACGTTGAGCAAGTTGTCAACATGCCATTAAACAGGCTATTATTGGCTATTCACAATTATGAAACATAATAATACAATTCATAAAACCAAAACCACCAACAAAAAATACAAATAAGTTGTATAAATGTATAACATTTAAAGTGTCAACTCACATTTATTAAAAATACTCTTGTCCTGAGAATACATTTCTGTGGAAAAGTCTGTTTCTGTTTTAAACTTAACATCTTTCTTTAAAAAAAAAAAATATATATATATATATATATTGTAGAAATTTGATATTATCCATGCTGATAGGTATTCATGTTACGTTTAGATTTTTCTGAGTAGCCAATAAAATAGAAGATCATTGCATTTACTACTATTGATTATATGGATTTAAATTAACATAAATGAATTGTAAGTTGCATGTCATATAAATATGCTTTGATGTTCCTGTAGTATTGTTCAATTTCATTTTAATATTTCTTCGTATTACTAATAATCACCTATTGTGAAACACTCACTTATAATATATGAATAATTAATGAGGATCACAGTGACTCCACCCTTCCAGTGATGCAGGTGTATTTCTATTGGCTGGACGGTGAATGCTTCACTCCTGATTAATTGATGATGCTCTTGGTAACTCTGTCTGTTGATCAGATGACACACCCCTTTCCTCTATGCTCTGCTGCTTAAAGTTTGTGTAACTCATAAATGATAAATGGTCTAAGTACAAGGCTTTGCAGATGGCAGTGTAGTATAAAAATTAAAGTTTGCAGGCTGTTTCCAAGCTTGTGGAGCTCACATGCCTCAAGCTAAATGAAGTCAACAAGTTACACTTGAGCTGGGATTTGAGTAATTATATTAAAAGTTCTTCTATTTAATTGACGGTCTACATTGCTGGTATTTTTTTCCCCTTTTTGAAGAACACAAAATTAAAACATTTTCTAAACCACAAGAACATTATGGTAAAAGGTTTTTCCTTTATTTTCCCACATCAAACTTACACCAGGTTGCATTCATTGAAAGGGTTTTTTATAAATTTTGATTGAAACATCACTTTACCAGGACACTTTTTTTTTTATCATTAAAAACAGTGCTTTCTCACCTGTGCATGAGGCTTCCAGATGGCTCTCAGTTTGAGAAAATCCAAAATTTTGTAATCAAATTACAGAAATCTTTAGCAGACAAAGGGTCTATTTTTGAACATAACATCCCATGGAGTTATGCCATTTTAATAATCAAAAGGACAAGTCACTCATTCATTACAACTAACTCAAGAGGAGCTCATAATTGGACAAAGGAGCTTGCAAACATAGAAAAAGACACACAAAACCTTAACCCATTAAAACAAAACATCAAAATCCAACAACTAAAATCCTTTTAGATAGGTTTATAGCACATAAAACCCCAAATACAACACTCTCACAACAACCAAGTACTTGAAATTTAAACAGGTTACCTGCGTGTATGCAAGTCCTTAGACGTGATTTGTATTAAAACAACTGACCAAACAGAGTAATTAAAAAAGAAAAGGAAAATAAAACCTGTTGAAACAGATACTATATACATATTGCCATACGAACATTAGGTTAAAGGTATTACTCTGTAAAATACCTCAACAAAAGGTAGAAACTAACCTGTTTCCACAGCAAGACAAATGTAGAAAGGTACTCAAGGGTACTGTTTAATCCAACAAAGCTGTTAAACCTGAACATGAGAAATTTCCAGCAATGGCGTTTCTCTTAAAAACGAACAAATCTTGATTTTAACGTCTACGATGTCAAAAATAGGTGACTTCTGCATAAAACGTGAGAAAGGGCAAACTGCTCACATAATTGAACTCTTTATTAAAAAACTACTTGGAGATTAAAACAAATTCAATTTGCCAATCTACAGCTCGACTCCCGATCTTTGCTCAATTTACATCACATTTACATACATCACACTTTCAAATTCAACAGATCACATATCTGGTCTGCCTAAAATGAGCCTGATCTACCAGAAAAGCTTAATCAAGTGGAGAGACCATCCCATATAAAGAGTGTGACAAGATCCTTGGCAGCGATTGGTTGATCCAAGAACAAAGGGGTTGACGGTTGGAGATGATTGGCTTGCTGCTCTGTGGAGGGCTGAGACTGAGACCTGGAGAGGTAGATGAGGAGCAGAAAACACTCTGCCTCCTCACAGAGGTCTTGGGAAGCTGGAGTTTGCGGATTTGCCGTCACCTCTCAGTGATGAACGCCTAGCTCTCGTCTCGAACGGGCTGTCCAACAACATATTTGCAATCGGGAAACCTCGGGAAATCTCAAACCCCGATTTACGTGTTGGGAATTAACTTGGAATGGCTATAAATGAATTGTCAATATACCCCTTTTATATAGTGTAATATATAATGCATTTATAAAAGAAAACACTTAGCCTCTACAGTGATTTATCTATGGTTTACAAAGAGAAAAACAATCTGCAAGATCACGGTCTTTTTCAGGGTTGATCTACAGCTTGGATATTGTTTCCAAGAAGTCAAACAAAGGGTTAGTCGTCGTCTTCATCGTCATCTTCGCCCTCATCTTCTGCAGCTCTCTTTCGTTTCTCTCCTCGAACTCCGGCCTCCTCTTCTGGACAGAATATGGCATTAGAGAACAGTTCAACACAAAAGCGAGACTTTTAAGATGTTTGGTGGCATAATTAATGCTTACCCTCTCCTTCCTCTTCCTCTTCTACGTAATCGTCATCATCTTCCTCGTCCTGTTACAGAAGGAATCCGTTGTTATTAAGAGGTCAAGTTTTCCCAAACTGGTTGTGGATGTTAAAAACAGGGAGAAGCTACATCACCTGGATGTCCTCTTTCATTAGATAGGACAGCCCAACTTCACCACCCTCTGAGCCTTCCTCATCTTCCTCCTCCTCCTCCTCTTCCTCGTACTCCCCAAGATGCCCTGCTCCTTCCTCGCCATCCTCATCATCATCTGCATAATAGTACAAGTAGTAATGACTTGATGTTGCATACTTTTATGGATGTCCATTGGAGGATGAGCATAATAATCTGCAATTACAAAAAGATTAAATTGTGTGTTCAAACTCTTGGTTCTCACCATCATCGTCAGCCTCAGAGTCTGGAGCTTCATTGTCTTCCGCATCAAAGCCGTCCAGGTATGTGACCTGAGGCAGAAGCTCAAAGATGCTTTCCCTGTAGTCCTCCAACGTGGTGATCTCACAGTTGAACAGGTCCAAACTCTTCAGGTTCTTTAGGTTTTGCTGAGGGTTGAAGAGCATGTCATACATCAAACAAAGTTGAATGGCCTTTAACTTGCGTATAAAATGACGATTACGATAATAACCGTTTGACTGTACATTAACTGAAGGGCTGATGATATCACCTCCAAAATATATTTATATAATATTTATTGAGAAATATGGTGTAAATGCATCGTGTTTTTACCAGGGCCTCCAGTGTGCTGAGCTCTTTGATCTTGTTGCCGCTCAAGTTTAAGTAAGTCAGGTTGGCGCATTTCTCTGGAAGCGTCTCCAGTGCACCCGTGATATTATTATCACTCAACTCCAACTGTAAAAGAGAATTGCCCTTAAAATGAACTTTATTGGAAATTTAAGATAAAAACATCTTGGCAAAAAAAATTAGCTGATTTCTACAGTGTAATTATGTGCTTATAAGACCAATTTACTATAGTAATCATGCAATATGTTAAACATTAATATTTTCCCACACCACACTCCTAAAGTTTCCATTAGGCATTCTCCATCCATTTTTTGCACACTTTAATAATACAACATGTGTACATTAATATGTAAACTGTTACACGGTATCGGTTTTCTGCACTTGAAACACAACAGATCTTCTTGTTAAGAGAACTTTGCCTGTGTTTTCTGAAATTAAAGCTTGATCTCTTGACTGACCTTCCTCAGTTTTGGCAGTGAGGGTAGTTTGGCCAGGGAGGTGAGACCCACGTTGACCATGCTGAGGAACTCCAGCTCCTTAAACTCATCTGTCAGGCCTTCAATCTCACCGTCACTCGTGCGGCAGTTATCCACCACCAGCTCTGCTACCTGCAGGAGGGATGAACATAATAAAGGCCCTTGGTGAGCAAAGAAAGTTTATTTCATACTATTGCCACAAATTACCACAATGGAACATTCAAAAACGGCTAATATTACAACAAAGGCTTATGAATATGTAATAGCATATTATAAGACTTTTCTAATCATTTTATTTAACTCTAAATATTAAGACTTGTAAGTATGTAGTTTAGTTTGTAGTAGTATGTAGTTTAGTTTGTAGTAGTATGTAGTTTACTGTGCCACTAGTGTCACCAAACGGAACTGCAAAAACAATTGAGTGTTTTCTAACTGGTTTTTAAACACTCCCCCGTTGCTATTGGTCGAACAAATAGAAAGTCCCGCCCCCAAACTCACACCATTGGTCGAACCAGTTCGTATTTCAGAAACAAACAATACCCCAATGGGCTCTATGCACGGCGGTATTTCCGGTGAAGGTCTAATGGTGCGTTCACACCGGACGCGAATAGCGCGTCAGGCGCGAGTGATTTCAATGTTAAGTCAATGCAAAGACGCGTTACGCGCGTAAAAAATTCCTGCGGCGCGAATGAGGCGTAGAGCGCGGCGCGGTAGACGCGAATACGCCTCATTCGCGCGTCAAGTTCGCGCGAATGGCGCGAATTGAGCGTCTGGCGCGTTAAGCGCGTTACGCGCGAATGATTTAGTTAGTGCTATTTGTGCATTCACGCGTTTGACGCGAATTCGCGTCTGCCGCCCGAGTTGAAAAATCTGAACTTCTGCGTCAATTCGCGCCGCGTTAACCAATCAGGAGCCTAGCTGCTGGCTGCTGTCACGTGGTGAAGTATCTGGATGCTTCAATAAATTATTTTGTAATATATGACTGTGGTTCTAATGCACAACAAAGCAAATATTTTATCACATAAAACTTGATTTCAATATATGAGACATATTCATTTTGCATTGAATGCTATTTATTCCATATCTAGATTATATGAAATATTATTATAATGTAAAGACAACCAACATATAAGTTCGTGTCTGGACAGTGATGTGTGAGAGAGAGAGAAAAATCACAGGACAGATTAATCACTTTTGGAGGCTGGCTTCATTTATTATCAAAACAAAAATAAATGACAGATTAGGTGGATGCGGGCGAGGGTGAACCTCGCGCCGGGCTGTAGAGCGCGGGCTCAACAGGCATAGCTAGACCACTCGAGGCCGAGGGCTTATACGGCCTACGCTGTCCTCATCAGCGTCCTCACCATTAGGTCCACCAAACCTAGCTCCTGGAGCAAATTGTGAAACTCCTGAAACCCTCCGGAGGTTCTGGTGGACCCGAGTACAGCGACGATGTCCCCTACGGAGCTGCTTCTGCTCTCCAGAGCATATACGAGCGGTGACTCTCTCGAATAATGCTAATGCTCGATAAACATCTAAAAAGATGGCCGCCAACGGGTTTCGAAACTTTCGCCTCCGGATTTCGCCTCTGACGCGCGTAAATTTCGCTTCAAACTTTTGTTTTTACGCGCGTCAATTTCGCCATTGACACGCGAATTAACACAAAGTGGTCAAGCGTCAAACTAGACGCGGTAGACGCGAATTTGACGTGCTATTCGCGTCCGGTGTGAACGCACAGTAAGGATGCTGGATTACTTCCACCGATCGTAGAGTCCAATGCTATACCGAGAATTTATATTGGTTTTTATATTCTATTGCTATACTAAAGAAATGTTAGTCACAAAAACAGACAAAACAGACACCCCTCATTTTGTTTATGCTTCTTTGTTTATTATATTAAATAAACATAACTATATATAAAATGACATCTAAACATATTATAGTTTCGTTTCAAAGACGAGAGGACAGTAAATTTTGAAGACTCTGCCATAATCCCGTTTTCCTCGGGTTTTCTCCGCTTTAAATCTCCCCAACCGGAAACGCAAGAGCATCCTTGCGTCAAACGCGGAAGTTATGCGTGCATATAGCCCATAGCGCCACTGTATTTACACTTTTCGGGGAATTTAAAATAAATGTCTTAATTGCATGACTAAAGTATTTTAGTACATCATCTTTAAGGGTAACGTAAGAATGTATGTTTATCTGCCTAAACAAGAGTGAAATTTAAAACTTGGTACAAACTGAATAGTTGCAGCACAAACCCCAAAAAAGTAAGCCAAGAGACAAATAAATAAGTTTAGAAACTTTTTTTATTATTATTATAAATATTTCAAATAAAACGGTTTATGGTATTTTTTGAGTAACGTGTCCCTGTTCTTATAACACACTGACACGTGTGTGCACGCACGCACTCCAGGCTGCATACTATTTAAATATTCAATAACTTGTTGTCCTTATGGAAAAATACTAAATTTTTCACCACGTGATGTGTGCTTAATGTAGCCTTGATAATGTTTACCCATTCATCGCTCAGGATTTGATCTGAATTACTGCCAGCATTTCACAAGTAGATTTTCAGAATGGTAATATTTTGCTGGTGACGCAAGAGACACCCGAGTTAAAAGCCATGTATGATTTATACACGTCAAAGCATTAACTCAAGCTCGTGTAAAGGATCCCTCATTTAAAAGAAGCGTGCTCCTCTACTTCGGTTCAGGCAAGCCTACTACAATAATCTACTAAAATCGGAGGAGAGGAAGGGGGGCTCGCCCCTTCACCATCTGCCACATTCCTTCAATTAATAAAACGGTGACGGATAACCTAAACGGCTTCGTAAAGCCGAATTCGTGTTGCTTAACTTCGGTAATACATAATGTTACCGGAGGTTACATAAATACGCCATTAACGTAACCATTGAAGAAAATGGCAACTTGTTTTTTTAAACGGTTCGTAACGGTCGAGCGAATATTTCTGGTTTACGCGCCAATTATTCCGTCCTAAACACCACGTAGGCGTTTGTGAATCAAAAATCGCTCTCAACTCCGATTAATAAAAACGGAGTCAAAGCCACAAAACACCGTCTCAACTATTGATGCAACAAAATGACTTCCACTCCCCGCCCGTCAACACGGAGACTCGAGCAGCATTTCACACACACCATCCTCGCCACACACACAGCGAGGCGCTGCAGAAGCCATGAACGCTTAATTATTATGCAGTTTGACCTGACATTCGCTCCGATATGTGCTTGTGCTCTCAAACTCTGAACATAATGGCTTTAAGAGTCTTAGGAGGAAGACCGAAGGCAAATGCCCCTGAATGTCAGATATCGAAGAGTTGGAGTGTAAGATGTCCGTCTTTGGAAGACGAAACTGCTCGTTTTACTAGGTTAGAGAAGCCATAGTGAGGTAGGCATCCGTGAAGCTTGCCTATAATAAACTTTTTATGTGAGCAGATTCAATCGCGTGATGTTTTGGTCAGTATTTTGCATAAATTGCAGGTTGGGCTATTGATTCCTATAACAACACTGGCGGTTTGTTTTAATTTCGGTTTCCCGCTGGAAGCGATAACATTATCGTATCGAGGACTATAATAACGTCATAACCGAATTGGACTTCACTTGTTGAGTAATAAACATCGTTTCTGAGTCATTAAATAAAAACGGTCTTAAAAATGTAAGCATATTATTTTGAGGTACTATTTGGGACGCCCACATCGTCAAGTCTAATGCAATGGCGAAGGAGAACGAGTTCACATGAGTTTACGCGCTCAAATAACGATTATATTTGACTACCTGTCTGAAATCATCTTGTATAGATCTAAAATGTGCATTCTGTGATGCGTTCATCCATGCCTAAATATCTAAATCGCATCCTTGTAATTGCCCATGTGGTATAACAGCCGTGCTGCCATTCAGCGGAGTCTACGGACTATTCCGTAAGTGCAGGATGGACAGGTTGCGAACTAACATCATTTCTTGTTTCCGTGGTAAAATAAATAATTAAAGCGCTCACCTCCGCTGGAGTTCTGTTCCTCAGCTCTAAACTGATCCTCTTCTTCATCTCCATTTTGTTGGTGATTGCTGCACTGGGTTGGACCGTTTAAAGAAAAAAAATTGTCAGAAACTCCTGAGCGCGGACCTACGGCTCGGCTATCTTCAATGGCTGCCGTTCTCTAACTGATCCTCCATGATACCTCGCACCCAACCCCCTTTCTGAGACCCCGCCCTCACTGCGCCCTGATTGGTTCGTTGTTATTTTCAAACCCGTGAGTGGTGGACCAGCCTGTCGGTCAAACGGATCATGCTTATCAACATAATCGGTCTTTGTAGACCGACCTGATTGGTTGGAAATACGCGCGCAGTAAATTTTAGACGGGACGGTCAGAACGTCAGTATGAAGCTTTCAAACTGTTAATCCGCCCATTCTTTGTTCTCATTGGCGCCTGAAGGCGATGTCCGTGTCCTTTAAGACTCCAGTAATTCGAAATCAATTTGGAGACCAGGTTAAAATTGTGTATTTTAAAGAGCCTAAAGTGAACACTAACAGATTAGAGAAAGAAAATAAGTGATATTTTTCCCCTCACATACAAATATACAAAAAGTGTTTCTCCTTTTAGCACAAATGAACTCATAATACTTTGAGCGTCTTCCATACAATAATTCTAACAAAATGGCTGACCATAAACCCCCAGACAGTCATGGTGGCTTGAAGGCTGCACGCACGCCACGCCATCTGTCCCATATAACGTGGTGCTGATCGCTTCACCACAGAAGCCACAAAGGGCCATTTGGTCGTAGAGTACAAGCTGACTGTTAGATTCTTGTTATAAGTTAATAAAACATTCCAGAGTTGCTTCAAAAATGTCTTTATTTTAAAATAGCTGAAAAACAATTGTCCCCACCTATTAGACGGAAATAAGCCCTGATGTAAAATGAACGCTTTTTCAGCAATGTGCATTAGTGCAGTACCCCAAGGTGACCACTAGGGCACGGGCAGTGCATGGCACGCTGACCCTGAAGTGGAATGGACACCACAACTGATCTCCTAAGCTGATTTATCTAGGCTGCCAGAGAAGAACTGAATAATCTTTTGTAAAAAAAACCTACAAAAAACAGTCATTTGAACAGACAACCTATTTGTTTGTTTGTCTGTCAAAAGAGCTACGAGCATATCTCAAACAGTATGAGAGATTAGCTTTTAATTGTATTAATTAATTTCTAAGATAATTGCATTTTAAAGGGCACTTTTTAGGGGTATGTTTTTTTATAACTAAATATTATATAAACACAGCATTTTGATACTATATAAAATATTAATTTTACCGAATATTGAATACCATGGGCATTTTTATTATTTTTGCAGGATTTCTTTCCCAGAATTCTTTTTTTACACATGCAGCAGATGATAAAACCTAATGAATCAGGTTAATAGATAAGATGTATGTCAAGTCATATATATATATATAAAATCATTTTATATTTGCTTTTCAATACAAATCAGATTCAACAATCCCGACCCTCACCAACAAATCCCTGGGATTACATCCATGCTATAATATCTTTTAATTACAATATTCCTTTGTTGTTGTTTTCGTTTGCAAACATATAGATAACTTAGATGTTGGGACACATTTAAAGACAAAGGCAGGAAACAGGAAATGTTCTAGCAATGTGGAGAAGGGGTGTAAGATGTGTATTCAAGGTCTTGATCATTTACATTATTTTGTACCCAACTTGAGAAGTAAATGCTGAACGATGCCATAGAATCCCACTAGATGGCAGACAGTGAAAGGACATGGTTGAAACCAGTTAGGACTGGTTAAGACTGCTTGTGTACTTTGTGGCCTTATAAGCGGTCGCTAGATGGAGCAATAGAGCTTTACACAGACATTTTACTCATACATAAGCTATTAGGCTAACATATATATATATATATATATATATATATATATATATATATATATATATATATATATATATATATATATATATATATATATAGAATGCACACTTAAAACCATTCTTCTTCCCATTTTAACAAACTTTTTTACATTTTAACACAAGCACTTTAACTTTTGTAAGAAATTGAACAGGTGTACGACTGACTTGTATCGGAACAAGTTAACTAGCCTAATGACTGGTAATATTCATTATGCTTGAACCCTGGTACTTCTCTTGCTTGACCTTGATTGAGGGCCATTGTCACGTCTTCTCAATGTTTCCTGCAGCCTTTTGTCCTCCGGCTGCATGGTGGCCCGCTGGGGGGGTCGACAGATGGGGGACAGGGTTTCACGTTCAGGCAAGAATAATGGGAGACACACACTAGTGTATTCTCATGCAAAAAAAAAACACAATGGGCCAACGGCAGTCAGACTGCCTTGGGAATTCCAAACAAGTGTTTAATACAGGAGTGATTGAGACAAATACACCGCCAAGCACAAAAGACAGACCCAAGAGGCTCAAGACAGACGTTTTAGGCTATAAGTGTGAAGACTATTTAGAGCAATTAGTCAGTCATTCAAATGGAGAACATTACATTCGGCTCTAAATGTTGTCTTGTGCACTCTTATGAATTGAAATATTAGAGTTTGTAAACAGTGTAAGCTGTAGAATTAGTCCTGATTACTTGAACTCCATCAACAGAGTTGCCCTAATAAAGCGAGCAAAACACAATAGTATGAAGTTCTGGCTTTGGTTAGGAATAACAAGAGGAATGTGAGAGACATTTAATTGGATCCAGGTGTAGCTGGCAGCCCACATGAACAAGGTCAAGTGTGCGTGGGTTTGTGGGATTAAGGCTATAGCGGTTTGGGATATGGATACCAAATCCTGGGAAATGCTGTCTTTTTAGGACAACGCTGCGTAAATCACAAGCAGAAATTATAAAAGTGACAAAAAGGCCACTTATAATGAAAACAGAAACTGATTCAAAACTGCTGTTAGCATTGCTGTTTTGTATTCGTAAACAAGATGAAAGCAAGCCAGCGATATTTTTGTGAGTTGTTGGATCCAACACTGTTCATTCATCCTACAGCCAAAGAGGAAGACTTATTTCATGTGGTTGTGCAAGTCTTTGAAGCTTTGTGAATGAACATATTGATCACACAAATCTGCACTGGAGCCAGTTTATAAAACACTGTATTAACAAAGGGTTTGGTTGTGCATATCTCAGTATATCACACCCTGCAGTATTACAGTATAACATGTAAAGGCTCGTGAGGGTGTGTTTGAGAGTGTGTCAGGGAGTGACACACTCACTTTGTTCACTGTGTCGAGGGAGTTTATGAATATAACTTGAAAGGGTGTATAGCACAATGCCTGACACATAGTCTGTTTATTGTAGAAAACGAAACCAATCACAGTTAGTTTTGTTCTGTGACATGTTTAGGGGCGTGAAAATGTAACGTAAATGTCCCTACAATAACAGTGTGTGAAACTCTTGGACGTATTTTAAAGTGTCTATGCCGCAAACTTTACATACTTCACTTACTTTTGAAAATCCAGCATTTAGTTGAGATCTTTGTTACTGTTGTAAATACACATTTTCCATGAGGGGGTTTGACGTCATAGCATCTTTGTTTCCAGGCGGACTGCTACAGAACGCAACACACACACATATCCCAGACATCCTGTAGAATTCAACCAATCAGATGACAACTTTGAAAATCCTGAAGTGTTTCCAGTTCAGTGTGCCTTATGCATCAGTTGTTCAGCCATCGGTCCGTGGGCCTATAGGGTTAAACTAAACTACATTTTTCAGTTATTCAAATTCTTTGAAACCAGTATAGCTTTACTGGTGACAAGATGCTTTTTCCAACGATTGGCGGTACAGAGCAACCAAATGCAACATTGTTGTTTACGTACTTCATGTATAACTTGAATGTAGTTTTGGAAAGGCAGATTCATAGTGAATAAATTCATTCAGACATTTCCATAAAGATAAACCAATTTAAAGGTGCTCTATGTAACTTTTCTACTCAAATGAATCCTTTTTTTATTGCCTGTGTGTGAAGGGGTTGTAATCACACATTAAAATGATCCACTTGTTGAGTTTTGCTATTACCTCTGAAGGCCAGTATTCCTATTTCTATGTGAAGTCTCTGGGTCAGATTTACCGCGAAATCCAACGGATGTGACGTGCATGCGCGCTCCCGAGCCTCTCTCCTTATATACAGTCTATTGTAGACGGTCAGGGAGTTACGTCCGGTTAAAGGCGCACGTTTTTCGGCTTATATCTCAGTCAATCTTTGATCAATATTCCCAAGACTCTAATCGTTCGTAGTGCTGGACGGGGCCTTTCGAACGAGCCCACCCCCGAGGTCCAACTCGCCCGGCTCCCCGAGTTATAGCCGTTCGAAATCGGGGGTCCCAGCGAACGGCGATCCCGTAGGGGGCATCCCCGAGGCCCGCCATTCTAGCTTCGGGTAAGGGTTCCCCTGGGACCTCCTCCCCCGAATTTGAGCTCTCTGGGTCTTTGCGTTCCAGAGATACGAGCGATTTTCTTCTGAGATCGTGACGTCACCGCCGTCCGCAATTTTGCAGCGCGCCCGATGGTTTTCTGCTAATATCTCCGCGAAAACACCACCAAAAACTATGGACCTTATATGGTTCTTTTCAGCTCGACTAGATGGTCCCAACGAGCTCGGTGCTCGCCGAATCCGTCTAGTTTTCGCCGAGATATTTGCGTAATAGACGGTATTGTCTATGAGTTCGAGCACGAGCGCTCTTGTAAAATTTTGTTGCAATCTGAAACATCACCACTAGAGGCCGCTAAAAGTTACATAGAGCACCTTTAAGTCTCAGTATGGCATTTTAGTTAATTTTTTAAAGCAGAATATTTAGTCCATCACTATGCCTATATGCAGTTATATAAATGAAGAAGTATTTTTTGTTGTTGTATTAGTTTCTATTTCGATAGTTGTATTTAGTGACAAATGATCAGTTCAGTTTAATTGGGATGGTTCCATCATTGAATCATTCCTTTAAAAAAAACAACACATTGATTTGTGCCAGAATATTAAAGGGTTTTGATAAAATTATGAATAAATATATAATTGGATTTAAAAATTGTTGTCATACAAGTAGCTTCAATGTTTGATACTTTTTGTTATATACCTTGTAGTGTGGCGTACCATAGTATAAGAGTATCTTGACTGTTGTTAATATTAGGATTAGATCGTAGCTTAAAAAAG